ATACTAAAGATCTCCCTAGTATAAGCCCATATAGGATACTAACTAGAACTATAGATAGATATTCTAAGGAGTATAGATAACCTAAATCTAAATACTATAGAAAGAGTTAAAGACCTGTATATAATAAGAGAATTCCTATTAATTAGATTAGACTTAGTAAAAAAGGCCATAAAAAAAGGCTATAATTAGAAAAGACTAAATACTACCTTCTAAGTTAGAAACTAGGTAATACTTTATATAAAGAATATCTAAATAAATAGACTAAGTAAGAAGCTAGATAACTAGTAAATTAGATCCTTCTAGATAGTAAATACTATAGAAAAATAGGCTTATAAGCTAAAACTCTTATTACTTTATTATAGATTATATCCTATCTTCTATATCTTACTACTAGAACTATATAAAGAAACTCTAAATATAGATCTAAAACCTAGCCTAGTAGAGCTTAATAGTAGCTAAGAGTAGTATATAAAAAAAATTATAGTAAATAAGATAGTCTATAGAAAGTAATACTACTTAGTTTAGTAGTTAGGATAGCTAGACTCTAAAAATATATAGGAACTAGAGGCTTATATTACTAATACTATACCTTTAGAAACCTATATTACTATAAAGGGGTATAATATAATAAAAAATATACTAAATAAGTACTAATAGTACAGGAAAAGATTAAAATTTAACTAAAATATAGATAAGATAAATACTAGCTACTAGTAATAGCCCTAATTAAAAAACTTTATTAATAAAATAAATTTCTAAAGATATATAAGCTATACCTTTATACCTACCTACTTAACTAGCCTATATATTATAATTAATAACTAAAAAGACTACTAATCTAATTAATAAAATAACCTAGAATAGAAGAATTAGTACTTATTATAGTAGGACTTTCCTAATCTTATAGGATTTTAGGGGTAAGGAGTAGGAGTATTAGATTTAGTATTAGAGATATTATAGGGCTAAAGTCTATAATATTAATAAGTAGAGTCTTTAATACCTTAGGGGTCATAGGAGTAAGAATTAATAAACTTATAATAATAAGAAAAGAAGCTAATAGAGCTAGTACTATAATTATAATAATAAGAAATATGGAAATATTAGAGATAGAGAAGATATTAATAAAATCTATATTAGAGTTAGAGTCCCCTATAGTATAGGCTATAGTAGCCTAGATATCTAAGACTATAGCTATAAGAGCCTAATACTACTAGGATTATAAGATCTAGAGAGTAGTAATAATCTACTACTTTTTCATCTATAAGACTTATATAATATTAGTATAGGTACTAAATCTAATAAAAATATTATAAAAAGATATTAATAAATACTATATATAAATATACTTCTACTTAATATAAAAATATATAATATATATCTTTTATTTATAGCTAGATACTACCTAATAATTATAGTACTTAATCTTAGGATTATAGATTTTAGCATAAAGGTAATAAAGATAGGGGTTTCTATATAAAGAAAATATCTAAAAATTAGCTAAATTAATTAGAATTAGTAGTACTTAATATATCTTAATAGATATCTTAACTAAAGATATAAAATAAACTAAAAAAAATAGTAATAAAAAGATAGTAATTAATACTAATTTATAGGAGAAGGTGAAGGCAAAGATAGTTAAAATAATTATAAGAGAATCTATAGAGGGTAAGACCTTCTTATATACTATAATATATATTTATAATATTATTTAATTATATCCTTAATAAGTAGAGCCAATTTAACTATAGAGAATAATAGAATAATAATAAAATACTATAGACTAATAGACCCTTAGCTAATTAGATTACTAAAACTAATTAAGAGCTCTATCTCTCTAAGCTAAATAGCTAGAATTAGTAATAATAAAGTTATTTAAATAACTAGAATAATAGAAAATCTATAACTTTATAGGCTTCTATTATAATAATTAACTAGAAAATATTATAGGATTAATATAACCTTATATTTAATAAAGGAGCTATAGAACTAGCTACCCTAGGATAAATTAATTAATTAGAAGTTATATAGCTATTAAAGGACCTAGAGAATTAACCTATACTTAGTAAGCTAGTAAATTAGAGACTATATACTAAGTAACTTTAACTATAGGGCTATAGTCTATAAAGGGAGAAGATAATTAGTAGGAAGTAGGAATAATATTAGAGAATAGTTCTATTAAATATAGTAGATAAGGCACTAAGGCTATATACTAGTAGATAGTAGGGCTAGCTTAGCATATAATAACCTAGTGTAAAACCTTACTAGTAGAGGAAGATTCTATAGACTAGTGATTAGTTCTCCTATTAATAGTAATATAACTTCATGATCCCTCCATGCTGATCTAATACTATCTTCTATTAGATATTATACTGATCTTACACCTACTACTTTATATTTAGTATGGCTACTACTTCTATTATACTAGCTACTCTCTTTCTATAGTATATTTTAATCTAATTAAATCTATCTCTTCTTCTTTATTATGACTAATAATTACTATAGCTACTATACTATACTAATGTATAGTTCTATTCCTTACTAGTTTTAAATAATTAAAGGAATTAGCACCTTTTCACTTTGGTCCACCCTGGTAAATTCATTAAGTCAGTGGGCCCAGCAGGGGTAGTAATCCTACAAATTCTACTGCTATCTAATCTACTTATAGAATAGTAAGATGGTAAGATAGTAAGATAGTAAAGAACTAAAGATATCTGTTGGTAGGTAAATTCCTCCATCTCTTAATGCTAGGACATAAATTTAATCATCCCAGGTAAGATATGTAGAATATTCTTTAGTAGAAGGAGTAGTAGGCTCAGGTGTGGTAGGCATCTTATGGATATCCCTATCTAACCACTAGTCGGATCATCTAGATCTTGAAGATATGAAGTTTCTCTTGTACCTGAATAGGAAGGCGGCAAGTTGGAAGCCCTAAGTGCTTACACCCCTGCTGGGCCCACTGACAATGAATTTACCGGGGGGGGTCAACCGTAGTAGTCTGTGCCAGAAGCGTCATAATTACTGACCATCAAACGACCGTCGAAGAACAGAATGCCGTGCATACCGGTTGCAATTCTTCTCCGAAGTCAACAAAGGGGCCGAAACCCACAGCCGCCCAGCATGCCTCCATGCGTGAAGCCTTCATTTGCTTAGTTGCTCGACTATCCATGCATATTAACCAGGGTTTCAATAGTTGACCACGCTTATTGGTAGCTGCTCGCCGAGGAACAGGGGCCATGTTAGATGTCGCGCATAGATGATGTGTGATTGGCCTACTTCCAAAGATCAACGCTTCTACAGCCTCGCATCAGCGCTAGAAGGTTCCCGACTTAGCAACCATTCTAGCGTGATGTTAGGGATAGATAATACCGGGGAAGTGATTGGAAGGGTGGGAAAGAGAAAAAAAATAAGAGGAAAGCCCGCCGATCGAAACATGACTTCCACTGCTCCAACTTTCTTGAGCACTTTAGATTCTCTGCACCATGGCTAATTCAACGCGACAATGCTATTTTCCCTCCGGTGGCAAGTCTGGAGATGTCCCGTGCGCGGACGGGGTTAGTGGCTGTTGTACCTCGTCTGATTTATGCTTATCGAACGGGCTGTGCCTGAACGTCGGCCATCAACCCTATGTGCTATCGCGGGGGAGCTGCACTGACTCCAACTGGGGCGACGGATGTCCAAAGTGGTGCAGTATGTGTCTATAGTACCTGTCCTGTCTCTTCTCTCAGTGTCTGATCTGATCAAAGCTTGCAACTACAGAAGACATCGATCCCACCAAAGGAAGCTCCATCATCAACCTCAAGTTTGAAAACCTGATCTCGACCTACTGCTGCGGCACGCCGATCAGCAACGGTACGGACGTCATCTGCCCCTACGGCGCGCGCTGTCCCCGGCGTCGCGCTCCTGAGTAACGTACCCTCGTTAGCGGGCACGGACCTTTCCCCGTCGTCTTCGCCATCGCCTTCGTCGGTGCCGACTGATGCCGCGGCCCCGACTTGTCATGATACTGCGATTGGAGCCGGTGTTGGTGTTCCGCTTGGGATCGTTGCGGTGCTGTCGATAGCTTGGGCGCTGTTTGAACGGAGAGCACGGCGGCAGCTGACCAGGCAAGGCTCGCCAGCGGTATCGAATGGTTGGGGGGCGCGGTCTACAAAGGAACATGCAGGGTCGCCTTCCGAACTGCCGCTGACCCTTCATGTGCCGGAGCTTATGGGGAGGGATGCAGCATAAGAATGCACTGTTTCCCAGCTTCCGCTGTTGGCGCTGTGGCAAAATCAAAATCGTTGGACGTGATATCAACAAATCAAAGGGGCGCAAGGCGCATTTGTATGATACCCTGCGAGTGTTTACTCTAAAGATTGAGACATGCTTTGAGTTTGCCCACGCGAGGCCCATCACCATTGGTGAGTGCTGCCAAGTACCAAGTACGCCTGTACTCCCCCCCCCCCCACCAGTACGGGAACTCTGAGATCGGATTGAATACATTCCGGACCCATATGGGTGGTTCGGCCGCCCTCGCGTCGACTGCGGCTCTTCCTGCGGCGGTGCCAGGATTTTTCGCGGAGTTGAAGATTGAAGTCGTGGCCTGGTTTCAGGCTTACGGGCAAAAGATACAGTTGCGAAGACTGTGGAGGATGTGTTGCGGTTGAGGTTTTACCCTTTTCTCTCTGGTAAAGATGGTACATGAGTGATGGCCTGTTGGCTACTAGAAGGAGAGCCTGATAACAGGGCGATTGCTTATTTTGCAAGTTTCGCTGGTATCCTCTGGACGAGAGACGAATACCGTTCATCTAGGAAGATTGTCTTGGAGATTCAAGCTGTTTTCGCGGGCATGGTTTACGACTTATGTTATATCATCTTCTGAAAGCCAACGAGTATATTCCAAACGTTAGTCACCTATTTACATCTGTGCATATGCCGAGTGTCCAGATCCTCTTTACTCATAGCTCAATCCATCAACAGATCTTCCAGGGAGCGAGAATTTCGCTCACCACTACTCCTGCTTAGACATAGCTGACGCTAACAGAGTTACCCGAGACAGAAGAGGAGGTCAAGACACTGCTGCCCTGCTTGATATCCATCAAGGTAGCACCGGAGGGACCAACGCTCGAGCCACCAGTTGTAGCCTTCGCACCGGTAAAAGTCACGGTGCCAAAGTTCACAAAGGGCACCAGCGAGCCATTCGACTCAAAGTCCTCGACAATCCACTCCGCGTTGGTCTCGCACAGATCACCATCCACACCACCGGTGAAAGTATGCTTGACCGTCTTGCCAGTCGACAGGTTCTGGATGATCGCACTTCCCGCCGTCTTGCTGGTCGCGTCGATGGTGAGCTTGATCGTGTCGCCGACGGAGATGTCGATGCCGCTGAAGTCGTACGCGTAGTCCGGGTACCACTCGTACCAGGCGTCGAAGGAGACCGAGCCATCCTGGATGCAGAAGTCGACGCCCGTCTGCAGGATGGCGGACGAGCAGGTGTCGCCGTCAATGCCGACCCAGGCGGACGCGCAGTACTGCGTGCCGGAGTCGGCGCCGTCGGGGGCGGACGGCTCCGGGACGGTAAACTCGCCGACCACGGAGGTGTAGCCATTGCCGATGAGCACGGCGCCGGCCCAGTTCGAGCTGTACTCGACGTGGGTGGAGTTGCTGAGCTCGAGCAGCTCAGAGCTGCCGACCTTGTAAGGGGGATGGCTGGATCTGTTGGTGGCGCGGGCTGTACGGCGGGCGTGACGAGCTTGACGCTGCTCGGTAAGGGGAGCAGCGATGGCAGCGCCGGCGAGCAAGCTGGAGGCGACAACGGCGGAGAACTTCATTGTGGCGATGGAAACCTTTTGACCGTGGCTTTAGAGATAGAAGTCGGAAGTGGTCTGGGACTGTGAGCCTTGCTTGAGATGATACAGCATTTGAAGGGGATTGGGCCCCTTTTTATATTCCAGAATGGACCATATGTTTGCCTTGAGCATGGCCTATTCACTGATACTTGTAGGCGTGCTATCCCCATTGAGAATGAGTAGTCGGACCATGAGGAGAACGTCCGGAGGCCGATGCAAGAGCTCGACTAGACTCACGCTAGCCAGGATCTTTGAAGCTGTTGTCGCCCAATGTGTAGAACATGCATTGCTGCAGATTGTGTTGAAGACGGTCGATTTCGGTAAATCTAGACGATGGCTCGATCTCTGCCACAGGACTGAAAGCGCCACGGAGCAGTGGAATCTGGATATATTACCCCTGAAACGCTGGACGAGGGTTATGCCATTGGCTTCTCAGTGAACCGTGCTCTCCCCTGTCATATACGTGCACAATAGATAAGGCCTCCTATCGCGAGATGCCGTTCGAAGCGAGGCCATAGCTACAGAAGTTGGTGATCACTGCCTGAATAGTCAAGCATTCGCCAAGACAGTCAAGCAATAGGATCAAAGTTGCACCAATAGAACCAGGCATGTATAAGCGACGGCTAGAGCCGTTGCAGAACAGTCCTCATCCGCCGGTGCCGGATCTTAATATCCCCCTCGGCATCGAAACGGAGCTCCGACGGCGCTCACGGTCTATCACACCTCCTCAAATGAACATCGCTGTCAGCATGAATGCAAACAGGCACAGGTTTTTACAAAACGGTATCTTCTACAGACTGGGGATGAAGAAATCGAGCGGGGTTTTGATGCTAGTGTGGTGAGACTAGGCCTGTCGCTGTCAGACGGCGCGATAACATCAAGCTTCGTCAAGCATCTTGGTGAATGATAAGCATTGTGGATGGTGATGACAGCTACGATGACAGAATCAAACAGAGCGAGTCAGTCGGGCTCTCTCTATCATCCATGAGAACGATGTAACGTCTCGGGAAAATGGCTTGGTTTTATATTAATCGCGCTATCGTCACGTCAAGCTCTGCAAGATTATGCAAGTGATAGCGCCAATGAGGACGCCGGATATCCTTCTTCACCTACCTTGGGTTTGATTATCTAGTATCCTGAATGGCCGTGGATCATTCAGTTCTTTCTTGCATGCATGTTCTTCAGTCGCGTATACCGAGTCACAATGCATGCATTCGGGGTGATCAGGGGAGATGGCTACAGGGCATATGGTCCTAATGCCCGGTCGAATTCTCATGGGCATTCAAATCATCAACATCCCACGACTTTTCCATTGTGTAACTGCCCTTTAGATGCTTCTAGCTATCTCAGAACGAGAGAAGATAACTGCCTCATCCTCCTGGATCCGTCTTGAAAGCTCGCAGGCCATGTGGATAGTACTCTGGGAGTTAACCTTGGAATAATGATGTCCAGGAGGTTCCATGCTGACATTCAAGATTACGCTATATGCGCCATGCCTTAAGCACTTCTTTGAGAAGTAAAGGGATAAGAAACAGAAGTAGTCACGAAAAATCATCCTGGTGTTGTTAGTTGTCGAATTGGGACATCAAAAAGGCCACCAAAAGCAAGATGCACAGCCCGACAATAGTCTAGACACGGCGAGTTCGGTCCAATCTGCTGAAATGCGAAGATCCATATTGTGACGCACACAAAACCACCATTTCCTGGCACACCAGTATTAAGTCTGGGAGAAATGAAAAGTACTGGACTTGATTGCGCTCTAGCTTCTTTATATCCCCGAGCAGTATATCACCACGACGCTAAGGACCTAAACCTCAAAGTCCGTTCCAGTCGAAACATCCTTCCACTCGTCCAACATCCTCAGCGTGTCCAAACACTTCCCCCTTAAGGCGTCCACAGCATCTCCTCCCAACGGCAGCAGGTTTGGCCACGCCTTTCCCCGCGCCGCATTCTCCCCCTTGACCACATCAATGACCCGCGCAACCCCCTTCCTCGGATCCCCAGTCTCCCTTCCATTCGCGCTACGGAACATTGTAAGCGACGCATCGACGAGGTCCCGGTACTCTGGGACAGAAGTCTCGACAAACATGCTCTTCGTGGCGTCGAGGATGTTTGTGCGGAACTGCCCGGGCTCCACGAGGAGAGTTTTGATACCCGTGGAGGCTGTCTCTTGACTCAGTGTCTCCATTATAGCTGTGCCGCCTTGTTAGCACTATTTGGAGTAGCGGAAGTGGGAGGAGGTACAGTGAAGCGCAGCCTTGGAAGCACAATAAGCCCCCACGGTGGGAAACGCCTTCCACGCAACGCTCGAGCCAATGGCGACGACCACGCCTTGCCTCCTTTGTCTGAAATGCGGCAGGAATGCCTTGGTGATGTTGATGATCCCGAAGACATTCGTATTGAACTGAGACAGGTAATCCTCGTATCTACGTCCGTCAGTATCAACAAAAAAAAAAACACCCGGCGAAATCCCGTCACTAGGGACCGGCCTACTTCAGATCCTCGAGCGTGCCGAACTGCATGTATCCCGCATTATTGACGAGGACATCAACTCGTCCATACACGGCAATCGCCTCGACGGCTTTCGCATCCATTTCCGCCTGGGGAGCTGTCACGTCGAGTTGCATGGTCGCGGCGCCGGCGGCTGCCAGGTGTGCGATTTTGGTGATGTCGCGGGCGGTCGCAATGACTTTGTCGCCGCGGGCGAGGGCCTGGGTGACGAATTCAGTGCCTAGGCCTGAGGAGGTGCCGGTGATGAGCCAGATTTGGGACATTATGTTTTTTTTGGGGGGGGTGTTTTGGGGGATGAGAGTGATTGTGTTGAGATCGTGTTGGAGTAGGGAGGTGATGGCTGGAGACGTTGGGGTTTATATACGTCGTGGCTACGATGAGGAAGGATTCTCGATTGCGACTACTAAGGTATATCGCTCGTCGATATAATTCATAGATGGTCCAATTACCTGCTCTCAGGAGGTACGATGGATGCATTTCCAATGGTGATGGCTCTCCTTAGCCCGATAGTCCGAAGATTTTCGGGATCGCAATGGAGGATCGGAGCGTCGGGTTCTACCAACTCGCAACTCGCCAACCAGCCAACCATGCAGGGACCTCATACAACGTATATATTGGGATTTCATAAAAAAAGAAAAATAAATGTAAATGTGAACGAATGTGTTTCTCTGCATTCATTGGGTCGCTATCAAAGCGACCAGAAGTCTATCTTTCGTGTCTATTGTCTAAGTATTCTCCTCTAAGTATTCTCCATCACTTAACCCTGGTAGTCAACGACAACAGCCAGACGAATAGGACCACCACCAGAGATGTTTCCGCCAATACCGCCGACATTAGTCTCCGCAGTGGTATAGGCATTGCTAACCGAGGCAGCGCCAGGGGTGATGGTCGAGCAGGTACCGCCGTGGGCATCACAGATCTGCATACCCTGCACCTTAAGTCCAGCATTCTGGGGCACGATAGCTGAGACGTCAAAGCCAGACCATCCGGTATTCCCAGTGCTGCTGAAGTCGAACTCGCCCCAAGTGGAGGCATAGGCGCCGTTCGAGTCCGTGGGGATGCTGCCGGCAGCGGCCGCGAAGCCGCCGTTGGTGTCCTCGTCAAAGGCGACGTACTTGGTCTCGCCGGGGCCGAGGGTGAGGCTGAGAGCGGAGTTGCCGTACCAGCCGGTCATCTTGCCGTCGGGGCCGTACTTGTTCCAGAAGACCACGTTCCAGGTCTCGGAGTTCTGGCCCTTGAACTGCGCGACGTGCTTGTAGCTGGGGGCGTCGGACTCGGAGATCTCAATGATGTTGCTGCCCCAGGGGCTACCGACGTTGCCGGCGTAGGTGATGTCTGCGCCGCTGGGGGCGGTGCGGCCCCCGAAGCCGGCGGTCGTCTCGGCTCCGCTGGCGGGAGTCGCGGTCCAACCGGAGCCACTGGAGCCGCTGGAGGTGGCAGTAGCGGTGGTCTGGCGCCGCTCGTGGCCCTGGGGACGGGCCAGGGCGCTGGAGGTGAGGGCTGCCAGCAGCAAAAGAGACTTGGTGAACTGCATTGTGGAGTTTTAACGGATAGAACGAGAATAAAAGGATTGGATGGTGGATATAAGCGTCTCGACGAGATTGACACGTAAAGAGAGCCAATGAAAGTCCGCGTCAAGCGATCTTGTAAAGAAAGACAGGAGTTGGTAGTCTAAAGGAATGACTGACGCAACAAAGGACAACGACAGATTTCAAGAGAGTGACTCGACTATAACAGTCGATGTGGATGAAAGAATGAAGGTGTGTATGCACACGGAGAATGAATGCAAGTGATGGAGAGCAGAAATCCAGGTCGAGAAGAGTTCCATCCTTATATAACCTTGAGGAACAGAAAAATTCTATCAGCACGCCACCCTGGGGTTCTCAGCACGCACCTGCGCTCGTCAACATCCATGGTAGCAATGGATGAGATGATCCTTGGATCAAACGAGCTTCAAAGCATGGGAAGGAATCGGAGTGACGGAGTGACGGCTGCGTCAGCGTGAGCGCTGCCCGTACTGGCTGTCCGCGCAAGAGCCAGCCATGGTCTAGATCAACGGGTTCCTGACGCCCTCAATGGCCTTCCAGGGGGTCATTGGGTAGATATGGTTTAAGACTGTAGCCAGGGAAGGACGGTATTGTGGTTGGATTGGCCAGAAATACCGAATGGTTCCTAAATCCAAGGAACGCTTTCAATGCCATTGGCCACTGTCATGTCAATGTCTTCCATGTGTCAGTCTTTCCGGAGTCATCCGTATGGATCCTTTGTAACCACTTTGGGCAAGGGGAAAGAACAAAAAAAAACTTGGCCATTTCGGAAGAGAGAGGGCCTTGTCTACCGGTCTAGGCTCTGACGCTCCTCCACAGGTCAAGCCCCAAGAGCGGGTCGGAGGCGCTGAAGTGAAAGAGTGGAAACTCTGAACTGGAAAGCACTTACGAGTCTTGTGGGGGACATGTCCGATGTGTCTGCTCATCTGTGCGGTATGGTGTTTTGATGATAGCCATTTTCTTGCGTCGAGTAGTGCGAGCCCTAACATCTCCATCATCAACAATGTTAAGAATACATATCTGAGTCAAGTCCCTATACTCCTCATGAAAAGCGTCACTGTCTTTAATCCCATGTTTTCACCATGACGGAATAATTGTGCCCCTTGAAATCTGGTGTCAATTCTGTGAAAAGACTTTGCATGTTGCCTGGATGAGCCATGGTTCACTCCGTCTGGGCCAGGGCAGCCGAACAAAAAGAATTGTTCTTTCCATTGAGCACAAACGCTGAGTGGTCAATAATGTGACTAAGCCAGACCAGGGCTCTTAAGCCGGCCAATGGCAATACAATCCACTGCAATTGTAGTCCTGGATTGATTGTTTCTCTGTCAGCTGACCCAGCATCAGCCATGGTTGCTCTTTTGGACCCTCAGGCACGCGGACTTTTTCTCTCGGCCTGCCACGTATTGTGATTTGGATTTTTTTTTCTCTGCGAATACGGCAGTTCGGAAGAGGATATAAATGCCATTTTGTGCTGTTAGTTGGGATGGCAGTGTTGGTGTCCTGGTTTGGCAATCCGGTATCGGACTTTCTGGTTGAGTCAAGCCCCTACGCGAGGGCAGTAAATCCCATCTTCTTCTTCCCTCTTGCCGAATATATCCGAGATAATATCGAGAGGAGATGAGTAACAATCATGACTGGTCCATGCTTCCTGCACTCCCACTCAGGTGACCGCGTCGAGGTATAGATGGTGGGTTAGGGCTGAGGTTTCTAGAACAACGCAGAAGATGTACGACTAGGATGGAGAATGTAGATGAAGCTAGTCAGCCTCTCCAAACTCACAGAGATTTGTTTTAGATATTGATGAAAAGTCCATATCAATTTTAAGTGGTAATTATTCATCGGTTTTTCTCCTGAAGTAGAGACGAATGAGTCGCTCATTATACAATATTACCTGCGCTGCTTTTCTTCCCTGGTGTACCTGGCATACCAAGTCGTCCTCATATATGTCCATGACTATGTACCCCAAACCCATCGAAAGCCAGCAGATGCAACGGCCCGCAGGATTTATGCTTAGTTTAGTCGACGGGGTACACCGTCATTTCGGGATGGCTTCACGATCGCAAGCCACGAACGCCACCAAATTAGATGGAGATATGAAAGGGCTCAAGTTATGGTACATGGATTACTCCGCACAATTTCCCCTAGGCTCCGCAGACAAGATCTAAGCAGTCCTGGCATGTCTGATATATATCTTGCCAGAATGTCGCATCTCGTTTGTGAGACGTTGCAAACTGTTATCATGATGAGGAGTATTGAGAAGTATGAGAACAGTGGAGCAAATTGAGGAAGACGATATCACTCACATAATGCTTGCATAACTGCCATCTCTTTTACATGGTTCGATGGCCGAATGCACATAGTGGTCTATCATTGCGGATGTTGAGTCGAGGGAGTTGAAAACAGACTGGCTCATCATCATCCTCAATAACACCCCATTGCGATTTCCCATTATCAAGTCCCTTCTTTTGGGAGCATATTATCTGCACAAAAACCGATGTTCTTTCTCTGTACAAGGACACCCTGCCTCCACTGCGCATGGTCCTCATCTTCTGACCACATTTTCTGCAAATACTCAGTCAAATCCCACTCCAGCAGTCTTCCATCAAGTAAAAACATGACCGATCCCACATGCTCGTAGATCACATTACGGTACGGCCAGTAGAGCACCATCTCCAGTATATGTTTGAGAGCAGCCAACAGGTAGTCGGGATGCATTTTATGGACAGTCGCAGTCGCCCGGTTCAACTTTCTCAGATCGTCCTTCGCCGTTCTGCAACGTGGAGTTTCCACCCCCTCTTGGAAGGAAATATCCGGTGGCCCAAGCAAGTCTTGTGGTATACCCGTCCTCGTACAGACGTCCAATCTCAGCGTTTTGATCGAGACATCTCTTTCGGAAAATGTACCCATTGCGATCGCAGGGCCGGATTTGACAAACCACTCAAGGGCCATTAAATTTATAGCTCTACAGCAACTGGATTGTGGTCCAAGAGAGAGTGATGGACGATAATGTCCCGGATTTCGCGTGGGAGCTGTAGAAAAGGTGGCGTTTGGGGCTTGGTTTCATCTGGAGGCATGACTCTTGTGGGCCTTGGGATGCGATAGATGTTTGTTGGGATCAACATGGAAGCGCAGTGCCTCTCAAATCATCATTGTCAATAACAGCCTTAGCCTCTTCTTTTGAGCTTAGCTTCGTGCTCATCGCGGGGCTGTTTTAATACTTCTTGATGGTGAGTGGTTGGAAAGGCGAACACTGGGACATTAGCAACAGCACTAGCATGAAATGCTTGGCTAGTTTGACCAACGATATGTAGCAAAATTGCATGATGACCCATAGATGAGATTTGATTTTTAATCACAAGGGAAAGATCTAAGTGAACTGTCAACAACTTGATCTTTCGCTTGTTGCTGTGGCTTGATGATGATGTTCCTCAACAGGCAGCTATAAGTCCAGCCCTCAAGATCCAGGACCATGAGAAAACAAGGACCGACACTACTATCCATGTGGAAGAACCGAGGAAGCATCCCAGCTCGAACGATGTAAATCCAACACTAAAATGGACGGTGGGGCGTCAGCCTGAGGCTAAGTCTCCAGTCCAAACTCCAAATCGCACGATTCGGGATTTCTTAAGTTAGCATCTCAGGCAGAGCTTTATCGCCTAAGATATCATACCGAGGTTATTTTATAACCCTACCAGACACGCGGGGGCTCTATTGAACCTCTCGTGCTCCTCTTCCTCCTCAATCCCATCATCATGGCAGACAGCTCCCCAAACTCCCTCCCGCCGCTGCGAATCGGCACGCGACGATCCAAGCTGGCCATCGTCCAAGCGGAGGGCATCCGTGACAACCTGCAAAAGCTCTCACCCGACCGATCCTTCGAGATCGTAACGCTGCACACCCTCGGCGACCGAGACAAGTCCACGGCGCTGTACAGCTTCGGCGCAAAGAACCTCTGGACCGCCGAGTTGGAGGAGAAGCTCAATTCGGGCGAACTCGATGTCGTCGTGCACTGTCTCAAAGGTACGTCCTTGGTTTTTCCACCAACCCGCTCACAACTGAAATTGTTAGATATGCCAACCACCCTCCCCGACACCTGCGACCTCGCCGCCATCCCGCCCCGCGATGACCCCCGCGACGCCCTCATCATCAAGTCCAGCCTCCCATATACCACCCTGCAGAGCCTCCCCGCCGGCGCCATCGTCGGCACGTCCTCCGTGCGCCGCTCCGCACAGCTCCGCCGTCTCTACCCCCACCTGCGCTTCGCAAACCTGCGCGGGAATGTCGAGACGCGGCTCGCGAAGGTCGACGACCCCGACGGCGAGTACACGTGCATGGTGATGTCCGCTGCGGGACTGGAGCGGCTGGGCCTTCAGCACCGCATTAGCCAGTACCTGGGTTCCAGGGACGGGGGGATCCTGCATGCGGTCGGGCAGGGGGCGCTGGGGCTTGAGATTCGGAAGGGGGATAGTGCGACGTTGGAGCTGCTTGATCGCTTGGGGGATGAGGGCTCGACGCTGGCGTGTTTGGCGGAGAGGGCGCTGATGAGGGCGTTGGAGGGTGGGTGTAGTGTTCCCATCGGGGTGGAGACGGAGTGGGTGGATTGGGCGGCGCGTTTGCTGGCGATGAGGGCCATTGTTGTCAGTCTGGATGGGACGCGGAGTGTGCTGGATAGTGTTGAGGTGAGGGTGCAGAGCAAGGAGGAGGCGATTGCGCTGGGAGAGGAGCTGGCCGCGAGACTGGTGAAGGCTGGTGCGGATGGGATTCTGACTGAGATTAATACAAATCGCCCGCCGAAGGAGTAATGATGCTACGATTATCGGGCTTATAGTATGATGAACTGCAATAATAGGAACAAACTCGACTCTATATGGCTTTGAGGTAGATGCTATGCAATATACTGCTGAACAATGACTCACGGAGTGCTTAGTACAACCTCAATAGGACTTGTGAATTGCCCATCGCCAAGTCTGCTTTTGGAGAATATCCTGATATTCCTGCCTTGGGATTAGGCGCCGATAGAACCAATATATAACATTCCAGGACGATCGGTTGCGAAGCCACGCTCGGCGAAGTGAAAGGCGCCTTAGAAAGGACCAAAGGACTGGATACTACCAGAAGAAGAATTTTTGTTCAAATCCCGGAGCATTTCACGGCTCTCTCTCTCTCCCCCCCCCCCCCCCCCCCTCTCTTGTTATTCACTTCACCGCGCCCGTTCTCGACATTCATGCTTCCTGTTAGATCCACTTGAGGCAGCGAGCAACGTCGCTCCCTCCTCCAACAACCCCAGTGACACCAGTATAGATTGCCTGGTCCTTTCACGGCATCCCCTTGACCAGTGCCTCGCTGAGCGGCCCAGGGACAAGATTGCCAATGCCCCTACCGGCGGTGAGACACGCAAAGACCATTCTGGACTCCGTAGAGACCTTCTTGCGGACCATGTCCCGCATTATCCCGGGCTAGGTGCTGGTGTAGGATCCGGCGAACAGGCCGTAGACAATGGAGAAGACGAAGAGGGGGGCTAGTGACATGGACAACCCCCAGATCAGAAAGACTGCGATGGTCAATCCTGATAGAGCGACGGCAGAAAGCATCCCAGAGCCTCGATGGTATTGCAGATCTGGAAGAGAGCGAACGTCGACGTGGCGATGAAGCGGAGGTTGGGAGGGTCCGCCTTGGGCAGCTGGGCAGCCGGCACTCGCGACTTGATAAAGTACGCCAGCGGAGTGGACACTGGGGAGTGAGACTAAAGTGGCAGACTAACTATGTAGACAGTGGATGGATCAGGATCTTTGGGTGTGGTGGAGTAAGGGCTATCTATCGAAGATAAGAGTAAGCAACTTGCTCCTCGCCAAGTCCAAAAAGATGCTAAGCTCTCTCGTTTTCTGTACTCTCTGGCGTGAAAGACCAGGATAGAGGAGCGGATTGATGGGAATTCAACACGTAAAATCGCTAGCTGGCTGGGGAGTGAAACCCCCTGGATTGGGCAGAATGAACATGCAGAGTAGAACATGGATGACAGAAACGGCATGGGACAATACATTCGGACAAGGTGTCAGACAAGGCGTCCAGCGCTAGTCAATCCCGAGGTGGGATAGCATGCATAAAGACATTGATGACAGTACTTCGCTTTATTGTGATATCTGAAGCATTGGTGAGAATGGAGAATGACCCTGGCTGCCTGGTCAGGTGGTAGATCGGAATAATGTGCATCCTAGCCAGCATGAAACGGATATATAACTCAGCTTCAGGGGCTACCAGTGATAACTCTCCCGAGTCACTTAAATCTTCCTCCTCGCACGTCTATAATCATTTTCTACGATGGCAGCGAAACTGGAGGCAAGTAAACTGCACATCATTCGCAACCCGCGGCCATCTGATATACCAAACCCTGCCGACCTCGAGTTTGGCAAGCATGTAACAGGTACAATATGAACAATGAGTAGCAAACGCCATTACGTGAACCTAACGGCACCTTCTCCTTAGATCACCTCCTCCAGATCCCATGGTCAGAGGACCATGGCTGGCATGCACCTCGAATCGTCCCCTACGAGAATCTCAGCCTTGATCCAACCGCAGGCGTATTCCACTACGGCTTCGAGTGCTTCGAAGGGATGAAGGCATACAAAGACGCCCAGGGCCGGATACGACTCTTTCGGCCAGCGATGAACGCTGCACGACTGAACCAGTCGGCAGCACGAGTCGCACTTCCAACCTTCAATCCCGTAGAGTTCCTGACCCTTTTGGCGAAATTCGTCGCCATTGAGGATCGACATATCCCTGCGTGAGCAAAACTTCCCACCCCTTCGTCGTAGATACGGTGCAATTATTGGAACAGCACTGACAATTGTCCTACTTAGTATTCGAGGATATTCGCTCTACTTGCGACCAGTCATAATCGGAACAAACCCCGGACTGAGCGTTACTCCCCCCACGTCCGCTCTTCTCTACGTGCTGGCGACCCCAGCAGGCTCCTATTTCCGCAGCGGATTCAAAGCCATCACGCTGGAAGCTATCAGCAGCTCGCAATGGGTGCGTGCGTGGCCTGGAGGCAGCGGCAGCCACAAGATTGGGGGCAACTATGCCCCCTGCATGGTGCCAGAGCTTGTGGCCAAACAGCGAGGGTCTGACCAAGTGCTGTGGCTCTTCGGAGAGGACAATCAACTGACCGAAGCCGGGACGATGAATCTGTTTATCGTCTTGCGCCGACCTGACTTGGGGTGTCATGAGCTGGTAACCCCGCCATTGGACGGCATGATCCTGCCAGGTGTCAACCGGGACAGCGTGCTGAGTCTGGCGCGGGAGAGGCTGGAGCCGCAGGGCTGGCTGGTCCGAGAACGGAGCATCTCGATCCAGGAGCTGGAAGCGGCGGCTGCTGCAGGCAACCTGGAGGAGGTGTTTGGCACAGGCACCGCGGCTGTAGTTGTCCCTGTGCGCTGTATCCGCTGGGCGGGACGGACCATCAACTGCGGCTTATCGTCGACAGAGGAAACGGGCCATTTGGCAGCAACGATGCGGGAATGGATTGAAGCACGGCAGTATGGTGAAGAGGAGCATGAGTGGGGTGTTCTGGTCGATGATCTTATTCAGGCCCACGAGGTTGGCCTTGGGGCTAGGCTGTGAGACTGTTTCATCGGTGATATTCACATGGGGGGATGCATTTGACCAATTGGTAGAGGGAAAGGCACGATTTGTGTCATGACAATGATCAGAGGGGCCGCGATTATTCATTTTTGTTCGATTTGGTTTACACTTCTTGCGCACTACTCTCTTGACAGTCGAAATCTTACCATACCATTCAGAATGGACCTTCAACCATAGTCAAGAGGTTATGTCTCCGCTGGGTGTAAATATAATGCAGTGGGCACGGGAACTCTGAAGAACAACGCGAATTCGTTGCAGTAGCTTTGAGATACCAATTGGACGGAGAGCAGAAAGCAAATCCTGAACCAATCTCAAAACTTCATCTGAGCAATTCTTATGGATGATTGAATATGAGATTTGGGGCCAATGGCTTGACGCGTACCGCTTTGGCGCCTAGCTATCTCAGACGCTGAGGCCGAGGTAGATGTACATCGATAGGTGCCTGGAATCAAACACTTTGGATCTTTGCTGCTATGGGATCACCTTGATTCTTCAATTCTTCTCACACTCAGTGAGTCCTGGTCAAAAGTGTATATAGCTGCATGTCTTCTTACTCCAAACTGGACCTGACACGAGTGACTTCTTGATTTCTGATAATAGTTCAATCTGTGTCCTTTTGACTCTCCACTCGCTGTTATTAAAATATGCCTCCAAATATGCTCTCAGAATATTGTACAAGAGGCTCTCTTCATGAAGGAGAGGCCAAGGGAGAGATCAAGAATATTGCAAATAGTGCGTATAGCAGCTCCTTGAGCCACATTTCCCATTAATATATATACCTACTAGACACACCATAGTCTCAACATACATTACCTACGCATCAGAGCGAACCGCCAAGAAAGCAATCCTATTTCTCACTGATGTTATCGGTCACTAACTAATCAACGTACAACTTATTACGGATCAATTTGCTGCTGTGGGTTACCTTGTCGTCATGCCGGATCTGTTCCACGGGGATAGTGTGCCCCTGAACACACCCGGCGGGTTTAAAACCATGGACTGGGTGCAGAATCATCTCCCCAAGCAGGCAGAGCCCATTACTGATGTGATTCTGAATGAAACGCGAGAAAGACTCGCGTGTGAGCGTATTGCAGGTGTTGGATACTGCTTCGGTGCGAGGTATGTCGGTCGGTATCTCGGGAACGGGAAACTCGATGCGTCGGGATTCACCGCGCATCCGGGCATGCTTGACTAAGCCAGGAAGTGATGTCCCGACACCTGTTTAGCTGAGTGGGGAATGTATCTCGTGGGACCACTATTGTAGGCTGGACGGAATCAAATAGTTGATCAAAGGAAGAGAAAACTAGCTAGACGAGAAGGTCGTCAAGCGACATGAAGTAGACCAAATCAATCCACACGGGATACTCCTCGCACAGACAGGCTCAGGCTGACCTATTTGCTCACTGCCATCAAACTCATACATACCTATCGAGGAACTCGTACCCCTTGAGAGCTGCCTTCCACCCTTCTGACTCGGGGTTGCTGCTGAGATCGCAAATATGCGGAGCTCCATCAATCAGTGCCAAACCAGCAGAGACCCCGGCGTTGAGGAGGGCTTCATATGTGCCCTGAGACTGTTGCCACGGAATCAAGTCGTCATTAGTCCCATGGATCAAGAAGGTAGGTGTACTGTAATTGCCGCGCAAAATCTGGGCTCGGGGGCTGACTCGAGCAATCTCATCGAGAGAAGGCTGTGGAAGAGCTTGCCAGTCCTGTACGTTCAGCCCCGTGCTTTTTTTCTTGCTGGGGAGACCACCGATAATGATGGGCAGTGCCTGGGCCTTCCAGTTGATATGGAGAACAATGCGACACCGGGGATCGGTTTGGATTCGAGGGTCAGATAATGGCTCCCATGCTCCAACGACGCCGTAGTTTGTGATCTTTTTCGTTTATAGTTAATTTCGGAACATGATTGTCGACCTGGAGCCGAGACACTTACCGGCTCATCCTGAATCGCTTCTAGCAGATCATACTCATCTCCCTTGTCTTCTGCGCCGAGGGGCTGAATGGGATTTTTCCACCCTGAATTAGGAAGTTAGCAAAACCCATTTTCTTCCTAGGAGCTTCAGCCTACAATCGTCTTCATAGTTAGTCGGGCAATAAAAGGCCAGGATTGCCTCCGGTGGTCTCAATCCTCTTTCTGGAGCAGTCCAGGCTAATGACATTGCCAACTGTCCACCAGATGACCATCCAACAACGACCACTCTGTCTCCATCAATCTGGATCCTGTCGTTCTTGAGAGTGATATAAGGCAGCTTGTTTCTAGCCCAGTCAAGCGCGTCACAAACATCGACCATAGGTCCATTGGCAAGATTGACTTCTGGACAGAGCCGGTGATCCAGACTCACTGGCAGAAATCCCTTCTCGAGCAGGAGATGGGTCTGGGCTGGGCGAATATCTTTGCGGGAGAAGATCATATGACTGCCTCCGTGTATCATCAGGGCTTTAGGCTAGTGATCAGAGTACGTTTGAAAAGTTCATCTAAGTGCGGTACTTACCAACTGGCAATTTAGTGTTTGTTCGGACCGAATGGACGGGGTAGTACACGTCCGCGTGTACCTCGGTGTCGCCTATAGTTTTGTAGACGACTGTCTGCACAGCAGCCTTCACAGAGGGCCTTTTGGCCCCAACGGGAGCTGACTTGAATGCAGCAATCACACGAACAGTCTTCGACTCCGGGGACTGTCCATCCGTCCACAGGACTTCTCTGAAATTGGCGGCCTTCATCTCTCTCTCCCACTGTTTTTCATCTACCAAAGCATGAGTGCGGTTGTCCTCAAACAGCCACCATCCTTCGAAGAATCCAACGACGATATCAAGCCAAACCATCTTCTGTGTTATCTCCACAAGCGCAACGGCCCCGTCCTGGCGAACCATCTTGTTGAGGGTGACAAGTGATTGGTTCAAGCTCCTTGTGGCATGAATACAGTTGGTGGCAATGATCATGTGGAAAGCGTTTTCATATTCACGTCTTGGAGCCTTCTCGACGTCGAGCACCTCGAATGACATTTCCTCCACATCTCTGAACTTCTTCTTGGCAGCGGAAACCAGCGACATTGATATGTCAGTGAAGACATACTCGAAGGGAATTCCTTGACTCTTGAGGTACTTGATAATGTATTTCGTCGTACCTCCCGTCCCTGCGCCAATCTCAAGAATTCGAAATTTCCCACGTCCAGTAGAGTTGAAAAAAGCGTTCTTGAGAAAATCCCCCAGGAGCATTGTTGGTGTTCGAAGAAGCGGCCAATTCTCGTACATATCCTCCAGAAGTTTTTTGCTGTCTCGGTCTCCGAAAATCAGCTGGAGGCCATCGATTTCCCCACGAAGACAATCAGCGAGTTTTGCTCCAATAACCCTTACGAGCTGGGTCACGGCCTTATGTTGCGGCCACAGGTCGACTATTGCTTGGTAGATGTGCTCCGCAGGTGTAGGATCGAGTGGCGCATGTGTTCGAACGAAGCCTTCTCCAAAGGCGAAGATTAGCTCTCCATCCTCTAGAACGCGATGGAACTGGCGTACGAGCTTTTTGTGTCTGGGCAGAGCAGGAACCTCAGGTACATCATCGCCAGGGCTCAATCTCGCCATATCACACCCGAGCTTAGCAAAGCCTTCAACGACGTATGCAAGAACGAGCCGTCCTCTGTTCTGCGTACGCTTGAGCCCAGAAATTGGCAGCCAGCGTTCCATCCGCAAGCTGATCATATGCAAATTCGATCTCCTTGAACGAATTATACGCAGAGTTAATCGATGGCCCGCTTTCAGACTCCTCAGGCAAGAGCTTTTCTTCCGCTTCAATTGGGCTCAACTCTTCCGCAACCAACTCTGGTGTAGTCGGCGCCGTAGACCGATCCGTATCTGCACCAAATACAGCCAGGTCTTCACCGCTGGATTCTTCGGAGCTCCCATCACCACCGTTGAAAATTGAATCAACGTAGACCACAAGGCTTTTGAGATCTGAACAGAACAAGAAGCTGGACAGGTCGATTGTTAGACTAAGAGATGCTCGAATGTCATTTATAACTTCTGTGGCCATGAGTGAATCGATTCCAAGGTCTTCCAGTGATGATTCGTCTTTCATATCCTCTAGAGGCATGTCCGTAACGTTGTGCAAGATTTGAAACAGCTCGGCTCGTTTGCTAGACTGCTTCTTAGATCTCCTAGCATGCTTGGACGACGGAGCAGCCTCGATTGTGAGGTTCAATTCGCTGACCAAGGCAGCTTCCGAGTTCTGACGATTGACAGGTTTGCTGCCGTTCTCTGCGGCTGTGGATTCGTTGACACCTTTCAACATCCTCATAAGCAGGGACTGAGACATTTTGGAGAATCGAAAGCCAAAAGCTGCCATCACCATCTGCTTGCTCTTCGCCTCAAAGACATAAACATCAGCGGAGGCATCATTTTGCCCGCCTTGTGTCATATTGGAATAAACAAGCCACTCCTTCGCGTCCGGATCGAAGTTCCCACCAATCTCAATGTGTGAGATCTTTGAGCACACCAGGACATGCTCTAGACTGTCATTGTTGAAATAGTTCACCAAGAATCCTGCGAATTGCATAAAACTGTCCGTCATTGGGGTGTCGCAGAGGCGCTGGTCAACTGGATCGCTCGGGTCTACCACCATCATCACCTTTCCAGAGGCTTCCATACGCAAGCAGGTGATTTTCTTGACCCCTCGGAAGTTTTCCCCATAGTGGACAATATGGTTGAAGGCGCGGTAGATGTGCTTTCCTTCCATTATTTCGGATTCAGGGTGGTTCATTATCTCCTCACAGCGACGGGCCCCAGTGAGAGTTTCGAACCGTTGGAACAACTGGGCTGCCCTGGGGTCATCACGTCTTTGAAGGTATACCCGTCCAGTTGAAGTCTCGAAAGGTTCACTGACACGACCCGTAGGACTGGGAAGAGGTTGAGTAGTAATCGAAAATGTCCAAGACGGTAGCGGATCATCTATCTGCTGTAGAGTGAGAAGGAGATCTTTGTTGGTATTGAGGCCAATCGGGGAAGTCATCACGAGGTCCTCCACCGCTGGTACAAAAGTAGCAGCTGAAGTATCCGATTGGAGAAACAACGCAGCACGAGCAGCAACCTCAAAGTATAGGGAAGCCGGTGCTAAAGACTGGCCTGCCATAACGTGGCCATTCAACATGGACTTGAACCGATCGCTCTGGGGCGCGATACGGAATACTGCGCTCGACTTCTTCTCGTCATTGAATCGTAGGAATTTGAGCAGCTGATGGGTGATGGGTTCGGCCTCGATGTTAGGCTCTGGAACCGGATCTTTCTCGCCTCTATCAGCTATGAATCCAAGCCAATGCCGAGTCTTCTCAAACTGATATGGCGGCAGACGTAAGAACTGGTAAGATGCCTTTTGAGATCGATGGAAAAGCCAGAACTGCGCTGCATAGCCTGCTTTCCACAGGTTGATGGTTGTATCTGCGAGCGAACCCAGAGCATTAGATGTTCTGAGCTGGGGAGACAAGAACAGGTGGTCGCGGCTTTCTGCTACACAACCTTTGGCAAGTTGAATGACAGATGATCCCCAGCCGACCTCGAGAAATGTGCTTTGCGGGAACCTTTTCTCAAGCCTTTCGATAGCCTGCTGGAAGAAAACCGAACCTCTTGTGTGACTCGCAAGTAAACGAAAATTGGGACTTTCTGAACTCTTGGTACAGAGTTCAAGGTGTATGCTGGGCTCTTTCCAGTTCAGCTCCTTCGATAAAGACGTTAGATGTGGTAGCAAGGGCTCTGTAAACCTAGAGTGAAACCCATTGGTGACTTGAAGTCTCTTTCTACGAACTGAGCCTCCTTCAAAGGAAGGGTTGTCCGTGAGCGTTGCCTCCAAGGCATCAATTTCCTTTGCAGAGCCAACCACAACATGGCTTCTTGGTCCATTGTAGCAGGCAATTTCGAGGTTACCTGGTACTGACCTGAGGAGTTTGAACACGGTTTGCCGATCTGCCTCCAAGAAGAGCATAGATCCTGCTTCAGAGCCCCAATTCTTCGTCATAATGGAAGCCCTTCCGCAAACCAGCTTTAGGGCATCGGCAAGTGACAGTACGCCAGAGACACAAAGAGCCGTAAGTTGACCAAAACTGTGGCCAACGACTGCATCCACCTTGAGCCCGCTGTCAATCCACGCCTTTGCAGACGCGTATTGTATGGCAAACAACGCAGAGTGCAAAGTCGCCAGATTCCGGACTGGGGTCTGTTGGAAGATTGCAGGGTACAAACCCTCAAAGCCTGATGAAACCAAAATTTCATTACAAGCATCGAGGTGGCGTTGGAACAGCTTCGCAGATTTGTAAACATTTTCGGATAGCCCGATCGATTCGCTTTCCTGGCCTCCGAAAACAAGAACCATCGGCTTTGGACTCGGTGTTGCATGTATGGCTGAAAGGGCTGTCAGCTTCTGCTTGAGCTCAGAGATGCTTGACACCGTAGTGGAAAAGAGATGCGAGAGCGAGTGGTTTGCTCTATCAGCTATATTGAAGGCCACATCGGATACGTGAACCCCTGGCTTAAGCTTTGCCAGCCAAGTAGAAAGCTTCTTTGAATATGCAAGGATACTGCTTGAAGACTCCGCAGATATTAACAAGGGGTATCTTGTTCCCACTGGGTCGTGACTAATTCTGTCGCTCAGGTTGATATTGAAAGATGGACCTTGACGAACCATGACAGCTGCATTACTTCCAGCGGCGCCATAGCTGTTGACACAAGCCAGAAAGAACGGAGCGTTCCAAGGCAGCAAGCTTCGAGGAATTTCCATTTGAGCATGGGTAAATGATGCAATCTTCGGATTGATCCGCTTGTGACTGGCTTGTTGAGGTATCTGCCCATGCTCCATCATGAGCAGGACTTTGACGAGCCCAGCAATACCAGTGGTAGCTTCGGTATGCCCAATGTTGCCCTTAATCGAGCCAAAGTGGATTGTGCTGTCTCTTGAAGCGCCGCCAAATGCTTCACATATACTGTTGCATTCAACAGGATCACCCACGCCAGTACCTGTTATCAGGAGTAAGTAAATGGTCGATCCAAGGAGGACGTTGGAAATGGAAATTCAAGGAGGTAAATACCGGTGCCATGGGCCTCAACATATGTCACGGAGTGCGGGTGAACGCCTGCCTGGTTCATCACGTTTTGATAGAGCTTGACTTGAGAACCTGAATGTGGCACTGTGATGTGACTGGAGTTTTGATTCTGATTTGCTGCTGACCCCACAATCACACCAAAGACGTGATCTTTCTCCTTGAGAGCAGCCGCCAAGGGCTTAAGGACAATCGCGCTGACCCCTTCTCCCCGGCAGTAGCCATCGGCTCCAGCATCAAAGGGCTTGCACTGTCCAGTGGGGCTGAGGAATCCGGCGGCTTTAAGATTTCGGTAGTCAAATGGGCTGGTAATCACATTTGTGCCTCCTGCAATGGCTCGAGAGCATTCGCCGGACCAAATTGCTCTGCACGCGGTATTAATTGCAACCAGGGAGGACGAGCAGGCCGATTCCTCTCGAGGATAATCTATGCTGTCACTACCCTACATGCCTGAGATTAGCATATTCGGTTTCACCTTGCATTTGCTCGTTTCTGGAGGAAAGGTACCGAACACTTGGCTGCCAACACTCTTGACAGCCGTCTGGCTCCGAATTGACACGCGTCTTCGCGTTTGTCTCGCTCAAAAATAACACACCCTCGGTGAGGCGCCCGATTAGCTCGGGCCACCGTCCGAGTTATTTGACTTAGGAGTTCGGCCAGAGACCGACTGAGCTATGTTCTATCCTTAGTAGTAGATGCCTTGTCCGGGAGAGCCGCTGGGCACGCACCTCTACGCAACTAAGGCGCTCTTACACCTGCTAGCAAGGCCCGGCAGGTGTTGATGGACAAGATTAAAAGTGCGGGAATATTAAAAAAAAGACATGCCTACATTTCCCTTCTATGTGATCTTATGCCGTTAATTTGGAATAACGCGAGTTTAAACCTCCCCATTACTGACTGGTTAGGCTCGAGCGGCTCAACCCCCTTAGCACTTTGGAGACAGTTTGTTTTGCAAAGAGTACTTCAGTGTCTAGAGGACCGTCCCAGAGTAATCATTTATTGAGTTGTGAGAGCTGTGATAGAGTTACAGGCCAATGCTTAATATATCAGTAGTGTGGTCAGGGTGACAGAACATGATGGTATCGAGAACAGCAGTTTCAGCTGATAGAAACCAATATTCTCTTCCTTATGATCACCTGGAAATGCGGGTGTACTGTGAGCATCCCTTGCCTAGCTCTATCTGGGGCCATCCCTCAAAAAACCTGGGCCGAATACGCTCTCAAACTTTGTTTTATCCAGGAACGTCACACACGCTTGAATCTTGGAGTCATACTCACCAGTCCCTGGCTTACACAAGGACATTATATTGCATAAAAGCTCCATGTTCTGCCGTATTTCACGGGTCGATGAGAACACATTATAGCCGATGTCCCGCGGGCTCTGCAAAACATCGAGCTGGACTTCGGCAGCTAACGCCAGCGGCCGCATTATGAAAAGTGACATTTCTCTATACACGGGGATCTTTGAGTGGGGCCAATGTTAGTATATACTATTTTCTGTTTTACATCGCGTGGGAGGGAGTATGCCCGTTGCGTTCAAGCTAGTAGGTGAAGGGAAAAAGTGAGTTTTGGGGACACATACTTGTTGAGCATCCGCAACATTTGCTTCTAGAAGCAGGTCACATATAGCGTTTGCAACCGCGACACATGAAGTTCGGTACTCCTTTGCAACAGGGCCTAGAAATGCGGCTTTCTGGGATCCAATGATAGCGGTTTTGAACCAATCTATGCGAGCGCCCAGGACAATAACACAGGTGAGTGCTCGTAGTTCATTTTTTGGCCCGTTGAGAAGCTCTGGTGTTGAGAGAGAGTTAAGCATGATTGTTATATCTCTCCCGATCTTCTCATGCGCAAGACAGAAATTATAGTTGGATGTGCTGTCTGATATGTATTTTTTGGTCATCTCGCGATGGCGGTCCCCGTCTAGCACAAGCTTCATAGAGAGAATGAAGAGCAAAAAGACGGAGAATCCATTCGTCAAACATTCCGTGATTTCTTCCGAAAGAAAGCTACTCTGATTAGAATCAGAATGCATTGTTGATCCGAGGATTGGCAATGCGGTGCGGATCTAGATCAGATTTGTTAATTACAAAAGAGAGGATGAAGTTGTAATCAAGGACAAGCTTACCCCGTTGTCTTTGACCGGTATACAGCAAGGAAAGCTTGCAGCCGCATTGCAGTGCATCGCAAAGGCAATCCAGAATGTTTGTCGTATCTTCTCAAGATATCCAGAGCTATGTGATTTTGGCAGCATGATCTGAGAGCTATCGCTCTCGCGTTCGGCTGACGTCTCATCGAGGGTGTCGTATGTAAGCAGGCTTATCAATTGCATAGTACGTGCTATAGTGAGAAGCCCTTTCGGTCCGCTGATGTGAGTAAACTCAAACCTTGCAACAAGAAGCAAAGCTTGCACTGTCTCGATGTTCAAGAAAGAAGAGCTATCGACCAGATTCTCGGCTCTTTCCAGATGGAACCGGGCAGCTAGGTAAGACTCCATTGCTAGGGCTGACTCCCCACATGCACTCGACCCAGAGAGGGCGACTGCATGTTTGAGGGCCATGCACTGGTGTGTCCCCACTGGAATGACGGATTGCGAGAACTCTTGCTGGTCGATAAGGATCAAGTGTTTCTGCACTATTTCAAAATATGACTGGCATCTGAATGATAGAATATTAGACTGGCTCTTGTTTATGCTGTTTATGATAGCAAATTACGTACTGTTGCTCAAGTCCGATGAATGGAGCGGTTGGCTCAAACGGTGGGTTGAAGGCAGAGCCTGGAGGCTTGGCTTTCAGGCTACTCATAGTCAGATCTAGATCTGACAGCGTTTCATCTGTGCCGGAGCTATTCACGGCATCGATCATGGCTGGTGGCTGATGGTAGCTGCTCAAGTACCTATCAGTTTACCAAATACGTCCTCGGGTTTGTTTACCGAAGAACGTACCTAGGGTCAAACTCGGAAAATATGACATTTGAGAAGTCCATTTCATCACCTTGTGACAGTAGATTGTACCCAAGCTGTGGATTGTGAGACATATGTCTGGCGGCTGATGCTGAGTTTGGTTCCCTGGACTCCATTGTGATCTGAAGTCCATATTCCGGGAGCCTCGTTTCCACTTGCACTACATTGGTAAGCGTGGACGAAGTCAATAGCCACCAATAACGGACTTTTTTTGGCGACGCAGCATCTGGAGGGAACCTACGTAGGCGAGACTGGAGTAAATTCAACGCCGACTTGATCTCGTCGTTATCTGTATTCTCCGATGGATAAACGCATCTCTGACCTGATTTATGACAGCGATGGCACTGCGGCTTCTCCCTACCACAGCGTACCTTGCGCTGGCGGCATAAATTACAGGTCGTTCGCTTCAGCTGAGATGAAGTCACATGGGTAGGAGATTGAGCCTTGTCGGCCCGACCCAGAGATGCCATCGTGATCGTCGCACTCAGCCTGGAGGTCATCAATAGGATCTTGCTTGGTTGGGTATAGGTATAGAGCACGATAGAACAGCTTCACAGCCACTGCAATTTTATATTCACAAGGAGATAAGATGCATGAAGCATATGCAATTTTCCAGATGGCGTGAGAGAGGGAAAAACACTCCCCAGGCCATGCTAAGCCGCGTTCGGACTGGTCTGACTATTGGGCCAGTCTGCGCAATGGCCTCGTAAAAGCTTCCACTCATCCTGTGTTCTAGTAAGCATTTGCATTGTAATTAAGCTACGGGGTATTTAGGTACAGTAGCAGGGTAGGCCAAGTCACTACATATAGCCGGATTAGGTGGCATTTCTGAACTACAGAGCTTGTAAATTCAAGTTAAGTGCACAAGTCTCTATAGTTTAGCTTCATTAGATTTAGTTTAGAGAACGGATATAGATATCTCTGTCTAGAGGTCATTATCTGATGATTCTGTTATATCTTCTTGGACAAAACACCACCCCTTTGAATTTTTATTAGTAGAATATCATGAAGTCTAGATATTAAGATATATATTTTCACAGGGAAGGTCCGTAGCCCATAAGACTGTAAGAAGTATGCAGTTAGCTGGGGGCCGCAGCCCGCCCCAAATCAGGCCCACCGGCCATACCCATTTCCATGGCTTGCTCACAATCAGAATCCTGGGTTTTCATTGGCTTTTCTCGTATTCAGAATTCAGATATTATGAATAGTCTTCTATAACCACTGTTGTAAAAAAATGACACTTAACCACCACATTCCCTACCTACTACATATCACCTTGATAGTTTCACTATATGTAAATTTGATACAGACTCTATTCGGTAGAAGTGTAATATGTTATCATCTAATATTTCAAGATAGCAGGGACTAGCGGCTGTATTGAATATTGATTGATAGCTTTGAAAAATGAAACACATTAAATTCTAGGCAATATTTAGGCCTACCACCTAGGTTTTCGGGCTATCTCTGGGTAACCCGGTTCAACCTAGGTGGGTACAGGTGCTGGGCCGGTTCCCCAAAGTTGGGCCTGAGCCCGCCATGGTTCGGGCCTAGCTAGGCCTCCAACCCCAGTCTAACTATACTACTTTCACTTAATCTTGCATTGCAATGAATGAGTGGCCAAATGCCCCTCGTGGAATAAACCCGGGTGACCTTGAATCCTGTAAGGATCTCTAAGAGGGAGATCGTAGCTACCCGGTGCGCTACTACATGGGTCTGGATTCGCGAGCTGCCGGGCAACTCGCGGTAATGTTAGTCTTTTAGCTTTGTGATCTTCTAGTCCCCAGCTAGCATCCTTACAATTCTGTTGCCTGGACCCGACAGCTTGGGACAGGGTGCGATCGGTATATATAACGCGATGTTGAACAAATAAGTCTATGGGCTTATTTTCATATGTTATCAACATTATTCATATACTCCGTAGAATAAATGGATATGCCATATTAAGCACCCAGTGATATTATATGCATTAGTGCTGATAGCATGTAGTGCATAACCATGACCTAACTATCAGTGATTTCAGAGCTGTGAGGCATTTGCATTCCATATGTGTTATCAGTGCTAGACGCCTCATACTATTTAGTGCCTCACTTGCCTATATTAAGGCATAGTCTATATACAGAGTCGACTGCGTAATTATTCATAGTGGCAGGGATGGATTTAAATACCCATTTGTAAGGGTTTCTAATAGCCCTCTTAGACCTGTCATGTAGACGGTCTGATACATACTCACTCAGCTAAAAGTTGTGAGATTCCTAACTTAGTAGTGATATATATAGTTATGTAGTTGTTGACATGGTGTTGCCCCAATTGGTCATTAGTCAGGCCCTTGTTTTGAATGCTGAACACCTCCAAATGTCCTTTTCTTGGCCATATGTGTAAAATCAAAGATGCTGCCACAGCGCCATCACAACCCGGTCCGACCCGCAACCGCCAATAAATAAGTTGAAAAATATGCGGGGATTCGGGGTAAATACAAATACAGTAACATACGGGATGTAAGCTGATGTAGAGTAATATATTCCTCTCCGTTAAGGTTTGTATGGCATTTTATAGTAACAAAAGACATGCAGAAAAGGGGGCCTGGCAGTACGCCGTATGCGCATATCTTTTTCGGCGGACTCAGCAAGTGGGTATGTACTATTTGTGAATACCGTATTCCGACAAAAGCCCAGTCAGTGTGAGGTGGTAACTCATTTATAACTAGGTAGATACTGGGCGAACTTCATATGTAACTTTACAGTACTATGACTACTACGTCTATTAAGGCCTCCCTGGTTGGATATGCAAGCAAGCAGACACTTACAGTGATTTGGCTAAGCGCGCCGCTCCGTGTTCATCTACTCTCCTTTCCTTCCCCACACTTATTCTTCTTTATAATGAGCCGCATCTTGATAGTCATTAGAGAGCTAGAATACACAGAATACAGACCGCCTCATAAGAGTATGAAGTAGGTCATCAATTTGTTCTATCACTTCTACCAACCACCCTTGACCATGCAGTCCGGTCCACCTCAGGGCTCCTCAGTAGTAGGATTTAGGCTATCACGCTGTCAGTGCGCTTGCTAAATCGGACGCGTAAGTTCTTCTGCATCCAAACCCCAGCATAGAAAGACGTCCACGGTTGAGAAGGATTCACTAGGGTGATGTCGTATTTGCGCAGAACCTGCGGAGAATTAGCTACGGGACAATGACTGATTCTTGAGTTGGACGAGCTTACCTCCACAAAAATCTTGTTGAGCTCCATCATAGCTACCTGTCTGCCTGGGCATGAGTACTTACCCGAAGCGAAAACCAGATCGACGGTGCCGCGCATCTTCTTCTCTCGAGCCTTCTCAGCCTCCCCTTCCCCAATATTCAACCACCTCTCAGGCCGGAACTCATCGGCATCCTCCCCGAAAATGTCTTTCGATCTCTGAATCCCCATGATAGATACTCCGATGTTAGAGCCTTCAGGCATGAAGAAGCCATTGATGGTGGCGCCTCCGTTGGGCACAAGCTTTGATGCAAGAAGACCAATAGGCGGCCAAAAACGGAGACCTTCCTCAATTACCGCCTGGAGATAGAACAAGTTTTCAGCTTCGGCTTTGGTTATGGGTGAAGATATTGGACCGGCGTTATCTATTTCCTTGCGGAGCGTCGAATAGATGTGTGGGGAGCTTATGACGTGCAGGAAAATCGCCCGGATCGCTGTTGCTGTGGTGTCGGATCCTGCCACACTACTCAGCAGATCAGAGCTTGTAACGTGGGTATGAGCTTTGGAGCATCTTACATCTGAACCAGGGTCTCTGAGTTCGCTTCCTCTTGAGTCATCCCATGGGCAATAAAGCTGCCTAACATGTCTTTGCGGACTATCCTGTTTGGACCGAAACGCTCACTCACCACTTCTTTGGCAAAGCTATGGCTCGATTAGCTGAACTTCCATCCAGCTTTGAGTGCTCCTGGAGGTGGAGACAAAGCTCGCGTCTTACCCCATTACCTTCCCCATCCCCTGCTTGTCGGTGTCTTTCGGGGCCATCATTTTCAGGAATTTTGACTCCAGCACATTACACAGCCAAGGGTAGACCAAAACAATAGCTACAACAGGCATGAAACTCTCTGTCATGGAAAGGTAACGATAGACGTCCGAGTCCGACTCCAGATGACCAAAGTTCTTCCCAAACGCCACTGACATGATGACGTCCAGAGTGAAATACTGAGTGATTCGGGCCAGGTCAACAGTTCGATAGTCAGACGGTGTCGACAAGTACTTCCTCTCAATTAGGTCGACGAAGGACTCCACGACTCGGTCAATTTGGCCTTCGAGACCCTCGACGTCCTTGCCATTATACTGCAAGCCCTAATCAGCGATTTCTATGAAAAAAAATGGTCTAGGCTAGGTTACCCCTGCTGTAGTTTTCAATTTCAAGGTCTTATGAGCCTTTTCGTCTCTCATCGACAGTATGTTATCGCTACCCGGTCTGAAGCGCGCGGCTTGGTAATCAAGAGCCCTGATGAAGCCGGAACGTGGCTGCAGGATTTTTACCACGCTCTCGGGATTGGCATTTACTGCAACATTCAGTCCTACCCGTGCTAGTGGGCCTTCACTCCGGTTAGCATGAAGTGAACGCATGGAGAGCCAAATTTAGTTACCATATTTATCAGTAACGTCTTTGATCGCCCAAGGCAAAGTCCCACGATGCGCATGCCACGCCAACCACAGGTTCGAGAATGAGGCCAAGAAAGGACCGGGAATGTGGCTCAAACGACGCCATGCAACGAATCGTTGTGCAAGAGAGACTAGGGACAGGCCGAGTAAAGTTACAAGTAGAACTTGGACTGACACGCTTGTTTCCCCAATCTTGAAGCTTGGAAGGATCATAGCGGCAACTGAATATGCTGAGTTCAGGAGCCTCTGGAGGAACCAAGTATCAGGGTTTGACGTGATTTCAGTTTGCATAACGATCTTTGATTCTCTAAAAGTGCAAGTGAGGGCAATTAGTATTCTGATAAGCGGGACAGGCAAAATACAGTCATTCGACAAGTTGCTAAGGTAGATGATCTATTGAAAACTGTTATATGCGGAAGGTCATGAAGAAAGCCTCTCGCCTTGATTCAATCGTACGTTGTGAATCATTGAGTAGCACTTCCACGCTCCGCACTTTCTGAGAGCACAAATCTGCAACGGTTGCCCCCCCGATGCTCACCCTCCATCCCATGTCTGAAAAGAGAATCGGCTCGGGCTTACTACCGAGCAATGTGGTTGTAGCTGTTGACCGAACACATATGGCATCTAGATATCCAACACCTTCGGGACCGAGTCCGACATCTACATGGGCTGTGTTATCAGAAACTAGAGCTCTCTCCCTATCTTGCAATCTTTCAATCACGTCTTCCATTACATTTTTCACGTCGAGTATTTCCAGAGCTTCCCTCTCTCTGTCAGATCAGCTCGGGCTCGACATCGCCAGGGCAATCAAAATATGTTTCATTGACTTCGGCCGAGCTGCCTTCCCTCACCAAGGACATGCATGACTACGAGGTCGTTAGGCAAACCAAAAAGCCTCTTGAAGTCGGCTCATGAAAATACCAAACCGAGGCTTTGTCTCAGATGTGATGACAAGAATGTATTCAAATATGGAGAATGACATCTCCTCCTATTGGATTATGTTGGATTGGCCGGGGTCTATATAGAACTCGTGGTCGCATAAGATTAAAGGGTATTTATGGATATTGCCTTTTTTTTGGGCTTGGACAACCAACATCATTACCTAGAAATTAAAGGTTGAGCAGGTTAGCATCTTTCAGCCACGGCATGTTTCTACCCTTCGGCTGGTCAACAAGAAGTCGGACGCTGCCAGCCAAATCTTAGTGATATCTCGGAAGCTGTCCGAGGCTCCGAGCAGGTCTGTGGATTTAGATTCCTTGCCTTTGGAAAAGCTATAATAGGAATATATCTGTGTCTTACAACTCTAGGACATCAGGATTCTAAAATCATTCACATACTCACGAAATGATATTCAAAGTGGCCATAACAGTCGTGCTTATTCTTTCATTTTATTTGGTTCTTCTTATTGAACTAATCTCTGGATTATTGGAGAAGATCCAGTTTGTCTCCCGTTGGTTCCTTTCGCAGTCGATACTGTCGCCGTATTCTGGCAATGGCGATGTGCCCAGTGGTGAGCCATCCAAGGGTGAAGTGTCCAGCAGTCAGTCATTAGCCAACAGGCCTTCAATACCCAACAGTGACACATCAGCCATTGCCTTGCTTGCCAAAGAGATTTGCGAAGTATGCTCGCAATTATCTTCCTATCCCATAGCAGCTATTGAACGCAAGCCCGGTTTCAGCGCTGTTTACACAGATGTGCCAAAGACACCGGAGTATGAATCTCTGCGAGCACGACTCAATGACACTACTCTAGACTTGCTATGCCTCGTTAATGGCCCAAAGAGCACTCTACGGACCTTTGCCTTCTCTCACTATGACCTGGCGGCGTTGCAGATTGCAGTAGAGCGAGGCTTCTTCAATCATGTTCCGCTGCAGGGTAGCGTCAATGCGGCAAAGGTTGCAGAGAGAGCAGGGATGGATGAGGATCGAACTACGAGGTTGCTATCCTTCCTTGCAACGCGTCGTATATTTGAAGAAGTAGGCAGTGGGAGCAGCGTATTCAAGCATACGGCGATGTCTGCCCTGATGGCGACGGACAGGGACTTTCATGCAATGGTGCACATGCAGTGAGCCTCAAGTCCTTGGTTCAAAAGATAAAGTGACATGGTATCTCCTTGAAACTAACGCGGGTGGTTGTTCACTAGAATGGATGAAATGTTCAAGGCGGCTTCCGAGGCATCAAACCTCCTTGAACGCTCCCCGTACGTCTCAGACACTGAAAACTCTGCGTTCTGCACAAGATTTGGAATACCCGCATACGTATATTATGAGCAGAACCCTCAGAAGGGAGCAAGGTTTGCACAGTCAATGGACGCATGGTCCCGATGTGAGTTTATTCCTTGGGCAGTCGAGGTCCAATATCAATTTTTTCTCGCTTCAGCGCCTAAAGTAGTATCATTCTAAACTCTGTGACACAGTGGACGGCCAGGTTACCAAGCTCGTGCACAGTAGCTTTCCCTGGGCATCGTTAAACAATGGCAAAGTAGTAGATATCGGTGGTGGATCAGGTCATATATCAATCGCGCTCGCTAAGGTATGTTGCCTGACCCTATTTTGACCATGTACAGCTGATAAGGGATAATATTTGTGCAGGTGTACCCATCTTTACGCTTTATTGTACAAGATGCCTCCGAAAGGATGCTCTCTCGCGCAGATGAAGAAGTCGTACGTAGTTTGGGAGGCCGTGTAACCTTCCAGCGACACAACTTCTTTGAGCCTCAACCTGTCCACGACGCCAATGCCTTTCTTCTTCGGCAATGTCTTCATAACTACAGTGACAATGACTGTATCAAGATTGCCGGCGCATTGGTCCCCGCCCTGGAAAAATGTGACCCAGGTACACCACTTCTACTGAATGAGATTATTCTGCCGGAGAACGGCTCCACGACACGTCATGTAGAGCACCATCTTCGTCAGGTGGATATGACAATGATGATTGTTCTCGGCGCAAAACAGAGATCTAGGCGAGAGTTTGAACAACTCTTGAAAAAGGCAGACCCACGATTCGAGGTGAGGATTTGCTATCTCTCATATGTCCCCCTCTTAGAATGATCTAAATGCCGAATATGACTCTTTCAAATGATTGCAGGTGATGAGGACCTTCGAAAATCCGATGGGAGTGGGCTTATTGGAAGTCCAGCTTAAGGCGAACTAGGTTGAGAGATACAGGACGAACTTTAGGTCGTGTTAGGATTCGGCTTCAGAACTGCAATTATCGCTGACCAGCGCTCAATTGGTCATCTTTTATGCTGTTTGTAGTCCTATCAGAGCTAGTCAGCTATCCCTTACGATAGATACATTTATCGCCGTTTTTATTTTTGACTCAGCCAATCCGGCCATTATATTCCTGTCATCAATTACTAGTATATGCCCCCATGGCGAAATTCGACGGCTTATGAGTCCAAAGAAGAATTTGGGGCGCAAGCGCCTCCTCGTATGGGTTCTCCCAGGCTGAGCTGAGGGCGTCCTTGAGAAGGAGCTTCCGAAATGATACAAAGGCTTCGAGAGGTTGGTTTCCGAGGAGGTGTCTTTAGAAATTCGACCCTGCCCTGTCGTGAGAGTGTGGGCATGCAAATTGGAGTGGACGAAGGGAAAGTGCCACAATTTCGGTTCTCTCTATAACCACTCACCAAGGGAGAAACGTAAAGATGGGGTCCTGTGAGTGGTAGGGAATAAAGAGGATTATGATAAGCCTAAAACGGCTACAAGTAGTTCCACAAGCTTAAGATAGAGCTCTGTAATAGAGTGAGCTTTATTTAGAAGAATAAATTTCTGTACTTCGGCATAGAGACAGATTCCTATGGCAGTAGATGTACAGTTATCTCCCTACAATTGCACGAAAAGCGTATATGAAAACTAGGAGTCTTCAATTGCCGGACGTGATTAGCTGTACAGTGCAGCTATAGTATCTTGGTCTAAGCGCTGGTAGTGATGGTAGAATGCCTTGTGGGTAGCTGTGTTACCTAGAGAGATGCAGTGAGGTGATTCAAAGTAAAAACTGATAATGACAGCTTGCAATTCTTCTGGACAAAGAAAAATACACGGTCACAGATGCAAATCAGGGGGTCGACATCTTGGATCTCGCATCATGCAGATAAGGAAAGTCTTGCTGGATAGGCATTTACAGAAAGCAGAACATATTGACTCAGGTTTTAAGAGATAAGAAGGAATGTAGTATACATGCTTCAGACACAGCTGAGTCTAAATTCCAATGGAGGGCCAGGAATGTATACAAGGTGAGAGTATAGGCGTTTGTGAGCATCATGTTCCCCTCAGAGTGGATAATCCATCATGCATGTCATGCCTTCTAGGTCCTAGAGACCTATAATCTCGCGAAAAAGACTACCAATGGTCAACTAGGGGAGAACCGCTGCAGTAGCAGTAGTAACCAATGCTGTGCTCCCAGCTGTAGAGATACCACGGGATGTGGACCAGAAGGGTTGTGAGCGTGAGAGACCCTTTAAGAAAGGATTCTACACAGAACCTCCAGGGCCATTCCACCGTAGCTCTTGCGGTAAAATAGGGGCTTTAGCAGCCTAACGGACGCTCCACACCAAGGATTGGACGCGGATGGAAACCAAGTCGCCATCTCACTTATTTTAACACCAATTGAGTAACTTGGCAGAGAGAACGGGGCAGATCTGTGTGCCATTATAGGTGGGGAACGAGCTCATCAAAATTGCGGACTGAGGAGAACCTCCAATAAGCAAGAGAAGATTGCGTTGGGAATACACACTCTTTATTGCACGGCATGAGGTCAAGATATCCGGCGACCTGAGCGTTGCTGCTTTTATTTCGGGTAGAAGGCTCGCCGAGGAAAGGTTAAAAGACATGCATAGAAATACCGGCAGGTATTATATTTTCGCCCAACTGCTGCAGAGACATATCTTCCCAACGGCAGGGCCACTCAAGGTTTTTGACATCCAGTACCTACACTCCTGCCCGCGAGTTGGGTGCCTGCCAGAACGAATCACAAAGTAAACCCTACAACCCATGGTTCGGACACTTGAGCGCCTATTCGAAGCCTAGCAACAACGGTAAGAGAAGGCAGATGAGGCGCACGCCAAACGGTACCCCTTCTTCGAAGATGGAAAGATGGAACTGAGGCCGGGTTGTTTCTTTCAATTTACTGAGTTCTCACAGCGGGATTGGGAGGACAGTATCTCTGCTCAAATTAGGTTCAGGCAACAAGTAAACCTCTCAGCATATCGATTAGCATGGGGTGTGACTCTAACAAAGAGTTTTGGCCCAAACACTAGATCTGAACCACATCCGGCAAGAATGGAGAACATACGTTGTTTTAAAACTTGAGGCGAAGTTGGCTATGAAAGCCATGTAAACGGTTCATCACTGAGAGGCGACACGTAGAGTCCTCAATCTGCCCCCATCTGTCTCGATCGGAGCTCTGCACAGTAGGGGCAATAAAAGTACTATTCACTCGACGGACCGGTTGCATCCAGAATACATGAACAAGAAAAATTCCCATGATAAATATCCAGCGGTTGGCGAGCCATGTGGCTTTGAGGTGTGATGGGCGTAATGCTTCGGCGGCGCAGTTTCCTTCTACGGAACCGACTGGTTTCTCTTGATTAGCGGAGCAATGAAGGCGAGATTGTGGCATGGTTATTATACGTTTCTGCAGAGAGGGATCAAGCCCACTGATATGGCTCGACAGTATGTTCAAACAAAGGCATCGAGAAGCGAAAGAAAATCGGCTGCCGTCGGGCGATTCGGCAGCCGGTGCGACAATTTCGGTTGCCTCCGACCACCTATCGATACATCTCGGGTCGATGGCCTTTTCAGATCACTAATCTGTAGGCTTCCGAAGGTTCATGATGCTCAGAGGCAGACCAAAACAAGATTTTTGATCTCCGGTCCGTGAAATTCAGGATGAGGCTTCTTGCTGCATTTGCAAATGCGACGAAGTCAGGTGCACAAATTGGATTTCTACTCGCATTTCTTGCAAACCATTAGTCCGTATGTTAATGGGCCTAGGGCGAAGCAAGTGGTCGACCAATTGGGATGGTAAATAGTTAATTATCTGAAACCTCCAACCCATATCTGTGTCAGGAGTATAAAGAGAGCTCGCTGCACCACCGCATTTCACGAGTCCGACATGGTAACACAGCGAATGAGTCACAGCAGCTTATGATTACTGGAGACATACCGAGAGCAATTACCTTGTCCGATGGCTTGCATATTGGGTATATTGGGTATATTGGGTAGGGCTCGGGCGCTCGGCCGAGGTGATGTGGAAAATAGCTTCGGGGGTCTGGCCGAGCATGTCGATCCGAGCTCGGCAGCTAAATATCGGGTCTCACTATGACTGTGGCTTGTCGACAGCCCTTGGGAATCGGAGAGATCGACGTCGCTTTTGGTTTAGCATTTTTGTAGCTGCATATTACGAAATGAGTCTCTTTCGGATGCACCACCGAGCCTTGGAGGTAAAGATATGCTGAAGGCTAAAGGCTGCACTATATCTTATTTTGAGCCAGAAAGTTTCGTTGAGATTTTCTTTCTCGCTACATCATCATCACCAGTCTCAAAGGTAGCTAGTTGGTTTGAGCGTTCTCAGCTTTGAAACACAATCATGTCAGCATTCAGCGTTCGCGATGCGCCGTTCGGCCAGCTATGTCGACTCGCTTTCGGTCCTAAGCTGTTCCGGTATCCTGATGAGCAAGAAGGCTTCAAGTATCAACCGGCGGAAGAAAAGTCATCTGAAGCGTCTACGCCTGAAGAAAACGACTCGACAGATACAAATACGGATGTGGAAAAAGCCCAGCCAGTACCGTCGCCAGGCGGTTCAAAGTCTGGTTACCAGACTGTAGGGTGGTATAGCGACAGCGATCCCGAAAACCCACAGGTGTGGTCTCTGGCAAAGAAGACCGCTACATTTGCCCAGATTTGCCTTCTCACCTTTGCAGGTCTGTTTACGAGGGACTGGGTACGAGTTGTTCCTGACAGGCTATAGTATACTGTGGATCTGCAATCATCACTCCAGCCCAGCCGGTATTTGTCGAAGTGTTTGGTGTGAGTGTCCAAAAATCATCTCTGGCGCTCTCGATGTATGTTTTGGGATATGTAAGTTATTCTATACCTTCAGCTGATATGGTAACTACTAACGAGCGTGTGTTAAGGGTATCGGGCCGTTATTCTTTAGTCCTTTGTCCGAAATCCCAGCAGTTGGGCGGAACATTCCATACTTTGTTTCATTCTCGCTCTTTATCATCATCACGGCTGTGACCTCTCGAGTGTCGAACTTTGCAGGATTGGTTGTCCTACGGTTTCTCCAGGGACTCCTAGGCGGCCCTGTTCTGGCGACTGGAGGAGCCTCGGCTGCCGATATTCTTTCTTTCCCAAAGATCCCTTACGGTCTCACGTTCTGGGGATGTGCCACCTTGGCAGGGCCTGCACTTGGCCCGCTTTTGTCAGGGTTCTCGGCACCGTTGAGCTCCTGGAGGTGGTCTATGTATGAGCTGCTAATCCTCTGTGGCTTCACATGGATCCTCCTCTTCTTTTTCCTGCCAGAGACCAACGCCGACTTTATCCTTCTGAAACGGGCCGAGCGCCTGCGCAAATCTACCGGAAATCAGAATCTTCGATCGGAATCGGAGATCAAGCAAGGCAACATCCACTTCCTGTCCCTTCTGGGCGGGTATCTGACGACGCCTTTCCTGGTCACGCTGAGGGATCCGTCTGTGGCTTTTATCAATATCTACACCGGCCTAATCTATGCCATCTTTGTGAGTCCCGGAATCCCATGATCATGGGGCATTGGCCGCAGGAAAGTGAGCTAAGAAATGACGCTTAGTACTCCTACTTTGAATCGTTCCCGATTGTTTACACCCAGATTCACGGGTTCTCTACGGGCATAATGGGGACTATCTTTCTCAGCGTGGTTGTTGCCTGTTTCTTCGGAGCTGGCTCCTACCTTGCGCTGGTCAAGTTCCACTACGAGCCTTACACCTACAAGAACGGAATTGGCTCTCCCGAGCATCGCCTTCTTCCGGGCGTTGTGGCGGCCTTGATTGCACCGTGTGGCATTCTTATTTTCGCTTGGACCTCCCGGGACTGGATCAATTGGGTTGTACCCACGATTGGCATCGTTCTTTACATGTCATGTGTCTTTGTGGTAAGTGGATTGACGCAGATCAAAAGGGGTCGAGGCACTAACGACTTCCCAGATTACAATGTGCATTTTCATCTACTTGCCTCTCTCTTATCCTCGCTATGCTGCGAGTCTGTTTGCCGCTAACTGTGAGTTGGAAATACGCTTCTATGCTACTCGTCCTTGGAAAATGGTCTCCTCTAACCCACCTGTCAACAGCGTTCCTTCGTAGCGCACTGGCTTGTGGCGCCATCCACTTCTCGCAACCCCTTTTCAAAAACCTTGGGATTGGAAGGGGATGTACAGTCCTCGCCGGGTCGACGTGGGCATGCTTCTTCGGTCTTCTTATACTCTGGCGGTATGGTGACAAACTGAGAGCCAGAAGTACTTTCGCCCAGGTTTACTGATGGTCCCGCCGTGGAATGGTTTGAGAGACGAGAATTCAGTATGGCCAGCACATGGGTTTGGAACTTACTGGCTGGAAGAAACGACCGGTTGAGAGTTTGCGGTGTGGATGGTCTTCGGATTGTGGACGCCAGTGTGATTCCTTCCCAGCTGAGTGGCAATATCATTGCTACAGTCTACGCGTTAGCGGAGAGGGCAGCGGACTTGATCAAAGAAGATGCCTTGGGCGCTCTTTGAGGCCGAAGAGGAGTAGTTCATAGCACTAACAGACACTGGTTCAGATGCCGACTGGTTCGGGGAACGTAAACTGTTCTCTGTGAGGTAAGGCTTGAACAAGCAGAATAGCAGCAATGCAATTCAATCGATGGTTTAAGCCATTTTCCCAGAACATCTATTGGCACGTCATCGTCCCTTGGTTCGTTGGGAGAATCGCGCATACCAAAGTTTTATAAATTCTAAGCCAATCCGGATTTGCACTCTCAAGCAAGCAGTGTGACCTGAACAATATGGCTACTAGCCCTAAGTCTCATCGATCTCTCAGTTCATCCCTTACCCCCTCCTCAAAAGCTATGAGGCAGCCACCTGTGTGGGAGGTGAACGGACGTCCCAATATTCGCAGAGCATCACCATACCCAACCATCTGAACCACGCAGTGCTTACCTCAACCTATAAGTGGGAGCCCATCACGTTGTGTAGTGCAAACATCTCGTTAACTATAGGTATCTAGTTACATCCTAATGAGATAATCAGCCTGATCAGGAAATTCCACTCCACTGTGTCTGCTCCACTATCATGCAGATCGATTTCCGGACGAAGATAAAGTTGGTCGTGCTAAGAGAGATCCCAATGCTTCTCATTGGGTTTTACTACTATATCTGAAGATTCTTATCTAGATCAGAATAGTAGGAGCTTCCCAACTAGGCTAGTGGGAAGGAAGATAGTCAAATTCATAGATTAAACTATTGGGCGTTCCCATATACGTAGTAGTGTTTGTATGTCGACCTGCACTGATTTTGTGATTACTCAACTTGAAGTCCCACCCCTGATTCAAGCTCCGAAGCCACAGGATACTATTGGGGGGTTTTGCCGCGATTAAGAGATAGCCTTCTGCACACGGAGACTTTTGCTCTTGGTCAAATGTATGATCTACCAGAGGCAATGTCGAACTATATCTTGGAAGCGGGAATCTGCAGAAGATGTATATAGCGGTGTGGGATGAACTATATATAAAGCAGAGTTCTCTCTTTAGCCACAGAAGAAACATAGTCCTCATATCGTTCTCTCGAATCCGACCATTTTACTATCTCCTCGTGTCAGCCAAGGGCTCAAATCAATCAATCAATCAATCACTCATCCCATAATTCTATCTTCCTCTCCATTCTCCCATTTCCGTCCTATATAAACCACCTTTTAACTACTTCTAGCACATACGACCATAGGGTGTGGAGAACAGGGCTTCCCGTCCGCTCAGCCGTACTTAAGCCACGCGCCGGCCGGTTAGTAGTTGGGTGGGTGACCACCAGCGAATCCCGGCTGTTGTATGTTTTTTTTTTTTTTGCCAATCAGTATCTCCCCCGTAAACTTTTTTTCTCGATAAGTTCCAGCGCAAGGCTATATCTATGCGACTGTCTGGAAGATATTGATTCAAAGCAACAGAGATGCTTTTACAGCACGCCAGTGATCATTTTCTCATACTCAACCCCCCCCTCCCCTTTAATTTATAATAGGTAAATCTATTCATGTAATTAATAAATTTATTCTTATAAAATTAAGTAAAATATATCTCTTCTCTCTCCTTAGGAATTTTATATAATTCTTTAACTATCTACTAGTCTTAATTATAATTATACTATAGTCTTTTCCTAATATAGTAGTATTAATATTCGCCCCAAAATAACCCCTATATCCTGCATTTACAAGGCCACCGCCGCCAGCGCAACAGCAGCCACAGCCCCGACAGCATTCCACTTCAGCATATCCGCCCCATTGCCCGTCTGCTGCGCACCCGCCGAACCACTCGTACCCGACGCCGCAGCAGACGAGCTTCCCGTCTTCTGTCCCGGCTTCGAGGTCGAGCTCGCATCCGACGCAGTCACACTCGCCCCAGAGGATACCACCACACTGCTCGTCGCCGCCGTCACGCCACTCGCCTCCCCAGTCGTCATCGTGGAGTCACCCGCGGTAGTCGTTGCGCTCGCGCTCGCAGTCGCCGCCAGCGTACTGGTAGAAGCGACCGCACCGGGCCCGTAGCCGGGCAGGTAGCTAGGCTCGTAGGTCGCGGTCCCCGTGTACTGGCCGGGACAGGCGGGATTGTCATGCTTGGGCGGAGCGCGACCGCCGCCGCAGTCCGGGATGTCGCAGATCTCACCGGTCTCGGGAACGTACCAGATCATGCTGGCTTCGTTCCATTGGTTGCGGGTCTGAGAGGAGACGCAGCCTGCCAGGTCGGTGCGGGCGTAGGCGGAGGTGGCGAGGGTGGTCGCCAGGACGAGCGAGAGGAATTTCATTTTGCTGGGGGAATGGCTGTTAGTTGGTGGGATGTGGTGAATGAGCTGTGGTGCTTGTTGCGTACTTAACGAGCGACTATTGCTTTAAAGAAAAGAGTGACAATTTAGTAGAGAAACGCCTCGAATGAAAGAGTGATAGGGAGACGTTCAAAGAATGTTTACAGTGGAGAATCAGGGACAGGGCCTGGGGATCCACGCGCATTATATGGATAATGGTATGGGGTTGAAGTTTGTTCCCTGTTGTGGGGGGTTCGACGGTCTAGATTGCGTACTATTAAACTCTCAGAGATTACATTTACGTCGGTTATCAATTGTGGGCTAAGCGAAGGGACACCAGACTTGAGGCTGAAACATGATCATTGAATGTGTTAGGCTTGTACAGATAAACCTGGCGGATGATGGATGATACAGTGAGCCCCTGACGGCAATCAAGATACGGATACATGGGCTAGATAGAGTCTATAACGCCATTTCCATCAAGATTTGTCGAGATATGGCGGAAAACGAAGAGAGTGTGGGAAATATACAATTATACGACAGGAGGCAACCAAAAAAAAGGAAAAAAAAAAAGAAATCTCCCCGACAGGGAGTCGAACCCTGGTCTCCCGCGCTCGTTCTCATTCGAGTGACAAGCGGAAATCATGACCGTTAGACCATCGAGGACTTCTTATTAGGTCGACCCATATTTGGCATTATAACCCACCCTGTTGTCATTTTCTAAATTGAAAGTTATCAACATTTCCATCATCCAGCTGTCAACTATTTTACCACTTCACTACTATCTATCCTATTTTTTGTCCTTAGACATGTCATGTACATTGTTTCTCTATATTCAGTCTAATGATGATTGGTTGAGACTCCCTTGTACATTTGGTGACACTATACTGTGTTTGTTCTGAAGGTGAGGATATATATATATTAGAGCCTTCTAGATACGACTACAGTGATGATTTCCCACCACTATATCAAAATCCCAACAGTGGTCTGTCCACCAGATCAGACAGATAGATACACTCGTTCGGAAATTAGAGCCGAAAGTCCTGTCATCACCCAAAAGAGTTGCCATGTGTTCGTATTTCCTCGGCGATGAGGTCATATCATTGGCCTACGGAGATTCGTATTGCAGACAACACGAGTTATAAACCAGAATAGAGTCACAAGTTCGTATCTTATTGGAAACAGTCTGGGATTTATTATGCTCAATAACCCCAAGCAATCAAACAACCCAGCATTCAGCAAAGGTCAGAGCCCCTCTGAACCAACACACCATGCTTCCCAAAACCGACAAAGACGAACAGCTGATCGAAAAGGCAAAGGGGTAAGAACGACACCGAGGATCCCATTCTCATGTCGTCAGGAATTTCAATTGAAGGCCTCGTCGATATAACAACATATCACCACGTACATCCTTCTCCCCGACAACAAGAGCCTAGCCTATATCTAACATCCAGGGCATGGTAGAATAGCGTTCCGGCGCCACTCCAAGATGATGGGAGTACTTTTTTTTCTGATATGGGGGGACACTGAATTTCCCCCCTCAAACTCCATTTGCGCACCATTACTCGCGATACCATACCATAGATAAATCACTCCATGCTTCGTCACTCAACACTGAACCGATTCAGTAACCAACACGACGACTCACGCAGATTTTCCCCATCAAACCGGCAAAGTTTCGATTGATGAGTATGAAAAGTACAATATGGCTTTATTTGGTACTTCCAACATGGTCAAGTGCTAACTTGAGACAGCCGCGCTCATAACAGAAACCATATGTATAAGGTCAGCTGATCTGTATATTCCCTCTGCTAATGGTCCGCACCAGTGTATTCTCCAATCTAAACATATCTTTTGCACCTCATGACTACTCTGTCCAGGGATTTCCCGTCTGCGCTCATTCCTTCATCAGTGAGCATTACCAACACCTATGCTGGCAGCTCCCTGGACGTCAAATCCTCACTCCTGCTCGCCACCAACGCACCGAACTCGTTCAGCGATGCGCTCTGGAGGATATCAAAGACAGTGACTTTAGCCTTTGCGCCGCTGCTCAGCCAGTTACGTAGTTCCACAGCGACGAGGGAATCGACGCCGTAGCGCGACATCGGCAACTCCGCGTCAATATCCGAGAGGGGAATATTGAAGATTTCTGCAATCTTGGCCACGATCGCCTGGACCAGCAGTGCCACGGCCTCGGTGAGAGTCGAGGCCTTGGAGAGTGCTTGCGCGAGCGCGGCCGTAGAGGTCTTACTGGTGGATGTGGCGGCTGTCTCGATTCCCCGCTGGCTGGCAATGCGGAGCGTACCGAATCGTCTGTCATGGCTCATGACTGACTCGCTGGCGAGGGTGTGGAAGTTGGGCCCAACAATGACCTGGCTCTGCGATGGCGACTGGCGCAGAGACTCACTGATTCCATGTCCAACCATCCGCAATACATGATCCAGATCGACGGAGCCAAAACCGACATTCTCGACTCGTGCCCGCAGCCGGTCGTCGCCACTGGCTTCTCTATCTGCCACGTACCCAACCGACTTGACAGCACCGAGGTCGATGGTCACGGCCGGTAGACCGCGCGCCGTTCGGTATCGAGCAAGGGCATCCTCAAAGGAGTTGCCAGCGGAATAGTTGGCCTGGGACATGTGCCCGGCCACACCAGCCACGGATGACAACATGACAAAGAACGCCAGGTTGGGAAGATGCGTATGGAGATTCCAGCTGCTGTGGATCTTCGGCCGGACAGCATTGCTCCATTGTTCGAATGTCATGCGTTCCAGGACAGTGTCGTCGAGTACCATGGCTCCGTTGATCACTCCGCGGAACGGGGGCAATGTCTCCGAGCAGTCACGGATCAGTTGCAGCAGACTCATCTCATTTGAAACGTCGCAATCGTGGATCTGGAGCCGGCATCCTGCCGTCTCGGCCATCTTGGCAAGCGCAGGGGCTTCGGGATGGGATGTGGCATGGCGTGAGACGAGCACCAAGTTCTTCGCACCGTTTTCAATCATCCACGTCGCAATGGCACGGCCAATACCACCTAGTCCGCCGACGACCAAATAGGTCTCACCAGGGCTATCCAGTGAGACGGGCGATGGGCGGCGGATGAGCTGTTGAACACTGATCAGCTGAAATCGAGAAAGGAGAGAAAAAGAAATCATTACGTACCTTGATTCTATCCTCATCATGCGGTACGAGGACCAGCTTGCCCATGTGCATTCCTCCTTGCATTTGACGCATGGCCGTGGCCATCTCGGAGATTGGGTACGGCGTAATGGGGTGCACAGGAGAGATTCCACGCTCACGGATGATGTTGAGACTCTCCGACAGCGCCGCGTGCGTCAGTCTGCCACGACACTCAGTAAGCTGCAACAGGTCGAAACTCGAGAACATGGAACAGCGGCTGAATGGGGCTGTTTGTAACCAGCGGTTGGCCTCCATATCCACCTTCGTGATATCAACAAAGCGGCCGAAGCGGGCCATGCAATCCCAAGATGCCTTCAACAGCGGCCCAGACAGAGAGTTAAGAATTACATCGACTCCCTTGCCATTTGTTTTAGTCATGATACCCGCAGCAAAACTTCCAGAACGGCTGGCAAAGATATGATCAGGTTTGATGCCGTAGTGTTCGACGAGCAGGTCTCGCTTCCCTTCAGTGCTGCAGGTAGCGAAGACCTCTGCTCCAACATGCTGCGCAATGACAATCGCGGCTTGGCCAGTTGCACCGGATGCAGCATGGATGAGCACTGATTCGCCCTTCTGAAGTCCTGCGACTTGAATTAGACTGCCATAAGCCGTGGTGTAAGCCGCTGGGAATGAGGCTGCCATTTTCGAAGGCATCTCGTCCGGCACCTTGACAACCGAAGTCCAGTAAGTTCGTCCCTTGCTCGCAATACGGCCCTTGCACAATGCTGCAACGCGGTCGCCAACCTTCAAACCGCTTTGCTCCGTATTGGGACCTAGACGGGTGATGATGCCGGAGCACTCGTAGCCCGTCAGGGGCTCTTCCAGCTGGCCCAGCGCAACCATCACCTCACGGAAATTTAGGCCAAAAGCTCTTGCCTCCACTTCCACCATCCCACTTGGCACATCCGTAGATAGGATCACTGGATTCTCCACGAAGTATGGGTCCAGGCCCGTGCTCGGCGACGTCTCCCATACCAGGGGCTTGTCAGGCTGATGGAATGCTTCAAGCGCAGGCTCAAGAGGAAGTTTAAGGTCCCTGGCAATGGCATCCAGAGTTTTCTCGGGGAAGATCCTGGGCACATGAAGCTGGGAATCTGCCACTGAGTACTCCCATTCAATGTTGCTTGTCTCGGCGTCCTTGTCGAATGACCGCTCCAACACATGAATGACGTGTCCAATCTTGCCGCTTGTCCACGGATTTTCGTCGTTTTCAAAGCCCAGTCGGATCCATCGTGTGTGAGAATCCTCTTGTCTCATGGTTCGCAGAAGACCCTCCGAAGCCGAGAAGGCTGGGTTCTGGGAATGAACAAGGCCACCACAGCTGAGCCAGAGTACGCCACTGGAGAGAAGGAGAAGGCTCTTGAGCTTTTGGAAGGCGTCTGCATCCATGCTGTGCACAAACGGATTTCCCATTTCAAGGGCAACAATGCAGACTGTGTCTTTGAATGAATCAACGTCACTCAGGTCCACGAGCTTGGGCAAAACGCCTGTTTTCTCTCGAATTGCATCGGATAGCTCTGCCAACCACTCCTGGGGATCCTCCGCCGTCTTGTCCTCAACCACAATGGAGATGGGCGCTTGCACCGTTGCGGAAGTCCTCGATAGCATGACACGCGCTGACTGGAACTCAGGTTCCTCATAGTCGCTGATTTCAAAGTCAACGCCGGTGAATCCAGTATCCCGCAGGACGCGATCCCACATCTCGAATGGAGCATTGGGACTCTTCTGCCGCTCAGGCTCTTCTCCAAGCCACCACCCCGGCAAGGTCCCGAAGATGAGCTGCCCTTCAAGACGATCGGCAGTAGCCTCGATGAGCAACAGCGTGCCACCCGGCTTGAGCATCTTCCGCACATGCTTCATGGTCGTATGGAGGTTCTTGGTCGCATGAAGCACAGAGGCCGCCACAATGAGATCGAAGCTGCCAGAAGTAAAGGATTGTGCGAGCGGGTCAATTTCAATGTCGAGTTTCTTGAAATCCATCATCCTTGCCCACGGGGCAAACTTCTCTCTTGCGGCCTCAAAGAAGCCTGGCGAAATGTCTGTGAAGGTATAATGACCGAGGATAGTACCGTTGTCAGAACCTCTCTTGCCGAAAGCCTCAAGGATCGTACTTGTCGCTCCTCCTGTACCGCCTCCAATCTCCAAGATATTGGCGCCAGGATTCTTCACTGCGTATAGCTCCGCAACGCGAGCGAGATGCGAGTAGGATCGGGTCTTGAGAGCCTCGTGCTGCATGTAAAATTGATTCAGGAGATCACCCTCCATCATCAGCTCAAGCGGCATAATGTCTCCGCGGATAATGCTCGCGAGCTTTTCTCCAATCCGAACAGTGAGTCGACCAGCCGCATTCCCTGCGCTGAGCTCGTCCGCCAGGATCCTCTTCGCACCTGGGCTTAGCTTAGACCATAACTGACTGTTGGGTCCGAGTTTTCCGGCTTCACCAAGTGTCACAACCTCTCTCATCCAAGCGTACAATCGCTTGTGGTGCCATTGCCAGGACTCGGACTCTTGGGATTCAAGTTCCGCGGCAGCGTCATGGATGAAGATGTAGGACATCCGGCTCAGTTTCCTCTCTTGCTCAATCTCATGGTCTTTCACTGGAATGACCATGGATTCTCTGAAAGAGGCGGGAGGGTTGTGAAGGATATCCAATTCCCAGCAGTTGATAGAGCAGATGCCCGCCTCCTCGCCTGAATCTTGGACACGACGAGGAATTGCCGAGCCAAAGAAATCCTTGATTTCAAGGAAAGAGCGGGTTGCATCGGAATTATCAGACACGACCGTTATGTCTGATGAATAGCCACGCGTATCTCCTGTGACCATCTCACTCAAAGCTCTCAATCTCTCACCACCTTGTCTCTTGAAGTTCCACGGAACATCGATTGTACGAATCGAACGAGGAAGAACCATGGAGTCCTGCCCAATATCATCTGGCAGGCTGCTAAACGACGATTGCAGAATAGAGTCCAGCGTAGTGGGATGCAGAACATACTCATGCTCCTGGCAAGCGATGTCTGAGATTGCGAAATTCGTAATTGCTCTGTTACGAGCTGCGTGACTGTCAATGATATTCTGGAAGAGCGGACCGTGGTAGATTCCGCGCTTACGCAAACCAGCGAAAAGGGAATCAATGTCGATAGGGCATGGATCAACACCGTCGGCAAAAAAGGCATCTTCGCGTGAAATCTCGCGCCCATCATTGAGCGCGATGATTCGAGTCTCGCTCTCAGTTTCAACGGTGACATACCCTTTGCAGTGCTCAATCCACGGTGCATCGGCACTCGCCAGAGAGAAGAGTTCGAATTGATACCAGCCTTCGTGGTCAAGCTCTCTGTCGCTGCAACGACGCAGCTGGAGTTGCACTTCCACTCCCATTTCGGAGTCGGGAAGCACCAAGGCATTCATAATGTCGATGTCTCGCAGCCGGTACTTCCGAATTGTGCTCTCAGAAGGATCGGTGATAAGCCGTATGGCCTCAATGGCCATGGCAATGTACCCGGCGCCAGGGAACACAACTGTATCATCGATCTGATGATCCTTAAGCCATTCAATCTCCGAAAGACGTAGGAAGTTTCTCCAAGTGGGAGTGAGAGCGTTCGATCCATTCAGAGGCGTGCCCAGTAGCTCGTGAGGAGGGAATTTCTTGAACCGCTGCTCTTTGGCAATCCTTGGCTCCACCCAAAAGCGAGTTGAGTGATTCCACGGATAAGAGGGCAGATTGGCCACAAAGGTATGGTGAGCATCCCCAATAGGAGAGTTGACCGACTTGAGATCCACTGGATAGCCCTGAGACAATAGCTCACATGCGAGGTCTTGCATTGTCTCCACGGCATTGATTGGCCGTCTGAGACATGACGCATAGGGCATTTTGACATCTTTTCCCTTCAGGATCTGGCGAATTGGGCCAGCCAAGGTGCTGTGAGGCCCGATCTCTAAAATAAGATCAACATTGGCAGAAGGAGCTGAAGAGTCCGATGAGCTGAAGCACATGTTCTCAAATGCCCGACTGAATTGAACCGGCTTGGTCAAATTTTGGACCCAGTGTTCGGCCCCGAATGTCTTGACTGCCGTCACAGCCTCACCCGTTACCGGCGATACAAACAGGGGGCCATTCCATTCCGGCGTCACGGGAAGGTCAAGCAATTCCTCCAGGCGTTCGGTATATTCAGCCACCATAGGCATCATGTGGTGGGAGTGATAGGCCATGGGGACCTTGAGCTTCCTGGTAAATACTCCCTCTTTTTCGAACCTAGCAGCAATCTCGCCGAGAGTGTCCAAGTCTCCGGAGAGGGTAACGCTGCTGGGGCTGTTGACACAAGCTACGACGACACCACCGCTAGGGGTGATTTCAGCGATGTGTCGCTCAGCACTCTGTTGGTCAATGCCTACGGCAAGCATTCCACCCGTAAGGGAGCACACTTTGAGTTGCTTGCGGGCTAGCTCGCCACGGTAATATGCCACACCGAGTGCCTGTTCGAAAGGCAGCGCTCCGGCTGCATAGGCCGCGGCAATTTCACCACTGGAATGGCTGGTGATGGCAGAAGGGGTGATGCCCCAGGACTTGAGCAGATCGACGAGGCCGAGCTGAATGGCGACGCTAATCGGCTGACTCAAATGGATTTCGGATACTCGTGTCGAGGTTTCATCACGATTAAGTTCATCTGCCAATGTATTGTGAGCAAGCTTGATATGTTGGAGGTTGGATTAAGGTCTTACCGATCAATGACCAAGAGGCCCCGTATTCCTTCAGGATCTTGCCCGCATTAGAGATGGCATGGCCAAAAACAGGGTACACGGTAAGAAGTTCTCTAGCCATTGCATGCCATTGGGCACCCTGGCCATTGAACACAAACCCTAAACGTGGCTTTTTATACGCAAATGAGGGCTTGCGTTCCGACTCTCGGAGTCGTTCAGCCAGGTCTTCAATTGACGTGGCCCGGACAGCAGCAACCCAGGGGTGTAGTGATCGACGCTCATTGAGCGTATAAGCAAGGCTCTCTGGCGATGGTGACGTCTTAATAATATGAGAAGCAAGACGGTCCATCACAGTCCGACAGGCGGCAGAGTCCCTCGCGCTGACCACGAAAACGCGCGAGTTATCACCCGATCGACTTCCTTCAGATGTCGACTGTCCATTCAGGTGATAAATTGCTGTTGGGGCTGGCGCAGGCTCCAAGATGACGTGAGCGTTCGTTCCACCATAACCAAAATTGTTGATTGAAGCGCGAAGGATCTTGTCTTCCGGCCATGGCGTTAACCGTGTCGGCACCTCCAAATGGCCCTTATCAAGGTCAATACTTGGATTCGGAGTCTCATAGTTGAGGTTCGGAGGGATCGATGCTGTTTTCAACGCAAATGTAGTCTTGATAACGGCTGCAAGACCACTAACGGGCTCGGTGTGGCCAACATTTGTCTTCACAGAGCCAACCAGTACCTTGTCATCTGCCTGACGAGCCTTTCCAAAGGTTCTCGCAATTGCCTCGGCCTCAACGGGATCCCCAGCCGCTGTGCCGGTCATGTGAGCCTCCACGTAGCCAGTCTGAGCGATATCAAGCCCTGCACGACGGTAGCATTGTTCAATCAAGTTGACCTGGGCGTCAGCAGATGGGGAGGTAATTGTGGTCGTCTTGCCGTCTTGGTTGACTCCGCTGTCCTTGATGACGGCATGGATTTGGTCACCAGCGAGCAGCGCGGCATCCAGAGGTTTGAGAATGAGTGCCGCTACACCCTCACCACGGCCGTAGCCGGCAGCACGACTGTCCCAGGCGAAGCATTTGCCTTCGGAACCAATGGCACTATCAAGACTTCCTGTCAGTCATGTTCTGGTGGAAGAGATTGATGCAGGCAATGCAGCAAACTCGCACTTACCCAATAGTGGATGCCGAAATGAAAGCATCTTGACTAAGGAGTGTACTAGAAGCACCGACAATTGAAATGTTGCTCTCCCCAGTGCGAATGCTCTGGCACGCTTGGTGGACTGCCACCAGGCCCGACGAGCAGCCCGTGTCGATGGAAAGACTTGGTCCTTGCAAATCAAAGAAGTGCGAGACGCGGTTGGAGAGCATTGCGGTGCCTGTGCCGGCGAGAAAGGAGCGGGTCAAAACCTCGGCATCCTTGGTCTGGATTTCATGGTAATCTTTGTTGAATGTTCCGGTATAGACCGATGTATTGGTGCCAGCGAGCTTGTTTAGAGGGATGCCAGCTAAGCGGGTCAGCTTATCCGACAATTCTTGACAGAAGCATAAGGGACCAAGGCGCTAACCATCTTCTGTTGCTTCGTAGACAGTCTCGAGCAACAGTCTGGCTTGAGGGTCAAGACCCTGTTTCTCGACGTCAGCTTCGTCGACGCTCGGGGCATCATGAGGCCCTACTTACACTAGCGACATCTGAGGCCAAATTAAAAAAGGCGGCATCAAAACAAGCGATATCATCATCCAGAAAGTAGCCACCAATAACATGGCTCTGCATATACGTCAGCCCTCATTGACACAATGACCCTTCCCGGTTTGCGGGCATGCCATAGAATGAAGAAACTTACTCTGCCAGCTTTTGAATTATCAGGATGATACAGCGACTTCACATCAAAGCGCGAATCGGGGATGGGAGACCAGCCATCCTTCCCATTCGCACAGAGTTCCCACAACTGAGTAGGATTCCTGACGTTCCCACTGAAGCGGCAAGCCATGCCCACAATCGCAATGGGGACTGAGGGTGCATGTTGCCGTGGCAACTCGCTGCCATTCATGGTAACTCCGTTGGTTCTGGGGGAGTCGCCTGGTTGAGTTGGGTTAGGGTTGGAAATTGGAGCCATGTTCAGTAGCTTAAAATCACGTATATTTCACTGCTTGTTTTCTTGGGAATCTAGGCAGTCCCGGGTTTGGCAAGACTTGAACACACAGCCAATATCCTATTATATATATAGAGACTCTGTACACTGGTGATATATTTTGCGACTTTGGGGGTGAAGCTTAGAAGCATCCTATTCCTATTCGTCTATCCAAGCCTTGTCCTCTTCTCTCTCGTAGTGTCCGTGGTGGAGTTCCGTTAGCACTGCGCATGGACCTTGCCCACATGGTGTGTTTCTTAGCTTCGGATTTCCCAAAGAGGAAACATCCGAGTTCCAACGGGCGTTTTCCAACCGTTGAGCAGTAATAATGGAAGATTGCTCGGATATTCCGATACCTGATGGCTGAACGGATGGCAATAGTCGGAATACCCATAGATGTCTGCCGTCAACGGCGATTGGAGAATGCCAGCAAAATGTACAATTCAAAAGTCCACGAAACCTGTCATCGATTACATTTGGTTAGTTTCCCTGCGCGGAACCGCTAGAAAAATATGGATCTACTATCATGGAACAACCTACCTTCGATTGCAATCGTTCTCGCATTCGTACTCTACTATGTATTCAAGCGGGCATATCCAAGCCCATATCCAGGCATCCCATACAACGCTGCCTCGGCAAGAAAGTTCTGGGGAGACTCGTCGGGGCTGCTCGACGCTGTCAAGATAACCCAGGATCCAGCCAAATTCATCTTCCAGCAGACCAGGAAGCTCAACTCGCCCGTGATTCAGCTCTTTCTCGCGCCCTTTTCGAATCCCACAATCATCGTTGATGACGTTCGCGAGGTCAAAGACATCCTCAGCAACCGCACGCACGAATTCGATCGCGCTCCCAGAACACAAGATGCCTATCGCTCTCTTCTTCCGCATTGCAGTTTGGTCAAAGCAACGGGGCCGGCATTCAAACACCAGAGACGCTTTTGGGAGGGCGTTACCGGCACGCCTTTCCTACGACGCGTCGCTGAGCCCAAGATGTACCGATGCGCCCTGGGGCTAATCGACCTGCTTAGAGCTCAGGCCAAGATGGCCGGTGGTCTACCATTTTACTGCTTCGACGACTTCGATGTAGCAGCGTTCGAGCTAATATGGGAACTGGTATTCGGGACCAATGTCGACGCCATCAAAAATGCACGCAGCAAGGCCCTCTGCGCAACCTCAGACACGGTCCAACCGCCATCACTGGACTCGCCGGCCCGAATTCCCGTCATTCAGAAGCCTGATATGTGCGAGGCCGTGTCGTTCTTTATAAACACAGTGGCAAAGTCGCTGAAGTCAGTCTTCCCGACGTGGCACCTTTGGTATCTCAGACAGCAACCCGTCTACAAGCGGAAATTAGCTTTCAAAAACAGCACCATTGACGGGCTTATTGAAAGCACCCGCTCGAAGCTAGCAGGGCTATCCGAGGGTCAACTGATGGAGCTTGAAGAGAGCTCTGTCCTGGTCACTGGTGTACGGCGTCAGCTCTTGGCCCACATCCGTCAGGGGCAGCCCGTCAACGTTCCATTTCCGGCATCAGTTCAAGCTGAGATTCATGATGAGCTGTTCATGATTCTCGTCGCTGTAAGTACAAGGCCCAATTTGCCAATTACCCAGTTGTGAGGCAGATAGCTGATGCACAGGAAATTAAAGGGACACGAGACAAAGGCTGTTCTCCTCTCCTGGTCGGTAAAGTTTCTGATCGCCAATCCCGAGAAGCAAGAAAAGCTACGAAAGGCCCTTGTCGATGCTTTGCCTAAAGGTTTCAATGGAGAGCAGCCTTCAGTGAAAGCGATCCTGAGCACGCCGATCCCGTATCTAGAAGCATACATGGAGGAATCCATGCGCGCGGCGAACACGTCTCCTCGTCTCGTTCGGAGAACTACCACCGATACCCAGGTGCTCGGATACTCAATCCCAAAGGGCGTTACGGTAATTCTCAACCCTTATATCGGTACACAGCCCCTCGATATCCCTGAGCACTTGAGATCCGAGACTTCCCGCAACTCCAAGGGTAACTTCGCATCATACTGGGACGTCAACGGCATGGATGATTTCCAGCCAGAGCGGTGGCTTGCAGAAGACGGTTCCTTTAACCCTCGTCAATTTCCACATCTGGGATTCTCTGCGGGTCCACGGATGTGCTATGGTATGTGAACTTGACTATCATGCTCACAGATGACCCTCCGTTCGGACGCCCCATAAGTAGGACAGGAACCTTGGCTGACACCGATGCATATATCTAGGCAGAAATCTCGCGTTGATGGAATTTCGCGTAAACCTCGTGCTCCTGGTCTTGAACTTTAAGTTCGAGTCTCTTCCCAAAGACTTGGACAGCATGGAGTCTCAACAGCGACTTTTCCGAATGCCACGGCAGTGCTACGTCAGGCTTAGCCCTCTTTGAACTCGGACTGGCTTTCTCAAGGGGGCTCGATTTGGTTACTCAAAGAGACAATCTCAATAGAACACCAACAAGCTCCTTCGTTGCTTTGGTGTTTCGCGGGAGATTTCCAAGTTTGAGGTGCCAAGTCAAATTCTAGATTTTAGATGAAGTCAGACGCCGCTACATCGTGGCTACTACCGATATGAAATGATTTCAAAGGCAGCAATATCAGCTCATCAGTCATCGTGATCCAGGCGGTGCTTCCACTTTGATAACAGTATCTATAGCTACCCACACGAATAATCTTGATAGTAGTCTATATGTATGAGCATGTATCCTACCGCGGCGAGTCCTTGCAGAAAAAAATGCGACGTTTTTGTGCCAGTGAGAATGGGTCAGAATATAAACTATGTCTGAATATACTAGTAGCACATCCTGTACAGGGTCGAAGAATCAGCAAGCCTGCGACTATCTCACTTCGCCGCCCTTCCCCCGGGCAAGAGCATCTCTTTTTGGACGTCAAGGATTGACTTTCCTGAATACTTGTCCCTAGTGACCGCGTGTCTTTCTCTCCTAGACGCCAATATCTCCTCTCGCCAAATCCACCCCAGCGCCATGGAAACCACAGGGCCTGCAAGTGCGCCAGACGCAAAGCCTATTGTGAGTATCTTCGCCCAACTTTCTTTAGCCATCCCGGCGCTCTTGATATCATGGGTCAAGAGGCCGACCCAGAAGAGACTCGCGAGGAGGGTCCCGTGTCGGCTCAACTCGGACAAATCTCCACCTGCACCGGGCAAGAGAGCAGGCGAAAAGGCGTCCAAGAGTACGCTCTGCCGAGTAGCTATGTAACTCGCTGCAGATACGGCACTGAGGACACATACGCACCATCGGATGTAGGGGAGATCCCGCAGCTGGTTGCTCATTGTGTCCTCGTGCATGCTGACTTTGCTCATCCGAGATTTGACCATGATCCACTGCGTGGTTGCAATCAAGATCTGTGGCTGGAGCATCCATCGCCAGTGCCACCGGGCTGTATCGACCTTGATGGAGTAGCCACTCAGGGTGAGGAAAACCGGTGCACCCATGAAGAGCACTACTGAGGGCAAGATCAACCGGGTGTAGGCCACATTGGTGAGCCTTGCATCAGCTGCCGCGAATTTCTCGATGCCTGAGAATACAAAGTGCAGGGCATAGTAACAAGGAGTAACAACCCCCGGTCCAAACCTAAGGCCAAGGAGCCAGAAGATGGTTGGAAACTGCGCGAACGTCATCACATTGGCACGACGGTTCGACTCAATGAGCCATATGGCATAAATGACACTCTCCTCAGCAAGAGCGCGTAAATTTTGAAGCAACTGCGCTCGTTCACCGAATTCCGTGAGTTGTCTTGGCTGCAGGAACTGGCGTATAGAACCATTCACACTGTCAATGGGTGTCATTGTCGCCACCCAAGAAGAGAGAACGAGCAATGGCAACGCAAGGGCCGTACGTTTGAGCAATCTTTCGTGTTTGCCGATCCCTTGGCTTGGGTTGAAGGGACAGGAGCCTTCGAAAGACTGGGCTGGGACTGGTAGGTACTCAATGATCTCAGCGCCGATGAGCGTACCGGTAACTAAACTCAGCAGCGACTCGGTGGCATTTGGCACAACATAGTTCATGACGAAGGGGGCCATGCGACTATCCAGTGCCTGCAATCGGCAAACCATCGCCGCTTCTTTCACTGTCGCGTTGACTCGGGCCTGGCGCTTCTCCTGCCACTTGCGCAACGCTGACCTGATTGTCTGAGAGGTGATCGGCCCCTCATGATGGATCCTTTGGAGTTGATTTGCTAGCGCAGCAGCAGACTCGATTGCATTGTTCCCAGCTTGGCCAGTATTAGGGGTCATCTTATGGGAGTTATCCCCAACAGTCGCTATACGTCCCCAGCTCCACAGTTTAAAGAGGGCCTCCTCCAACGGCACCAGCGTGCAGGTCACCCGCTTTTCCCAGAGGTCTCCCAGCGTCACCGTCTCGGTGATAGGCCGCCAGGCATTTTTGAGCGCGAGACTCTCCGCATCTGCTTGAGAGTATCGTGGGAAGTCTTTGGCATCGGTATAATAGACCTTGTCCAGCTTCTCATGGTAAAACCAGAACACTCGTCCATGTTTCCCGGTGATCACGAGCATGGACCTGCCATGGTCAAAAACGGTGTCGACGGTTCCCTCGATGAGACCATCTACGGGGTCAGATATGCCGAAGAGACAGTTGAATTCAGCACTCATTCCTGGAGAGAGGCATTAGTTGCAGTTCTTGACCCGCAGCTTTGCGCACATACTTGTCTTCTTCAGCGCTCGGAAGTGGTCTGGATCCTCCTTAGCAAGACGGCACATCTCGCTACGGGTCGATGCTTTGCTGTTGACGCCATCACAGCCAACGACTACATCACCATGGTAGGAAGAGCCGTCTTCACAGTACACACTGACGCCAGAATCCGTTTGGTCGATCCGCAACACGGTCTTGTTGGGCAGCATTTTGTCTTTCAGTGTAATTGAGCCTATCAACGCCTTGAGAGCGCGTTGTCGGTCCAGAAAGCATACTCCATAGCCAAACCTAGCATATTCTTCAATGAAACTGCTTCAAAACTGACTGGACATCTAATTATCTCATACCTGGCTTTCAAGATCGGGAAAGTGAACGCTGGTGGCATGACCAGTGTACCGTCGCTGCGATGAAGTTTGGACATTTTGATTGGTGTTGTATGATCCATGATCTCTTTGGCCGCGCCTAGCTGATCCAGGATGCGCATTGCGGCAGCATTCAGCCCAATCGATGCTCCGACTGGGGGATCAAATCGACCTCGGGCCTCTAGCAATACAAAATCAACATTCGCTTTTTCCAGTGCACTTGCAAGCGTGAGGCCCGCCAGGCCCCCGCCAACGATGATTACCCGCATTGATGCGGTGAGGTCTTTGGAAATCGAAGAATCCAAACAAAGGAGTAGTAGCCGAACAAACGCGAGATCGGAGATACGTTCGGGAATATGGGATAGCTACATAGTTTCTTTGTCGTCAACGAGACTAGCTGCTATCAAAGAGCCCGTAACTATAGATAGGGTTAGGGTACAGGGACGGAAAGAATGAGCGATTACCCGATTGAGAAACATCCGAGCCCCCACGTTGATTCGCTGACTGGGGCTTAGCAATCTGCCACTCTTGAAGTCTTGGAAGTCTTCGGCCGTGGCCCACGTAGTATACAGACATCTGGCGAATTCGCTAAATGAAAGAAAAGAGATGTTTTCTTGTGTGTTCTAAGTCAGGGCCCACGTATCTAAAGCGGACTCTCTCTGCTGGCCTATCTAAGTGCAGACGAATCTCACAGGCTAGTACTGTACCCATATCCTTGTCGCTGCCCACTGATCCCCAAAAAAAGAAAACGCGTCGGCAGGGGGTACTCAGGGACACTCAGGGGCGTAAACAAAACGCGAAGATTCAGCTCAGCCCCGCCTCAACGATCCTCCAGCTTCATCCTCACTCCATTCCTGGACTTGACCACCATAACTGACTGCCACTGCCCCCCTCGGATGATTGCTGGACTACCTCACCATGCCGAGCCGCAACCTTGGAGACCAGCAAGCGCCTGTCGAGGCAGGCCAGGAGGCCGCGCCTGCCAACCCTCCCTTGAACCCAGTCGGCTCAGCGCCGGCAGATGCAGACAGAAATGAGGAAGATGGTGATCCGTTCAAGCATCTGCCTGAGCACGAGAGGGTCATCCTCAAGAGACAGTTGGATCTGCCCGCCACCCAGGTCAATTACATGACGCTGTATCGTTATGCAACACGGAATGACAAGGTCGTCCTGGTCATCGCCTCGCTCGCAGCCATCATCGGCGGTGCACTCATGCCTCTGATGACCGTCCTGTTTGGAGGTCTTGCAGGCACCTTCCGCAGCTTCCTCTTGGGCGACATATCTGACAGCCAATTCACCAGCGAGCTTGCCAGGTTCTCTCTGTACTTCCTCTACCTCGCTATTGGCGAGTTTGTGATGGTGTACTTGGCCACGGTCGGTTTCGTGTACACCGGTCAACACATCACAGCAAAGATCAGACAGCAGTTCTTGGCCGCCATTCTGAGGCAGAATATTGCTTTTTTCGACGAGCTCGGCGCCGGGGAGATCACCACACGCATCACAGCAGACACCAATCTTGTCCAGGAAGGTATCTCAGAGAAAGTGGGATTGACCTTGACTGCCGTCGCCACCTTTGTGGCCGCGTTTGTGATTGGTTTCATCAGATACTGGAAGCTCACGCTGATTCTGTGTTCTACTGTCGCTGCTATTGTGGTTACATTGGGCGCCGTGGGCTCGTTCATCGCTAAGCTCAGCAAGAAATATCTCGGCCATTTTGCTGAAGGAGGAACGGTTGCAGAAGAGGTCATCAGCTCGATCCGAAATGCGACTGCGTTCAATACCCAAGAGAAGCTGGCTCGACGATACGATGGGTATCTCGTCGAAGCAGAGAAGTCCGGGTTCAAGCTCAAGTCCATCACCAGCTCAATGATTGGTTTTCTCTTTCTGTAAGTACAGCGAGTGGCACAACATCTTTGCCGTCCAAATGACGGTCTCTTGAACTACCTCAAACAGCCCAGTGTTCTGACCTTGCCTTTCTTTTTTTTTTTTAGGTACATCTACCTCAACTACGGACTGTCTTTCTGGATGGGCTCCCGCTTCCTGGTGGATGGGTCCGTTGGATTAGCGCAAATCCTCACTATTCAAATGGCCATCATGATGGGGGCTTTTGCCCTCGGGAATATTACACCCAATATCCAGGCCATCACCACAGCGGTGGCCGCAGCCAACAAGATCTACGCAACCATTGATCGTGTCTCTCCTCTCGACCCTTCATCGACCGAGGGGCAGAAGCTGGAGGAACTGCAAGGAAATGTGGAACTCAAGAATATCCGACACATATACCCTTCCCGCCCCAACGTTGTTGTGATGGATGATGTGAGCTTACTGATCCCTGCGGGCAAGACTACTGCGCTTGTTGGGGCTTCAGGCTCTGGGAAAAGCACTATAATCGGGCTGGTTGAGCGTTTCTACGATCCTGTCGGTGGATGCGTACACATCGACGGCCATGATATCAAAGACCTGAATCTACGCTGGTTGCGACAGCAAATTTCTCTGGTGAGCCAGGAGCCTACCTTATTCGCTACGACGATATTTGGCAATATCAAGCACGGTTTGATCGGAACAGCGCACGAGCATGAGTCCGAAAAATCAATTTGTGAGCTGGTCGAACGTGCTGCTCGGATGGCAAACGTAAGTAAGGCAAATGCCATGATGCCCTGCCTCAGACACACCCCTCTCTGCTCGTGCCATATACGATACGATGTTCTGACTTCGTTGCTTTCCAGGCCCACGACTTCATCACCTCCCTTCCCGAGGGCTACGAAACCGACATTGGCGAACGGGGGTTCCTTCTCTCAGGAGGTCAGAAACAACGCATTGCCATTGCTAGGGCCATGGTTAGCAATCCTAAGATCCTGCTACTTGACGAAGCAACATCCGCACTCGACACAAAGAGTGAGGGAGTCGTGCAAGCCGCACTCGACAAAGCTGCCCAGGGACGAACCACCGTGATCATCGCCCACCGACTGTCTACTATCAAGAATGCGGACAATATTGTGGTTATGTCCCACGGACGTATTGTTGAACAGGGCACCCACGATGACCTTCTCCAGAGGAAAGGGGCTTACTACAACCTGGCCGAGGCTCAGCGAATCGCGATGAAGCAAGAGTCTAGAAACCAAGATGAAGACCCCATACTGCCTCAAACCGATTACGAATTACGGCGACCCGAATCCAAGGAGAGTGGCTACATCTCAGACAAAGAGGTTCAAGAAGAAGACCCTGATGACCTTCAGGTGGACCAGACACGATCAGACAGGACCGCATCGAGAACGGCACTTGCGAAGAAGGGACCAGAGGAAATTGCCGACAATTATACCTTATTCACGCTGATACGGTTTGTCGCTGGTTTGAACAAAAAAGAATGGAAATATATGCTCTTTGGACTTGTACTCTCGGCCATTTGTGGTGGAGGGAATCCAACCCAAGCTGTCTTCTTCTCCAAGTGCATTACAGCCCTTTCGCTTCCTCTTTCAGAGAGCTCGGAGATACGGCGACAAGCCAATTTCTGGTCGCTGATGTATTTGATGCTCGCCTTTGTACAGCTGTTCGCTCTCATCTCGCAGGGTATTGCGTTCTCTTACTGCGCCGAGCGTCTTACCCATCGGGTTCGCGACCGAGCATTTCGATATATCCTCCGACAGGACATTGCCTTTTTCGACCAACGTTCCTCGGGTGCTCTCACTTCTTTCCTGTCCACTGAGACCTCCCACCTGGCTGGGCTGTCTGGGATTACTCTTATGACCATTCTCTTGCTAGTCACCACCTTAGTTGCCGCCTGCGCCATTGGTCTGGCCGTAGGGTGGAAGCTTAGTCTGGTGTGCATCTCCACCATCCCCCTCCTTCTCGCTTGTGGGTACTTCCGTTTGGCCATGCTGGTCCGACTCGAGAAGGAGAAGAAGAAGGCGTACGAAGATTCTGCAAGCTATGCCTGCGAGGCCACTTCAGCCATCCGAACCGTGGCTTCCTTGACCCGCGAGGCGGACGTTTGCAATCACTACCACGAACAGCTCCTCTCGCAAGGCCGCAGGTTAGTGTGGTCGGTTCTCAAGTCATCCGTTCTTTACGCGGCATCTCAATCACTTCAATTTCTTTGCATGGCTCTCGGCTTTTGGTATGGAGGTGGCTTGTTCGGCAGACACGAATATTCCATGTGAGTAGATGACAATTCCCGGAACAGACGCCATGTTAGTTCTAACCCATATGTTCAGGTTCCAATTCTTCCTGTGTTTCAGCACAGTCATCTTCGGGGCGCAGTCTGCAGGGACCATCTTCAGCTTTGCGCCGGATATTGCCAAAGCCCGGCACGCCGCTGCTAGTCTCAAGGCTCTCTTCGACCGGACGCCGGATATCGATAGCTGGAGCCATGATGGCGAGATGGTCCAGAGTATAGAAGGCCATGTCGAGTTCAGAAACGTGCACTTCCGGTACCCGACGCGACCAAACCAGCTCGTTCTGCGAGGTCTCAATCTGCACGTCAAGCCCGGGCAGTACGTTGCGTTCGTCGGAGCTAGTGGATGTGGCAAGTCCACTGCAATTGCCCTCCTGGAGAGATTCTACGATCCGGTCCTTGGCGGTGTCTATGTCGACGGCAAGGAAATCTCGTCTTTCAACATCAACAATTACCGCTCCCATCTCGCACTTGTCAGCCAAGAGCCAACGCTCTACCAAGGTACCATCCGTGACAATATCATGCTGGGTACGGACCGAGATGACGTTTCGGATGACGAGATGGTGCTATGCTGCAAGAACGCAAACATCTACGATTTCATCATCAGTCTGCCAAACGGGTTCGATACCCTCGTTGGTAGTAAGGGCAGCATGCTGTCAGGTGGCCAGAAGCAACGTCTTGCCATAGCTAGAGCATTGCTCCGCAACCCCAGAATCCTTTTGCTGGACGAGGCCACTTCCGCTCTTGATTCAGAGTCTGAAAAGCTTGTGCAAGCGGCTCTGGATACCGCCGCTCAAGGCCGCACGACGATCGCTGTAGCACATCGTCTCAGTACGGTGCAAAAGGCAGACATGATCTATGTCTTCAACCAAGGCCGCATCATCGAGTGTGGAACTCATTCTGAGCTGATGCAGAAGCGCTCGGCATACTTTGAGCTTGTCAGCTTGCAGAATTTGGGCGACATGTGAATCTTCTACCTGGGGATTCCGAATCTTTGGGCGGTTCTGAGAAAACGTCCAGTCGGATAGTGACTATCAAATTGATGCTTCTTCTTCTTCTTCTTCTTTTTCTTTTTTTCGGTTCATCCTGTGATCTTTACCTTTGATTATTTCTCTTCTCTATCACTAGATAGTAATAATGTTATTCGCCCTTGTTTCTTATTAGTCCAGATCATCATCCCATGGCGTCTCGTAGTCGCATTGGAACAAAGTCGCAAAGGCAGGCAGCCATTTCTTTCTGTCACGATGGCTGCCGGGACCTTCCATTCTTGGTTATATCCGACGTATACCCGCCCTTGGGGAGTTGAAATGGAACAACTCCAGCAACCCTGGCGTTGTATCTACGAAGAACCATTTGCCCTAATGATGTCCTCAGACCTCTCCAGCTTCCTAATCCACTGCACATTCAAAGATGTCCTGCTCGGTGGGATATCTCTGTACCTCGTCTACGGAATCCTTCTCTGTATCTATCGCTTAACACTTCACCCGCTGGCCCAGTTCCCAGGCCCCAAGCTTGCAGCAGCGACATTTTGGTATGAGTTTTACTATGACCTTTTCCCACACAAACTGCGCTACCTGTGGAAGATTGAGGAAATGCACAAGAAATACGGGCCAATTGTTCGCATCAACCCAATTCACTTGCATATCAATGACCCCAACTACCTCGATGAAATATATGCCGGCGGCAAGCGGAAGCGCAATCGAGATCCCTGGTACTACCGCTCCGAGTCCAATGGCCCTCTGGGATGGTCGGTTTTTCAGACTGTCGATCACGATGTCCACCGCATGCGAAGGGCCGCCCTCAATCGTTTCTTCAGCAAGCGTTCCGTCCAAGAGCACGAGCAGATGATAATCGACAAGATTGAAATCCTGTGTGGTCGCTTTGCAGAGGCTTGTCGCACAGGTGATATTGTTTCTCTCACCTTCGCTTGCGGTGCGCTGACAATGGACGTCATCTCGGCCTACGCTTTCGGCGCGGAGACGGACAACTTGACGCGCCAGGACTTCGCCGCGGAGTATCTCGAGGCATACAGCAAACTGAGTCAACTTGGCCCTGTCGGTCGTCAGTTCCCTTGGCTTGCCAAGGCATGTCTTACGCTGATTCCGTCGAGCCTCGTGCATCGAATCAGCCCTGCCGCTGCCCTCATTCCAAGGAATCGACTCTTCTTCCGCGGGATAATTGAGGAATCTGTCCGTCAACAGGAAGCAGGGAAGGGAAACAAGGGCAAATCCATCTTCCAGGATATTCTACGGAGCAACCTTCCGCCCAGCGAGAAAGCACCCGCCCGCTTAGCGGCAGAGGCCAATCTCTTGGTTATTGCAGGCACCGAGACTACTGCCAGGGCCCTGTCGCTTGTCCTCTTTCATATCTTGGACAATCCTCAGACCGTATTGCAACTGAGGGAAGAACTGGCGCCCCTCATGCCCCATCCGGACTCACGGGTGTCCGTGGCCGCTCTCGAAGCCTTGAGGTTTTTTGTGGGTCATTATTGAGAACAAGTCAACCTCCATCGACGTAAGACAAAAGCTAATCATGTTGGCTCAAACAGCCGGCAGTAATCACGGAGGGTATCAGGCTCTCTCATGTGGTTTCCAGCCGAATGCCTCGATATGCACCGGAGGAGACACTACGCTACGGCAAATGGATTATACCCGCGGGGGTGAGTGCATTTCGCAAGGCTAAACTCGACTTCTCATTAATCCATGGGTATAGGCGCGTGTGATGCAATCTCATTATCTGCATCATATGAATCCCGACATCTTCCCGGATCCCTACACGTTCAATCCGCATCGCTGGCTTGACAATCCTGAGTTGAAACAGAATTATTTCATGGGCTTTGGCAAAGGATCTCGGATATGCCTTGGTATCAAGTCAGTTTTCATCAGCTATCGGTCTTGTTTCCTCTGCCGTCTGACCACCCAACAGTCTTGTACATGCCGAACTTTATCTCACTATAGCCCGCCTCATGACTCGTTTTGACATGCGTTTGCATGAAACAATCAGGGAGCGGGACGTCGATGTAAAGCGTGATTGTATCATTGGGCTCCCGAGCCTTGAAGGGCAGGGAATCCGCGTGAGGATTACACAAGATAGAGCAGGTTAACACTGGGCCAGCAATCCCGGCAGATTCGACCAAAGAAAGGTCTGGCTGAGATGATTCGGGGAAGATATTGTTTGCTTAGCTCGTCTACCCCCCCAAACCACTAGTAACAATGCCTATGCATCTACTCATAATCTGGAATGACCGAATCTAGTAACATCCGACCTCCAAGGGACTTGAGTATTGCTTACCAGTATGGTTCTCAGCCACTGACGATGCTCCGGATTTAAGACTACCAATTTGAGAAACAAGTACAAATGAAAACCACGAACAAGGTGTTTCAATTATCCTCAGAACCGTGTTGTGATGACCATGGCCCCGACTTCGAAGATTGTGCTTGACCCCCTCGACCACATAGCTGCGTGGAATATTCCACAGAGCGTGATCTACTTGAGTTTGAAGCAGGATGTCACGGTGCAGGATGCCTTTGGACGTCTCCAAGAAGGCCTGCGTCGAACCTTTGCTCAAATCCCTTGGCTCAATGGTCGCGTACACTGGCGGAGCGAGGATACCACGGGGTGGCGTCCCGGCAAGTTGGAAATTCGTTTCGAATCCCTTTCTTCCAAAGAACAACCACATCAACTACGATTCAATGAGCTAGCAACTGATCTGAAATTCTCGGATCTCAGAGATCAGGGTTTCCCGTTGGGCACATTCAAAGAGGAAAACTTGTTATGGACGACCCCGTTTCAGCCAGATTTCGAGAAAGGGGCTGATGTTTTGACGGCCCAGGCCAATTTTTTGCCTGGGGGCTGTGCTCTGGTTCTCTGTGTCGCGAGCCCGGCCTCGGACGGCACCGCTATGCTCTCTGTGACTCAAGTTTGGGCTCACCATTGCAGCTCTTGGATGACAAACGCAGAGCCGGACAACAGTGTTCAACCCCACGGCGGCCTGGGCTCGGGGTTTGAACGGACAGCATGGAGAAGGACATGCAAAGGGGACAAGCGAGACGAGGTTTCAAGTCATCTGGCAGCAGGGATTTGTCGTCTCGTCGGCCTCGACTCCGAACACGCGTTTCTTGAGATGACTTCCACCGCTCCCGACGCCCTTCGTGGCGTGCCCAACACGATGAAGCCCAGGTTGTTTTATCTGCCGCAAGGTTCATATACCGCCCTGCGCAAAGACTGCGTTGCTGAACTTGGCGCTACGGATGTTTCTGGAAACGACCTGATCTGTGCTTTGATCTGGAGAAGTGTCGTCAGGGCTTGGATGGCAACTCAGGACGCGCAGCACAGCATCGGCGAGCTGGGCACCGCAATTTCAGAGGTCAGCATCCCCTTCGATGCGCGGCCGCAGCTCCAGGATCTGCTGGCAACCAGTTATCTGGGCAATGTCAACTTTGAAAACAGACTTGCACTTTCCCTGAGCCATCTTGTGGCCAAGGATATGAGCATACCCCAGCTCGCGAAAACGATACGGACCCATGCGGCAACTTTCGCAGGTCACGCTAGCCTGCTGGATGCGTACAGACTACTCGATTCGGTCCCAGACTACAAAAGACTACCGCAACTGCGAGCATCTCGCATGAAATCACCCTCAGTGGGCATCCTGGCTCCAACAACGCTTCCGTTCAATGAAACCTGCTTTGGGGCCCAGACATTCGGTGCTGGTGGTCGACCGGAAGCTTTTCGGCCGCTCATGGGAGATTGCAACAGTGGCTTCCGTACCTGTTTCGTCATACCTCGAAAGTCTTATGGCGGAATCGAGTTTGTCATGACTTTATCTGACAAAGAAGTGAATTTCCTCGACAAGGACGGGGAGTTTACGAAATATAGTTTACGCATGTAACAGTAACGGAAGGAGAGAAAGGGCAGTATATATCATAATACATCCTTGAGCTTGCGAATTTGAAAAAAAAAAAAAAAACATGTTTCAGACGATGGAAGTTCGACCAGGGCAATGTCCAACTTGAAGATTGCCCTTTCCATGACATATAATTTCCGCCCCGTTTCCGTTCGCGAGCACGAGATCAAACCCCATACAAGTCTCGCATCTGAGTACCTTCCTCGGCCATCGCCTTGATCGATGGAACAATGGCATTCACGTCGGATATCTTAAAGGGTACGTCATGGCCGCCATCGTGACTATGCACCCGCCGAATCGAAGGTGTGCATAGGTCTCGTGCAACTCCCGACTGCTTTCCAATGTAGGGGGAGTCGTTCTGCCCGCTCACATGCACCGTTGGGATTTTGATCCGGGCGTGGAACAAATCTGGATGTATCAAGCGCGGTACTTCCTCGGGCTTCTTGGTGCCCAGGAAATCGACATTCGCGTTTGGCAAAATCATTCCAACGCCCATTGACTGCATGGACAAGACCTGCTGCAGATACTGGGCAAGCGTTCGCTCGGACGGATCTTCCAACTCCGTCATAAAATCGCCATCGGGGAACTTGGACCGAAACACTGCATGCTCATCTGCTAGCCATCGCCGCAGAAGCTGCTCACAATAGCTATCATCAGGTGAAACAACAAAGATGGGCGAGAACATGACAGCAAAACAGAATGGCGAAGAAGCTTGCTTTTGTTGCTGATCCAGCATATAGGTTATCGCAAGGGCAGCACCCAGGCTGAAGCCAAACACGCCGTCGAAAGGACCGTGCTCTTTGATAAAATCATCTAAGTGGCGGAGAGCTTGACGCATCTCCGCTGGAGTGAAGCCTGTTGCGTATGAATAGAAGGGCCCGGAGGCCCAAGCCGGGACGCCTAGGATGCTTCAGCATTGGTTGGAGCTGGAATGGTAGATACCCGTACCTGGGCCTCTCCCGCAAGGTATTGCTCCATCTAGAAACTTGAACTGGTACTCTTTGCCCAATGCCCTCACGAAGGGCGCCAGTTGCTCTTTCAGCAGCGAGGATGACGAGCCGAGACCGTGGAGAGCAAGGATCTTCATTTTCGGCAGCCTTCCTCTCTCTGCCTCGGTCAAATGGAGCGCACGTACATCCCAGTTATCTGTAGTAATAATCCTTTCCTTGTATTTGCAAGGCGCCCGCTGTCGGCCCTTTCCACATTGAGAGAACCCGAGATATCATCCACAACTCTGTGGACGTGATGCCGGGTCAACTTGAATTTCTTGTGAATGGCACCCAGTTTAATCCCCTTCCTGGTTCCACTCCCGGTCACCAGTCTTCACAAACTGCATCAGCAGTGCAGACGCGACTATGGCGATCATCACGAAGATAGTAGCGGGGTTGATTTGCGTTTACATCGTCCGAAAACTCTTGTTTCCCTCTGTCGCGCATCTCCCCAAGGGTTTACCCATAATTGGCGCCAAAGACAGCGACTGGTTTCCCTTTCTTCAAGCAGCATGGCGCAACGCTCTCAATCTTCAGGGGAATCTCTTGGAAGCCTACGCGAAGCACAAGGACCAGGCCGCAATTCTGCCTATTGCAGGACCCGGTGGTCAAACATTTGTGTTACTTCCAGCGTCTGAGACCAAGTTAGTGACGGATCAGCCCAGTACTGTGCTCAGCTTGCGCGAGGTTATTGTACAAGGCCTTCTCTACGAGTACACTATATCCGACAATTTCATCGTCTCGAACCCAACACACACGAAGCTCATTACGACGACGTTAACCAACCAGGTCCCTAATCTCCTTCCTGGCTTGGCTAATGAGACCATTCGGGGTTTTGAGCAGCAATGGGGAACCAACACGGAGTCATTTCGTGACGTTACCATATGGGACAGTATGGGTGCTATTGTGAGCAGAGCAACAAATTACGCCTTTGTCGGTCTCCCATACTGTCGTGACTCGGCGCTGCTGGATGCCGGGATTGGCTTTGCGCGAGCACTGCCATTCAGCCAGCTGTTATTGAGTTTTACATGGAAGCCGCTACGTCCTTTGGCATCATTCTTGTTCACGCTTCCTTGTCGTTATTACGAAAACCGGTTCACTCAAATACTAATTCCCGAGATTGAACATCGCCTACACCACAGTTTCAATCCTCCCTCCTCGCCGTGTTCCGGGGAAACCTCTGGCGAAGCGGAAAAGAAGAATGATTTTCTAGAGTGGTGTATAGAGCAGGCCAAAGAAAGTGGTGACCCTCGCATGTGGCAGCCCAGGACCCTTGCAGGCCGTATACTTTTGATGAACCTGGTCTCTATCCACACATCCTCCTTGACCATCGTGAACGTCATGCTGGATTTGGCGTCGTCTACACCTGAAGTCCTTGAGGAGCTGCGAGCCGAGGTCAAACAAGTTCTGGATACATGTGGAGGACAATGGACGAAGCTGGCATTGAGTAAGATGGAGAAGCTTGACTCGGTGCTTCGCGAGAGTGCCCGCCTCAACACTTTGGTTGCCGTCGGGCTTCGTCGCAGAGTCGTAGCTAAGGAGGGATTCACCACGACATCCGGTGTCCATCTACCTTACGGTAACTTCTGCGCCGTCCATAACCTTGGCGTGGTCCACGACCCCAATGTGTATGAGCAGCCAGATACCTTCAAGCCATTCCGCTTCGTTGGACTGCGCCGTGATGTCAACAGCAATGACCCCAACAAGGACCATGTACAGCGAGCACGCTTGACCTTTCCCGCTACTGGGTGCGATTACCTGGCTTTTGGCAACGGCCGTCAGGCCTGCCCCGGCCGATTCTTTGCGGCCAGTGAGCTCAAACTAATGTTGGCGTACGCGTTGATGTACTACGACCTGGAAATGATGGACTCGAGACCCCCCGACAGATGGATTGGGATATTGCGCATTCCATCATCCAATGCCCAGCTACGAGTACGCCGCCGAAAGGGAACCGTTGAGCCGTCCATGAACAACGACAATTTGGTCTGACCTGTTGTATTCCATCCCTAAGGTAGGCAAATCCTGCCTTTTTTGCAATCATCCCCGGCCGTAATAGTGAGGCGCCTCTGAGTTCTTTGCGTGAGAAATAATTCGGCATTGTGTATTATGGCGGCCCAAATACTCGTATGCATCATACCTAAAGCCATGCTTCGATCATAATATTTGTTCGTTATATCTAGTAGAAGAAAACCTATAGATGTCTTATGCGATTATCATATTTCTTAGGCTGGCTACTCCGAGATGGTGATTCAAAGCTATATTGTTAATTGAAACGCTGCAAAGTGTTGTATACCGTTTTACGGTCCACCTTCCCACTTTCGGATGGCGACTTTCCACACTGAATGGCTATGATTATTGCCTCACGCGTTTTCGATTCTGGAAACTTGTCACCTGCTCTTCGATTTGCTCTAATAACCTCGCCGAATGCACGTATATTGCGCGTGGAATTAGCTATTGTGTTGATCAGGTAGGTCGATTGGTGGAAGAACTTTTGAGATGGGATGTACCTCGCCCCGTTCCGCCTCGATTTGGGGTCTAAGGTGATGCTCTGTATGCATCCTCAAGAACACCAACGTCGGGATCTTGAAGTTGGACCCCAATTGGGGTTGCGCCGAAGACAAGGGACTCACGAACGCGGCGGTTGCTGTTTTGCGCGAAGTTAGGGCTTGGGGTTAGGGCCCAGACGGCGATGTCCGCTTGTGGAAGCTCCGACACATCGCCTAGAAGCCACTGACGCTATACAAAGACATCTTTAGTCCAGCAGGTTGTGGTGGAGAATGCCATGATGCCTCGTAGTTGTGCCTCAATTATTTGTTCCCATTGCTCTAGTCCATCTAGCTCCGCGGAAGTCCCGTTCGTTATGTTCACTAGTATCATTGAAGCTCAACAACAACTCACAAGTCTTGCAGTTGTTCTGAAGAATGTCTACTTATAAATTGAATGGAAAATTTGCTGTAGTGACGGGTGCTGGCTCAGGGATTGGTCATGCAGTGGCCAGCATGCTGCTCGAGGCAGGATCGTCTGTCATCCTGGCCGACCTGAAAATGCGCCCAGAGGCCGCATCGACGGTTGCCAAATACCCTCATCCGGCGGTCACACCCGGAGCTTCGACTGCAGTATTCCACAAAACAGATGTGGCCGACTGGGCTCAACTTAGTGCCTTGTGGGAGTTCGCTTTGAGCACATTCGGGCGGATTGATATTGTCGCCAATATAGCCGGCATATATGAATCGCCATTCAGCTCCTTCTGGAAACCGCCCGGTCTGTCGCCCAAGTCTGCGGATCCCATCAACGCGGCCCCCGGTCAGTACCAGATTTTTGCCATCAATCAAGCGGCGCCCATTCGACTGTCCCAGATTGCCGTGGATTACTGGACTCGAACCCCGGACGTGAAGGGTAATCTTCTGTGCGTGGCAAGTATGGCCGGCTATCTCCATGCAATCGATACACCGTTATACATGGCCAGCAAAGCGGCCATTGTCAGCTTTATCAGATGCTTGGGTGATCTTCGGGACTTATTTGGGATCCGGGTTTCGGCTGTGTGCCCCGGGGCCGTGTTTGTATGTAACTTTCCCATCGAATCAGCTTTGGGCCACCGCGATCTCTAACCGCGGAATCATAGACCCCGATGTTCGAGCCCGAGTGGAATCGAAAGTTGACATTGGAGGACGTGTCGTTATCTGCTTTTGACTGCGCTGCAGTCATCTTGCGGGTCCTGCAGGAGCCCCAATGGGGTGGCGGCAGTATTGTTGAGACGCAGATGGTTGGCACAAAAGCGGCTCCGGAGATTGCTGTTCGCGACGTGCCACTAACAGCATTGTATCCCACTGGCAGTCTTGCTCGTCCGAATAAAAATTACATTGAGCATAAGCGACGGTTTATAGCCGAGCTCCAGAATAGCGGTATGCGAACCTGAGAATCAAATTATCGAAGAGTTGTCAATGTGCCGAGCCCCCTTTCCGGTTCTTGTATGGTGAAGATGTACTTCTCTATGCCTTGCGCCATTTTATACAGCAAGCAATGAATTGATTTGGGCTCCCTTGTTTTGGGATCTTCTAGATGCTGCTCTGTTCATGATTGGCATCGCTCAAACTGCGCGGACGCCAGTGTCAAGTGAGCATATATCTTTCCGCTCTGAACTTCTTCCCCATCTAAGTCGCAGAACCCATAGGCATCGCATTCGATGCCTTGTCTTGAACCATCTCGAGGGCATCAACAATATTGCTTTCGCAATCCGTAATTAGGTGCCCCGCCAAACTGGTGGGCCTAACTTTATCCTTGATGCCGTTTGATAGATCTCGCAAACTGAATAAGTGCAACAAGGCGATGTGACGAATAAGCGGGACCTTAAGATCCGGCATTTCGATTCTGTACTGGTCGAGCCAAACGGTGGGACTGTGAATCTCGGTAGCGGATCCCTGGCAGTTCCTATTTTCGCGAGTCCAAGCCAGAAGCTGGTCTGACGCGGTGCGCGTCAGAGTCACGAGCTGTTGTAAGACAATGGCTAGAAACATGCCATTGTCCCCACGGGCACTACAGTCTGAACAACGAAGCGCCTCCCTACAGATCTGCATCCCTCGACTCACGCACACCAGGAGCATGTCAGCTCTCGCCTCTGCCGATTCTACCCCAATGACTTCCAGGAACCGAGCCACGTCGCTGAGGCATTCGCATTTGGAGGAAATCCTCTTGCCAGCGCCAACAGCGGATGACAGATTACCTCCTGGTAGCGAGGCCCGTCCTGCCCGTTTCTCTGGACTATTTTCGTTAAGACGGGGTGGCTGCGACGGGGCGTTTGTGTGGTGGTAGGCTGCCTCCGTATCGAGGACTGCGTCAAAGATATTGTCCATGTCTATCGACGAGGGATCATTGCTTTCCGGAGCCCCAGACATCCCACATAATATATCATGTCCGAGAGTTGCACGATCATCTATCATTGCAGAGAACGTAGGTTGCATTGGCAAGATCGAGCTCACCCACGTGTTGGGCGATTCAGTAAATGCCTCGGAGGAGGAGGATAGCCAATTTAACGGCTCAGAGTCCGACGTATTTTGAGGACGCTCTTGGTCTACCTCTGTGCTTAAGGGTTGTGGTTGGCTGCGGCTGGAAGCGCAACGTGTGCTCGGAGTTGGCAACTGGTTGTTCGAAGTGCACACCCGTTTGGACACTCTCCTGCTGTCCTTGATCGACAAGACATCTCGATAGGTGCAGGTGACCGAGGCAGTCTGGCATCTTCCACAGCCATCTTTGTCGCCGCTGCATTTCAGCTGGGGACATGTCAGCAGGCATTCTGCTGCGGCGAGGAATTATAGAATTGTTCATTGCCCCAGGGTAGATGTAGATTGTAGTGGTGGAAGGAGGGTGATGTGAATTCACTGACCTTTCGCGAACGACAGCGGTCACAGGCAATCGGGGTATAACCTCTGGCCTCAATGCCATCGGCTCTTTGGAGCTCCACATGCTCACGACTATTAGTGTCCTTGTCGTATCGGATTGTGCCGAACATTTTTTTCACTTGTTTGCTGGATTAAACTCGGGAGGCAGTATAATCCCACGAGAATCTGTGACTCGACATATGAGATCAAATACATGCGAGGCAAGAAATCTCCGCACGTGAGGGCCATATCGGACACGGCTAGTACGTGAGAATTTATGTACATATGTACTGATTGTGAGTCCCCCACTAGTGCAAGGTGCGAAGCTGGCATCGTTGAGACATGATAATCCCTGTTGTCAGGATGGGCGGTGTTTTAAGGTGGCTGTTGTAGGCGTTCTACTGTTGCACTAAAAAGGTGTCCAGACCCTACCTAGTTAGCCAGTAACAGTAGTTCTTATGAACCCCCACCCCCCCCTCCAAGGGTGAAAAGACTTGTATTTTCATCCTGCTACTAGAATATTATGTATGCATCTTTGGCTCTTTGGCTCCCTGCCTTATCATCCCTGATGTAGTTATATCTTCTAACACTATCTTATACTAGGTGGCTACTGTTAGCCAATATTAGTACCTTTTCTTCTGCCATGTCCTGGATTTAAACTCATAATCTTAAGGCTTAATTTTTTTAGTGGAAGTTTCAGGTGCTAATGTAGTAGTTCTACTGCTACACTAAAAAGGTGTCTAGAGTCTAGACCCTAGTTAGCCAGTAACAGTAGTTCTTATGACAGTAACCCCCTGCAGGCAAAATGCCTATCAGGTCATAGAAAGAACGTGCCTCGTTCTAAAATCCGCTCAAGACGCGTGGGCCAAAAGAACCCTGGGGATACGGTGGACTAGATCAACAAAATGGACTTTTGGATTTTTGTACTGTCTACTGCATGTATTCCCTATTACCCCTACCTCCACAGATATTAAGGACCATAGACAGGCTATTACATACCATATAGTCAGGATATCATATCACCATATACTAAGGATTGACCTTGGTGTCGAACGCATCTCGGAGCTCCTGTTTGGTGATGTCCGTTGCCTTCTCGCGACGATGGATGACTGCGGCGCCGAGAACTAATCCGTTGGCAGGGCCCAGCCCGCGCGGAATTCCGGTCATCCGGACACCGTCCATGACAGAGGCCTGGAAGAGCACGACCCGGACGGACGGATAGGCAGCTTCAGGGGCGCTTCGGCCTGTTTCAGCGGACTGGCAGACCGCGAGACGATGGCGATGCGGGCGACGCCTGCTGCGGACCATAGCTACAAAGCTGCCACAACGTATTTTTTTTACTGTTGATACTATCCACCACACCTGTCATAGGGGTAGAAAATCCCTGAATGAGATGCTTGGATTTCTATCTAGGTGCCAGGTGTGCGATGCTCATGTAGGTGAGCTCAATAAAGGTCTTGGTGGGCGGGTGTTGACTAATAGTAGGGTAGGGTAAGCCTCCCTACAACAACACCCATAGTATTATGATTCCAACAGTAGTAAAGAATCAAAAGAGAGGGAGACAGGCAAGGCGACCCCCTAATATCAACCACTGACTTTGACTGCTACTCTACTATGGCGTAATATATTAAGATAAGATAGATTTATAAAGCTAGCTCTATATAAAAAACTATTTTATCTTTTTTTTATCTTTAATTAAGATAGTTACTTTTATTACTTTTTCATTTCTTATTTTTTATAAGATTAATATCTTTAAACAGACTTATTACAATAAATATTTTTAGTTATTCTTTCTAGCTAGTATTATAAGAATAAGATTAATTATATTTTTTATTATTAATTATTTCTACCTCTTCTTATCTTTTTAAGTCTAAAGAAATATATTTAGATAAGAAAGTAGGGGCTTACAATACTTTTTATTTTATTTTTATAAAATTCTTTTATTTAGACTTATTTAGATAACATTTATAATTTTTTTTATCTGAAAAAATAAGCCTATAAGATATTGAAGAAATGAAGTTATAAGTCCTATCTCTTTATAAATAAGATACTTGTATTAAATTTTATCTTCTCTATCTTTTTATAAATAATATAATCTATAAGACATTTTTCAAAAATTTTAAGATTTTAATAATTCTTATCTTTATATAAGGGATCCTATTAAGTATTTTACTTAATAATTAGATATAATCTTATAAATAAGAAGACTATCTCTTTCTTAGACTTGAGAAATTCTAAATATTTATAAATCTTCTACTTCAATATTATAAGAACTTAGGAAAACAAAATTATATTCTTTTAGGTTCTTTATATTATTCTTAATTTTAATCTATTATTTATCTCATGTTTATTAATATATATAATTTATTCCTCTCTTATAGGGCCTTATTTGAAATATTTATAATTATATCTCTTATTTATAATTTTTTAGATTATTTGATTAAGATTCTAGAAAGATATAAAAATATTTTTATTTTTAATTATGAACGTTCTAAAAGATCTTGCTTTACTAAAATTAGAAGGAATATAATCTAAGTAAATTATTATAATCTTAATATATATATTTTTAATTTCAATTATTAATCTTTATGATAGACTTCTAACTTATAATAAAAATATAATAAGTTATATACCTATGATAAAGTATTATTCTAACTCTAATAAGAATTAGATTTAAATACTAATCTTTTTAATAAGTAATATAAATTATTTATCTTAGTTCTAGCTCTATAAATATTTTTTCAAGTCTATAGACTATTCCTAAATTATTATAAAGCTTTTAGGATTTATTAAATAGCTTAGGTCTAATTAATCCTTTTTATAACATTGTTCTTCTAATAAATTAGTTTTAAAGATTAAATAATAAAATATAAGAATTCTTAATCTAGAAAGGCTAGTAAATTAATACAAAAAAGAGTACTTATAAAGAGGTTTAATAATAAACATCTTTATTTAAAAACATTATTTTTAAACTCCTAAATTTAGTAATCATACGTAGAGGTTATAACCTTTATATATTATATAATTATTAACTTAACCTCTTATAAGAAGCCTTTTATTAGATAAGGCTCCTTTATAAAGGTAACTTTGCTATATATATATAAAGGACCCTTTATGATCCTTACACTTACTAACTTTAATATATATATATTGAACCTAATGATAGCTAATCTAAGCTAAGAAGATATCTATTAGTAGGTTAATCCTATATCTCTTGATATTAGGATATGAATCTAATTATCCCGGGTAAGATGCATAGAATACTACTTAGATGATCTAGGGGGAGTAGTAGGTTCAGGAGTGGTAGGCATGGTTAAATATCACTATATTACTACTATTTGGATTCCCTAGATCTTAAAGATATGAAGTTTTCTTCGTACCTAATTGGGAAGGCAGTGAGCTAGAAGCCCTAAGCGCCTACACCTGCCCGCCCCATCATACTAACAAAATCACTGGGGTGGACCAGAGTAGACCAGGGTACACGCGGGCTTGTAGCTTTAATAATCACTGAATTCCTAACCTTTCTAATCCTTAGCTTCTGTACTATTCACAGTTAGTTTTGTTATCTCCCAATGTCTTGTTGAAGGCACCAAAAAACTTACGAGAGAAAGTAGGTAGCTGGTTGCTGATAGATTTGTTGGCGTTGTTGAATATTAGGGTAATTCAAGCTGCTGATGTTCCCATGCTGCTTAGCATGTTTGCCAATCCTCACATTGGTTTTTAGTAAGGACGAGGATAAATCCTCATAAGCAGTGGCAGTGGTCACTGGTAACTAGTAGACTACTCAGAAGAAGTAGTAAGTACTCTATAGTAGGTTTAGGGGTTTAAAAACTGTCTCTTATGTTCTAACTGTCATAATCTTTAACGCACCCTGGTTGATTAAAAGATGTCCTTATTAGCCTCTACTTCTCCATCTCTTACCTTATCTCTTTACTCAGACCCTGGTATTCGTAATTTTATCCCTCCACGACACCACTCAGTGCTGCACTCACTACTGTCATGGCCTGATTACCAGGTTGCATTGCTGGAGAAGAGCTATCCACAATCCTCACTTGTGACAAGGCCTGCTGCTGCTTTTCTTTCTAACCCCTGCTTAAATGTGGTGTTGTAGAGTGGTATTCACCATATCAGTGATATACTCACTTAGCATGCCTAAATAGGCATAGTGCAACACATACTAACTAGCATAATCTATTCCCTTATTTATATCTACTAGGGAGTAGCTAGGATAAGAGAATAAGAGGAGGACACACCTCTATATCTGAGCTACATGCCCATATCTATCAGTATTCATATTACCCTGATTACCCAGCTACGACATGTGGCTAAGCGCCATGCTAAGATGACCATCACCCTTCCTGCCCAGTGTTCTCAACCATGATTGGCCTTTTCTCGCGCAAGCTAACTGCGCCACCGTCTCTAGACTCCACTTTTGTGTGCTGTCCACATATGCCCGGTGTCAGCCTGGACCGAATATAGCAAATTCACTGACTGTTGCCTTGAATATCTCTCTGTCTGTACTGGGCCTCAGAACACACCTTATCTATCCGGCAGGACGATCAATACTCTCGCTTCCTGTGTTGCTTACAAACCATTATGATGCCTAAAATCAGTGCATCATTCCGGCTGATCTCCCGGCGGAGGCTTTGTCCAAATTCCTGCCAGCAGACAAGACACAAGGAGGGTACTGAACCAGACTTCCCTTTTTCTGCCATCATTCCTACAATCTCCGTCCCATCTGCCTGTTTGAGCCGTTATCTTGTAGAGAACTCCATTTTGGCCATGGGAAGGCGCTATGAACTGCCTCACAAGCACAGCTAGAAATGAGGTACTATGTAGGGCTTGGCAAGCATGGTTCAAAGGAGAGGGCACAGATGATAAGGTTTCTAATAGCAGAAGGGCTAGAACCTTATAGCTTGACTAAAAGCACTCCTAATAACTTTCTACATTTCTTAATCCACTGAGGTGGCGTAGCCTGTTATCTAACAGAACCAATGGATTCCTTTAATGGAAGGAGATAGAACAGCTAGATCAGTCCATCAGCATTATTATTTTTAAAGGAAGAAGTACCATAAATTTTGGTAAGTGCCTATTTAGTTTGGGTACTAGGGAGGGTAGGAAATTAAAGTAATATTACTTAATAGTATAGAAGATAGAAGACATCCTCCACATGGTGATAAAGCACATGAATACTAAAATAATGGCATGATTCAACCAAATATTTAATTATTACTTGCTTGACAGGGCCCAGACTAGCCACTACTGCATATCCCTGTATCCTAGTGTTCCCACCTGTTAGGCATGGTGTGGTGTAACAACAATACAGATGATCATATTTTATTTGACACGTCCATTGGGCTTTGGGGGGTCTTAGCTTTGCAGGGGAGCAGAATTAGGAATATGGAGACTACGTAGTAAGGCCCTTTAGCCTTGGATTAGTCTAAGATGGGATCTCTTGAGTTGAGGTCCCGCCCATAGTTAGTCCTATATTTACATCGGAGAATCCTTCCATGCACTTCTGCTGAGCATATATAGATTCAAGTCCATAATCTACTCACTCTTCTGTGCGTCTGAAGAACGTTGATAGCTCAGTGACATCCAGCAGCCAGTCTCCTGTAGGCGTCGATACGTCGCTGTCTGTAGCCAAGCTGTCAGCAGTTCCGATGTCGACGGACTGGGTGGTGGATACTGCAGATCCCCTGCATCTTGATGAGGAGGTCCGTGAGCAAGACCTTAACACCATGGCTGACTGGCCAAAGAAGATGTCCAATTATCTCTTTGACTGGTCCTCCCTAGATCTGTGCCATAATGTGTAGCACCCCCGGCCCCTCTGGCACCTTGCTCTTTTTGAGTGAATTCAGATAAGCTAACATTGCAGATAGGCAATTGACCCCCCGAATAGCCTATCGACGGAGGATACACATGTCTTTTAACTCCTGACAACACAGACACCTCCATCGACAAGCCTGAATGGTAACCCTGAGAGCCCGCTGCCATCACAGGGAAGCTGCCAATGCCGTACGAATCTCATGCTTCAGGTTCTTGATGTTAACAACGCGATCCAAGCCAGCTGTCCCTAATACGAGGCACCTGATAGGGCTACTAAGAGCTCTTACTTAACTATAGCTTATACTATCTCTAATAATAAGAAGAAGCCCTAGCTAATATACTAGAGGCTCCTCCCTATAATATTATTAGTAGTTAGAAGTAAAAACTTATAATAATAATATCTATCTTGTTATTAATCTTTTTCTATACTCTTAATAATACTATAGTTATAGATATCTAGCCTATTATTATTTTTATGCCTACATGTATTATGCTTGGCGCTCTCATCTGCTGGCACCAGCTGGCAACAGAGGTCATTGAAATAGTGTGGTTAGATGGTTATGCTCTGTAAGGATGACAGTTTCCGAGAAGAATCAGTGTAGGAACGAGGCTCTTTTAATTAGAAGAGAACGGCACCAGATCGCAGGAAGATGAAGAACTCGGCTGCTGCAGAGTCGACATGTCGCCTCATAGACGGAGGAAAAGCACTGTAGAGACTCAAGATTCGAAGTCCTACGGAGTACCTCCAAGATGAGCAGGGGAATGATCAGCAAGAAGTCACTGAGCTAATGAATCGGTTGATTCTCTCAGTGTTGGTTTGATACTAAGGTAGTAGTTATGGGATCTCATTGATTGCTGAGTATTATCAAATTTCGATCTGCCAACTCACTAGAAGAAAAGCCATCTCGCAAAAGTAACATCAAAGACTTTTGTTCATCAAATCAAAGATAGGAAAACAAACAGATCATGCTCGAAACGAAGCCAAAACATCACCCACGGACGCATTCGGGTCCTCCATGACCTTGGCCAGCATCCTCTCCACCACCTTCGCCTCCTCCTCCACCTGCGCTCTCTCCCACAGTCTCTTATCATAGGCGAATTTGAGCTTATACCCATTCACATCCGCCGTCTTGACCACCTCGAACACCACCGCATACGGCTGCGGCATCGTCACCTCCGACTTGGCCATCACCACCCACTTCTGGTACTGCTTGCCCGTCGCCCCCACGACCGGCTCAAAGGGCTGGAAGAGGAAGAGCGTCTTGTTGGCGAAACCTTCCCGGGTCGTGCCACAGGCGTCGTGGATCTCGTCCATCCACACGTTGCTGTTCTCCGTGTACTGCCAGAACTCGTCCTGGGTCTGGCGCAGGAACTCCTGCACGGGCATCTGCGGGTCGACGTCGGAGCGCATGGGCAGGAAATTGGCGCAGGTGCCGTTGATGGTCTGCGGGTCGGGGAGGTCGACGTTGCGGCCAGTGTAGAGGTAGTCGAAGGCAACATCGCGCTGGGTGCTGCGCAGCGCCAGCCAGAGCTGGAAGATCGACTGGAAGATGATCGAGACGGTGGCGCCGGTGGATTTGGCGAAGGCGTCGAACTCGAGGTTGATGGTGTGCACGAAGACGGAGTTGATGCGGGGCTCGAGGGTGTTGGTGGAGTCGGTGATGGGGAACTGGAAGGGGATGGGCCGTTTGTCGGGTTGCGCCCAGAAGGAGAGTGTGCTGCTATTGTCCGTCTGCCAGATGTGGTCGGTGAAGTCCTTGAAGGGGGTGAAGCGCTCGAGGGCGACGCCGCGCTGGTAGGCCTCGAAGTGCTCGCCGAAGACGCGCAGGAGGGTGCCGTCGTAGAGGCCGTGGTCGAGCTTGGTGACGATGTGGCTTTCGCCGTTGGCGAGACGCAGGATGCCGTAGCGGATGAAGGGCTTGCCGAAGACGAAGCGATGGTCGCCGATGGAGTCGATGATTTGCTTCCGTTGTTCCTCGCTGGTAACGTCGTCGTACAGCTCCACCACCGGGGTAGCATCGCGGAGAACAACACCATACCACTTGCCTTGGCAGCGAGTGAAAGTCGTGCGCAGGATCTCGTTGGTCTCCGTCAGCTGGCGCACAAGGTCAATCCACTCCTTTGCGTCAAAGTTCTCGCCAGCGTTCCGGACAGCCATCAGACTCCATAGCGCTTCAGGATGGGCACCCTGTGTGAGGAACTCGGACTGTCCCGGTCCGCACGGGTAGACGTACTCATACTGCTCTTGCGACAGGCCAGACGAGGAGATAGCAGCACCGAGCTCCGCCGGAGGCGTAAAGGTCTTCTGCGGCACCTGCTTCGCTTCAAGTGATTCTCCCTTCAGCTGCTCGGCCATGGCTGCCAGGAGCGGATACTTGAGAACATCTCGCACCGAGACCTTGAGCTGCTTGCGCCGCAGCCAGCTGACAAGATTGATGGCAGCGATGGAATCACCACCGAGGCTGAGGAAGTCGGCCTCCTGTCCGAACTCGTCGTCGGGGAGCTGGAGGACCTCAATCCATCCCTGCTGCAGCACTCTCTGCGTCTCGGAGACAAGAGGCACGACTGCTCCCTTGGTCTGAGAGACGCCGATCTTGTCGAAGGAAAACTTGGTCAGCTCGCCTTGGCTCAAGCCCTGAACCATTGCCTTCAGCTGCTTGCGGTTCGCCTTTCCAGAGGGGAGTCGAGGCAGGGAGGCGAGAGGAACAATTGCCTTGGGAATCATGTATGGCGTCAGACCCGTGAGGTTTGCGCGCAGTTGCTGTGCCTGGTCCGCGTAGTCCTGCAGAGAGAGAATGGTACTGGAGTCCTCCGAAGCGGCGCCATCGAAGACGACCACCGCAACAAGATGCGCGGTGCTGTTCTGCTTCCAGACGGTGAGGATGCAGTCCTTGACCTCACCAGTCCGGAGGAAAGCCTGCTCAATCTCTCCGAGCTCGATGCGGTGTCCGTTGATCTTGACCTGGTCGTCCTTACGGCCCAGGCACTCGATATCTCCGCCGGGAAGGTATCTGGCAAGATCACCACTGCGATACAAGCGCTGACCCTGTAGCACCTCACTGCCGATGAAAGCGGCAGCGGTGACATCGGGCTTCTTGAAGTAACCCTCAGCAAGCTGAGGTCCAAAAAAACACAGCTCTCCAACAGCACCATAAGGCACCGCACGCTCGCCATCCGCCTCGAGAATAATCGAGCCGACCGAAGCAAGCGGCCGACCAATATTGCCTCCAATCGTGTCACTGTCCACATCCTTCATCGTGACCAGGACAGACGCCTCGGTGGGCCCGTAGCCGTTGCGCAGGCTCACCCGCGAAGCCCACGTGGTCACCACATCCCGGGTCAGCTGCTCGCCGCCGACCGTCATGGACTGCAGCTTCGGGACATCGCTGGGGTTCAGCAGACGGGCGACAGTGGGGGTCAAGAAGACATGGTTCACGTCCATCTCGTCGATCACTTCGGCAAGGTTGTTGAGGAGGCGATCCGACGGCGCAATGCACAGTGTGCCGCCGCTGTGCAGCGCGACGAAAAAGTCGTACAGCGAGACGTCGAAGACGTAGTTGGAGAACTGCAGCATTCTCGACTCCTGGCCCTGACGGTTCTCAAAGTCGATGATTGACTGCATCGCCGCGGCGCATGCGCCGTGCGTCACCATGACACCCTTGGGTAGACCGGTACTGCCCGAGGTGTAGAGGAGGTATGCAAGTGCGTCAGGGGCGACGGGCGCTTGCTGTGGCTCCGGGCCGTAGGCGCAGAGCCGGGCCTTGTCGACAAGGATGCTGGGGATATCGGTCTCCGAGGCAAAGTACGATTCGTTCTCGGTCTCGGTGAGCACAAACTTGGCGTTGACGTCCCGAGCAATGTACGCGTTTCTCTCCAGGGGGTTCTCCGGGCTCAGAGGCACATAGGCTGCGCCCAGCTTGAACAGCGCCAGGATGGCTGTCATCATCAGAGGCGACTTTTCCAGGAGCAGAGGGACGATGTCGCCGGCGACAACGCCCTTCTCGGACAGATAGTTGGCCATGCGGTTGGCCCGAGTGTTCAATTCGGCATATGTGAGGAATTCCTCGTTCTGGTAGTTGATGGCGACGCGGTCGGAATATGTCTGCACCATGGCCTCAAACTGACCGTGGAGGGTGCGGGTGGCAGCTGGGAGCTCATTGTTTGATTCAAGCAGGAACTGCAACTCCGCCGAGCTTACAAGGCTAGTGGCCTTGACGGTCTGCCGGGGGTGGGATGCGATGAGATTCAACGCCAGGCAGAACTGGTCGATAATGAACTCCAAACGGCGCGCATCCATCGGCGACGTGAGCGTGACATCAATCCCGGCGCTGCTCTCTTCGATGTTGAGGGTCGTGTACTCAGTCCTCCACACGGGCCGCTGACCATACAGCTGGAAGACCTCCTTGGAGATATCATCCTTGTCCTTCTCGCTCACCAGGATATTGACCATGGTGTCGAAGAGCGTGGTATTCTGGCGTCCAGCAGCGGCCAGCGCATTGCGCACTCCGAACTGCGAGTGCCTGATAACCTGCCAGAGGTTTGCGTTGACCGACTGCACAAGCTGCTGGAGCGTGTGCTCAGGATCGATGCTCACGGCGTAAGGGACGACAGCCAGCGTCGGTCCATTGAGTGCTTCGATGCCTGGCAGATGCAGTTCCCGACCCGAGACAGCCGTGGCCATCGTGATGGATTTGGACGAAATGTGCGAGGACAGAACCAGGGCCCAGGCGGCGTGGAAAATGGCACTGGTCGGAGCATGCAGTGCGGAGGCAGCGGACTTGATCTCGCGGCCGATGGTCCGCGCAACAGTAGTGGTCTGTGTGGCGGGAGACCAGTTGAGGACGGTTGGAACAGCCTCGGCCAGTTGCTCGTTCCAGAAGTCCTGGGACGATTTCGTGTCTCGGGAGCTCAGCAGAGCAACGAAAGACTTCCACGATGGGCGCTTCTCAGGGCGCCGGCCATAGTACACGGCCGCGACATCGTCGAACAGGAAGCCGTGGGACCAGAAGTCAAAGAGGGCGTGGTGCACGGAGACAACCAGAATGCCACCGTCAAGCACTGCAACGCGGACGAAGGGTTCCCCAAGCGTGACTCCTCTTTCCTTATCGGCCTTGAGATACTCTCCTGGGCCGCTGGAGACTTCTGACCAGGGAAGGTTGAAATCGTTGCGCACGACCTGTGCGAAGCCCTTGGCGGCAGTGGCAAAGGTAGACTTGAGGAGCTCGCTGCGCCAGAAGACAACCTGGAATGCTAGCTGCAGTCGCACCGGGTCAAGGTGGCGGATGTCAAAGATGCGCTGATACAGGTAATCTTGGTTACCCTGCAAGGTGCTGGCAAGGATACCTTCCTGCAGTGCCGTGACTGGATAGGCATCGACGACCCCGCGGTCAGCGAGTAGATCCGTCTTGAGGCCCTCGTCCGAGATGAAAGCGAAAGGCTCAGCAGATTCATTGATGTGGGTGGCAGAAGAGTCCAGATGAGCCATATCCGCAATCTCCTCAATGGGCTGTGCCTGGAGCATGTCGGCCAACTCAACATGGATACCCCGCTGCTTGAGCTCACGAATCACCCGGATGGCGTCAATGGAGGTGCCGCCCAGCGCCACAAGCGAGTCAGTAGGCAGGATTGAGGAGGCAGACAAGTGCAAGACCTCCGCCCAGACCTGTGCAATTTCCGAGGCGATCTCGCTCAGACTCGACCCATCACCGATGTTCTTCGACGCGGCGCCATGGCCCAGCAGCTGTCCAATCTCCGTCGACTCAGCCAGCTCCCGGATAGCACGGAAGTTGACCTTGCCGTTCTGATTGACGGGAAACTCTGCACAGGACAGCCAGTAGCTCGGCACCATGTAGGGCGGGAACGACTGGCGCGCAGACTCGCGCAGACTCTGCACCAGCGCGCCCCATTCAGCGTCCTGCGCAGGAACCACGGCGGCAACAAGAGACATGCGCTCGTTGATGTAACATCCGACGCAGACGAGACCAGCCACGCCGGCGACCGTCGCGAGCTTCGCGCCGACTTCTTCGGGCTCCACACGCTGGCCGTGGATCTTGACCTGGTGGTCGATACGACCCAGGATCTCGAAGGTGCCATCCTCGCGCGCCACGGCCAGATCGCCAGTGCGGAACATCATCATGCCAGGGTTCCCCTCGGGGGCCTTGATGAAGGCCGCTTGGGTCTCTTTCTGACGTTGGTGGTAGCCATTGGCGACCTGGTGGCCATAAAGGCACAACTCGCCCGGTTCGTTGATTTTTAGGGGAGTGGTGGTACCGGGCTCCAGGATGACGGCGGTGGTGGTGTCAACTGGGCGGCCGGGGTTGCGGGGGTTGTCGCCTGGCTGAAGGCGACGGGAAAAGTTCAGTTGGGCGCACTCGCTGAGACCGTAGGAGACGCGCAGATGGACCTTGTCTGCCCAAGTGTCCACGAGAGTCTGGCTGAGTGGTTCGCCGACGGTGGTGATTTGCTGCAGACAGTCTGGTGCCTCGCCGGGAGACAGCAAGGCCAGGGCGGAGGGTGTGATGCCCAAAGCGTCAATCTGCAGATTGTTGAGCACCTCGGGGAGGGCGGTTGCGAGTCTCTCTCGTCTAGCAAGACAGAGACAGGCTCCCTTGGACAAGGTGGCAAGGATGGTTCTCTGAGCAGCAGAGAAGATGGGGTTGTAGAAGAGCAGCCACCGCTTGCGGCCGTTGAGCTGAAACTGGTCAATGCCGTGAGAGACTGCGCGATGGCTGAGGAGGACGCCCTTGGGGGTACCCGTTGACCCCGAGGTATAGATCAAGTACGCCAGGTCTGATGAGTTGGTGGTGGGAGAGCTGAGGTCCTCCAAGGGCAGGGTGCTGGAGCGGATGCTCTCAATGCTGACGCTCTCGTCAAACAGCAAAGCATACTTTTCATGCACAACCACCGGCTCCACCCCGCAATCGGCCGCGATGACACGGTTACGCTGCGCAGAGCCCTCTGGATCCAGGATGACATATGCAGATCCTGACCACAGAATAGCCAGCACGGTGGCTACGAACTCGACCGAAGGATCCATGCAGAGAGGGATGATCCGTCCAGAGCGGAATTGGCCCGCATTCGCAATCTGGAGGACGAGTTGCCATAGCTCTGCATAGCTGTAGGGCTGCTCCTGCTCGCAATGGACGGCTGGAGCCTCGGGGTTGGATTCGACTTGGTACTTGATGAAGTCGGTGACGAGACAAGGAGGGGAGGGATGGTTGAGAGAAGGAATTGAGGTGATTTTGGTGGGGACAATCTGAGTGCCCTCGAGCTCAGGGCTCTCAGCGACGTCTCGAAGAGCAACGGGGGCCATTTTTGAGGAAAGAAAGAACAAAAAAAGAGTCAAACGAGAGAAGGAGGACTAGCAGCGAAGGAACATTGGAGGATGCCTCGATTTGAGGTCTGTGGGATGAGGATGAGGATGATGATGAGGATGCGATGATAGAGGGATATCTGACGGTATTTACGTGTGCCCTTGTGCTATAGACAGCAGCATCTCACCATCTTCAACTTCGTTGAGGATCCAATACAGCAATCCAGGACATGGCCGTCCGTGCGGCCGAGTTCAGGTTCACCATCCATGTCAACCATGAGGCCTTTCCTGAAACCTCCAGCAACACGCTTCGCCCCCCCCCCCCGTGCCTCCATCCTTCGACGTCTAGATCGCGTCCTCGTGGGAATACCATGCAAGAATCAGCACGAGTAGCGCGATGATCTCACTCTGACCCCTGCCTGGAAGCAAACCGGTCGGTCCCAACCGAAGATGCGCCGAGGGCATTTCCATCTAATCCACGCATGCCGTTGCGCTCTAGACGTCTCGCTTCAAGTCAAGGGCGTGGGCCTCTGCAGGTGCGGAGAGGGAAATGTCGCCAGGGTTGCAGAAAATTTCGTCGTCTGGACCTGAGCGTCGCCGACGATGAGGGCGGATCCAACGTCGAACACGAGGGATTTGCAGTTGCATTCATTGCTCGTGCACACATGCACCCGTCTTGCATAAAGTCGCATACCCTGTAGTTCTCACTCCGGATGAACCGCAGCCTCCGAGACAAGGACGGTTGGTGATGACGAGATCGAGGGATATACTCTGTGATTCTTCAGGATCTGAATCCCCGATCGACTGCATGCAACCCAGCCTATCAGGGCCAGAGCAGCATTACCCGAATCGAAGCGGGAGCGGCCATGAAGAAGATGTTGTAATAAGATCTGCAGGTAAAAGGGCGGCCGCCGGAGAAACAGGAGTAAGCGAGAGGATTGTGATTTGTTCATCGCTGCCTTTCGGAGCCTCTGCTCTCTGATTCAAACCATGTGTCATTGCGCCATGGTGTGATGCCAGTTCTTAGGCAGCAGCCACGCCGTGATCCCTGTTGGTTTGTGCATCTAATGGCCAATTCGTATTTGATCAGCGCTCTCATGCAGGTCGGGACGCAGCGAGCCACTGAGAGAATGGCTTGCTTGCCGAGGAAAACGTTGACAAACAGGGTCGGTCTATTGGTGCTAAACCGGAAACAGGGACCGTAGACGAGTGGAACTTTCTCGCAGGATTTCTGACAAGCTCGCCCTAGGATGGTGCAAGAGTTCTGGCTGAGACAGCCGTAGAGCTTGTTACTTGTGAGAGACGCATAAGGTACTCAGCCAAGGTCGGTGATGATCATCCCACTCTTGGCTGAAGAAGTTTTCGGAATCTCTTCTACCGATCCGAGCACGGATGTAATGACGGTTACGGACTTACACAGAGTTACAGTAGAGTAGGATCTGTGCGTTCGGAATGGCTATAAATGGGCCGTCCACAAACGCTCGACATCGGGTCAGCATCCAACCATCAATCCAGGGCTTCTTGACCAATCAACCCTCGCCATTCATCCATTTTTTTTTTCTCCAAAGCTTCGTTACATCGCCATGGCAGAATCACTTGTTTTCTCTTACGAGGCCTCAGAGCCCGTGCAGGAGATCCGTCTGGTCTCGTCGACCACACCCACCGAGTGCGGCCCTCACGAAGTCGTCGTGGAGATGCTGGCCGCGCCCATCAACCCTCTGGACTTCCTCGTCCTGCATGGCAAATACCCCGTGAAGCCCCAGAACAGCGCCCCTCTGGACAACGGCGAGTACAGGCCCATTCCGGGCTCGGATGGGGCGGCCCGCATCATCCAGACGGGATCGGCAGTGACCCAGTTCCATGTCGGGGAGCCAGTGATCCTGCGGACCCACTGTCGGGGATCCTGGCGGACACACGCCGTACTGGACGAAAACGACGTGCTGCGTGTTCCCACCACGCTCGACCCGCGCCTGGCCAGCATCCTACGCATGGGGGTGGCGCCCGCCTACTTCCTGCTGCGCGACTACGCCGCGCTCGAGCCCGGCGACTGGATCATCCAGAACGCCGCAACAGGCACCGTCAGCCATTTCATCAGCCAACTGGCGCAGCTGCAGGGAGTCAATGTCATCAGCGTCATCCGCAATCGCGCATCGGCGGAGGAAGTCGAACGCACGAAGCGGTCGCTGCGCACGCATGGCGCATCCGTCGTGCTGACGACGACGGAACTGGCCGACAGCGGCGCAGAGCTCCTGGCGGGCAAACGCATCGCGCTGGCCATCGACTTTGTCTCGGATGACGCACTGGCGCGACAGATGGCGGGATTCCTGGCGCCGGGGGCCACCCTAGCCACGGCGGGCTTCTTGGGAGTGTCGTCTGCTGTGCGCGACGGCACCCTCCGCCAATTCCTCTGGCAGCGCAATATTACGCTCAAGGCGTTCCGGCTGAGCGACTGCCTCGGGCGCCGATCAGCGTTTCATCAGACCGCGCTGCTCGAGTGGTTTGCCCGACTGTTTGTCGAGGGGACGCTCAAGGCGCCGGCAGTGGAGTATGTGCGGTGGAAGCGAGGTGAAAAGGGCCAGGAGCAAATCCTGCGGGATATGCTGCAGCGACACGAGAAGGGGGCTCTGGGTGAACGGAAGAAGATCCTCGTGTTTGAGCACTAATCGACCAGAGGGACTCCAGTCGAAGCGAGGGGATTGTTTGCGTCCAAAACCACAGAATCGTGCAAGCGCGACAGAGCTAGACTCGATCACTGCAGTAGCGGATCTGCAAGAGACCACCATTCAGATTCATAATGAACGTTATTATTAGTGGGATACCGGAGAATAAAAAAAAGAAAAAAATCGATGACTGTTGCCTTGACAAAAAAGAATGTGTAAAAAAACAAGAAAACAACGCAGGTAGCGTAAAAGTTGGAGACTTTGTTGGTTGCTTGCTTTGGCCAGCACCTCAGCTGGATGTAGCTGCGGACCGCAGGATGCCCCCTTTCCCGTCCAATTTAGCCACGGGCGACGATGATTCGAACCACCGTGCTCAGGAGGAATTCTGAGGATCTTTATCCTTGTGTGCCAGGCCGGGTGGCGCCGACTTGGACGAGTCTTATAGAGTCTTGGACTCTTGGGCTGCGCGGTAGGTGGATTAAATACGACAGTGGTGAATGGACGAGTGGTAGGATCGGCCACTATTCATCACACTGCAGGGACGCTGGTGCGAATCCCTGTGAATCCCTGAGAATCCCTGTGGTAGAATGAGGTGGAAATATTACTAATGCTCGGCTATCCGGCAGATGGTCTCATTGCATTATTAATGATGTTGGATGTTGGCGACATGTCGCATTGGTTTCTTTGTCTTAAACGAAGGCTTATAGAGTCGGTCGTGTCCGTGGGATAGACTCACCCCGGCGGCTCCATCCTATCAGCATTCTAATTTAAGAAAAAAAAACAAGCTGCTTAGGTGCTATGGCTGTCAGCATGGACAAGCAGAGTGCGACTTCCTCTCCCCCTTCTACTCTCCCCGTCGAAGAGTCCGACGGGGAGAAGGGTGTCGCCCCGGTGCAGGAGACGCCCTCTCCTCCTCCTCCCCCTAATGGAGGCATGGTCGCCTGGCTGCAGGTTGTTGGAGCCTTCTTTCTCTTCTTCAATTCCTGGTATGTTTCCTGTCCGGTCATCTCATTGGGTTCGAATCGCATACTCATTTTTTTCGACAGGGGCGTGGTCAACACCTTTGGCGTGTACCAGACCTACTATGAGACCACCCTACTGGCTGGTCATTCTCCCTCGTCCATCTCATGGATTGGAACGGTTCAGGGCTTCCTTCTCTTTGTCGTGGGTGTCATTGCCGGCCCCATTTTCGATAAAGGATACCTGAAGACGCTGGTTGCTCTGGGCTCGTTCCTGGTCGTCTTCGGGCTGATGATGACCTCGTTGTCCAGCCAGTACTACCAAGTGTTCTTGGCTCATGGGGTCACCGTGGGAATCGGCTGTGCCTTTCTCTTCCTGCCCAGCATTGCCATCGTCGCAACGTATTTCACCACGAGGCGCGCTGTCGCCACGGGAATCACCGCGTCGGGAGGCAGTATCGGTATGCTTTCTTCCTCCTCCGTTCCCTTTCTGACTCTGATCGAACGCTCACCCGTTCCAATTCAGGATCCGTCATCTATCCCATCATCTTCCGCAAGCTCATCGACCCCCTCGGCTTCGGCTGGACCACCCGCGTCATCGCCTTCATCGCCCTCGGCGGCCTGTGCCTGTCGCTCGCCGTGATGCGCATGCGCCTCCCTCCCCCCAAGCAAACGCGCTCCCTGCTCGACCTCTCCGCCTTCAAGGAAGCGCCCTTCCTGATCTTCAGCTTCGGCCTCTTCTTCGCCTTCGTCGGCCTGTACTTCCCCTTCTTCTACCTCCCCACCTACATGTCCACCGCCGTGCACTCCGACGACGATATCGCCTTCTACATCATCGCCATCCTCAACGCCGCCTCCGTCTTCGGCCGTATCACCCCGGGCTTCGTCGCCGACCGCATCGGCTCCCTCAACACCATCATCCCCATGGGCCTGGCCGCCGCGATCCTCGCCTTCGCCTGGCTCGGCATCAAGAACATCGCGGGCACGATCGTCTTCGCGTGCCTGTACGGGTTCGCCTCCGGCGCGATCGTCTCGCTGCCGCCGACCATCGTCGCCAAACTCAGCCCCAACATGAGCGTGGTGGGCACGCGCATGGGGATGTGCTTCACCTTTGCGGGTGTGGGCCTCTTGATCGGCAACCCCATCGCCGGCACGCTCCTGGACCTGGAGCATGCCGTCTTCTGGAAAGCGGAGCTGTTCTGTGCGGTTCTGGTGACGACGGGCGTGGCGTGCTTTATCTGGCTGCGCCTGCTGAAGTGGACGGATGGCGAGAAGGGCAAGTATTAATGTGTTTTCTTTTTTTTTTTTTTTGGCCGGTCTGACCGGGCTTATTATCCGAGTATGATATCCTCTACTCGGACACACAACATAAAAAGTTAATGCAGCGTCAAGTATACATATTACATACATAGCACATACATCCTCGAATATCGTCGCGTGGCCGTGGCAGTAGTGACTGTCGACCGGTGGGCTTATTTATTATTTATTTATTTATGTATTTATTAATCTATTTAGCTTCAGCAACTAGGACCTGGATTACTAATGGGTGCCTGGATTTGTCACCTCGATGCAGGGATGCCCATCCTGGCCATTTCTGGTCATTTTAGACCCTCATGGTGCCATCGAGGAGTCTCTCCCCATACGTGGCTGCTCTTGGTTCTCTCAGGCTCTCAGCGCTTAGAATCCTCCGAGAGTCTTCCAAATGTGTCAATTAGTAATTCTCCGATAGGGTACACAGATATCTGCACTGCATGTGCTCCTGCTCGTTTGTTGCGCTTGTGGAGGGCTGCTGCATTCTCCAGACCTGGAGCCGCTTTGAGGGAGAGAGAGAGAGAGAGAGCTTGAGGGGGATGGGGAGGAGGGACTACTAGAGGATAAGCAATAGCTTTAAAAAAAATACTCTAATGGGTTTCTGATTCTATGAAATGAGGTAGAGGAGAGCTGTTCTTCCCAGACGCCGACGCTTGGATATAACAAATACATAACAACAATGTGCAAAAGAAAGTCATCCTCTCATGTCATGCGCAGGTTGTGCTCCGCCAGATACTTGTCGAAATTCTCGGGCAGCCCCGATGGCTCTGCAACCGCGATATAAGTGTCCGGTCTGATCAGGTACGCCGCGTCTTGACCCAATCCCACCCCCTGGTACTTCGCATCCCAGGGAAACCCGTGCAGCGGGATCCCCTTGGCCCGGCACCACTCCTCCAGCTCCGGCTTCGCCGCTCCATACACATGTACCTGCCATGTGATCTCCTTCAGACTGTCGAAATTGTCAAGATCCCCGACAGGCGCCCACGGCATGCGATCGCCGCCCTGCACGGAGCCCGCCGTGCCCGCGGACAGCGCGCTCTCTCGATAATTCACCAGGATCTGCGACACGCCCTGGAAGATACGGTGGCGGACCGCCGTCAGCCGCGTGAGATACGGCATTATGGTCGGGACGAACCACGTGCGCAGGAAGCCTGCCACGTACCCCTTGGAGACGAGGGTGGTGAAGGCCCGGTCGGTGGTGCTCACGAGGATGTTGGCAAAGGCGTGCCGCTCGGCGTCGTAGCTCGCGAGCAGCGATGCGTCGGCGCGGCCCTGGAGCACCGCAGAGAGTTTCCACGCGAGGTTGATGGCGTCGCCGATGCCTGTGTTCATGCCCTGGCCGCCGACGGGGCTGTGGATGTGCGCGGCGTCGCCGACCAGGAACGCGCGGCCCTTCTGGAAAGACGCGGCCACGCGATGGTGGACGCGGTAGGTGGTGAACCAGTTGACCTTGTCGATGTGAAGTCTCATAGCCTGGAGAGCGGTGGGCGCGACGTCGTCGACGGTGAGGTCGGACAGTTCCTTGGTGAGTCTGGCCTCGTCGACGGCACCAGAGAGACGTGCACGGCGGTTGTCATCGTATGCGAAAGACAGCATGAACTCGGTTCCGTTGACGGTGACATGCGCCTGGCCGTTCATTGTGGGCCCGCTGCCCTCGACGTCCGCCACGTAGAAGAGCTGGGGGTAGGTCGCGCCGGCGAAGTCGATGTTGCACGCGTGGCGGAGGGTGGAATGGGCGCCATCACAGCCGACGATGTACTTGGCTGTGCATGTTGTTTCCAGCCTCTCTTCATCTGTGGTGTCTGCAGAATCCTTTGCGTGCTGTAGTCGAGCCGAGACATGATCCTCATGCTCAGTCAAGTCGACCAGGGCCCAGTTCCGCTGGACCGTCACCCCCATCGCGTTCAGCCGCTCTTCCAGCAACCGCTCGTGAAAATCCTGTGGGTAAATTTGAAGGAAAGGATACGGAGTCAGGCCCTTGCCGACATCTCCAATCGGAACATGGGCCCTATGCGATCCCTGGGCCCAGATATTGGTGGCCTCGACCTTGTGGCCATTAGCGACCACGTCGTCGGCAAGGCCCAACTGGCGGTAGAGCTCGATTGTGCGTGCATGGATGACCAGCGCGCGCGAGGTAGATGGTTTCGATTCTTGACGATCAATGATGCGCACGTTGACATTCTGGCGTGTGAGCCAGAGAGCAAGGACCAGGCCGGACGGACCTGCGCCGATGATGAGGACGTCTGTTTGGGTGGTCATTGATGAATGAGAGAGCCTAAGAGATCTAATCAAGAAACATTGAGATGCTGGATACCGAATCCGACTGTCGACCGTGTGTTCTTTCTTATATAGCTGACATTTTTTGGTTGTTGTCAGTAAGCCCTAAGAAACCCCCCCGGGATTCAGATCTGTCGTCGGGCAGATCCGGGATGTGTATAGCCCTTTTTTCCCTACCATTTTCCCTCTCTCTGACTGACATCTGGCGCGTGAGGACATCACGGGCACAAAGCCCCATTAAGTCACGAAGACAATGGCTCTTCACAACTCATAAGCACCATGTCGTGCAACGTCATGGCTAAAAATAAGGCCCTAACACCGTAACACGTCAAAGCCATTGGCCCACCGTTCCCGCAAGTCGGCATGGCTGAAGTCGACGGACGCCGTGATGCCGAATCCCCGACTGCCAAGTCTTCGGTCTTTTGGCTTTATCACCGAGAAGAGACAGTGGAGACTTTTAAAGCATGGACATGGATACAGTTGATCGTCAATTGTCTATTTCATGGCATGCCGCTGCCATGATGGACCGAGGTGGCTGTGCTCTCCATTTGCAGACTTTGCTAGATGGTTGGTTTGGAAGGGTCAACAGATCATCGTCTGCACCTCACATCGCATACAGACGTATAGCAACACGAAGTCACTCTGTACGCGCTCTGTGGGAAAGGGAGATCATTACATGGGAACTTTGTTGATATACCCATAGGCTAGTTTTTTTTTTTTTTTTTTTTTTTTTTTGAAAAAAAAAGTCCATGCAAACCCTTCATGAAACATGTATAACTTTCCTGATGTCAAATCCATCTTGTGATTCCCTTGAATTGCTCCAGGGCAGCACATATCCACGTTGGTTGCTCACAACTCGTACCTGCCCCTCCTTGAAATCAGTGGTATGATGAGTGTGTCCAAACACCCAGACTTTCACCTCAGCTAGTGTTTGTGATAGGATATCAGCTCCAAAGGTAATGCTCCAAGGGTTCTGGGCATGTTGCGGACTTGATGTCCTCTGGAGTAGAGGGGCATGGTGGGTTATAATAAGAAGAGATCTTTTTGCACTCTGCTTGTCTGCCTTTCCATTTCCCTGGTGTATTGATTATATCTCTCTCTATAATCAGGCGAGATCTGAATCATGGTTTGCAATATGGTCATTAATTGACCAGCCTTCAATTCTTTGAAAGTCTTTGACTTTTAACTGAACAACATCCCTCAATTCAGGAGGGATGTTTGACCAAAGCGTGCAGCCCAGGATCATGACGCAAGAATCTAGGACATCATATTATTTCTGATGAAAGATAATTAATCATCCATTAAAGGACGGTTCCTGTTCCAGTTGTCTAGCTTTTTCTAGCCCTGCAGCGAAAGTCCCATGATAAAACTCATGATTTCTGAGGATGAGAATCACCAACTTGAATCTGTCTGTCTGTTTTTGGAGGAAATGGCGATAATCATCATAGTCCGTTAGGCACCCAATATCACCTGTGAGGATCAGACGCTCTGCGCAAACAGGAATGTCAAAAAATCGATACTGCTGGCTAATCTCAAGATGGAGATCAGAGATGATTTGAAAGGACACAGAAGACCGATTGAGAAATGACCGTAATTTCTGTAGCATTCTGTCACTTTCAAACACGCTGTAATCCGTAGTTGACCAAATAGGGGTGGTAATGGCCATATAAGTGCTATAGTACTAAGATAGTAAGGAATTAAAACCCAAGAGCCCGTGTTTAGTCGAGCTTACTACAGAAAATAATGCTATATATAAGATTAGTAGTGATTGATTTATCTTCAGCGGAATCTGTCTCATGAACTGCCATAATAATACTATACATACATGTAGAAAGTTTTCAATCAAATGTTTTACCTATTATGACACTGTTGACACCTTCCTTATAGTATTAGCATCAGCACTAATGAACACTGCCAGGGTGCGTATATATGACCTTAATTCTTAAGGTCCAGTTATTTGTCTCTAATATTCCTTACTATAACTCTAATATAATCTCTAGTATACTTAGAGTTGCATACCCAGACCGCAAAAATCGAATCCAACCCTCACCGAACTCGCGGAGGTGAGGGTAGGCTAGGAGCCGGGGCGGTTCCGGCATTATAGGCACCATGGTGGCACAGCCTTGATCAATTCTGGACATTTTAAACATAAAAACAAAGCCAAGGCCATGCGCACCCTTCCTGATATACTGATTTATATACTCTAAAAAGATATCAAAGCACAAAGGTCAAAAAACGAATCAAAAACATACAACAGCCGGGATTCGCTGGTGGTCACCCACCCAACTACTAACCGGCCGGCGTGTGGCTTAAGTACGGCTGAGCGGACGGGAAGCCCTGTTCTCCACACCCTGTGGTCGTACGTGCTAAAAGTAGTTAAAAGGTGGTTTATAGAGGCTCTTTTAGGATCTGTGTGGTCTGTCAAAATGGTTCCTCATGGCTCTCACTCAGTATGGCATTGACTTGCAACGCTCTTCTGGAGCCCATAGGACTTCTTATTGATCATACTAGGGCTAGGTGCCCTATTACATGGGCAATGTAATGAGAGCCTGTGGGTTGGGCATACTATAAAAACTGGTTTGATTATCTGTAGTCAGATTGTCAGGTATATATATATATATGTCATAGAGCAGTATTCACTGTATCAGTAATATACTTACTTACTATACCTAAATAAGCATAGTATAATATATACTAACTAGTATATTTATCCTCTTATTTATATCTACTAGAGAGGAGCTAGAGTAAGAGAATAAGAGAAGAATATATCTTTATATCTAAGCTATATATCTATATCTATTAGTATTTATATTATCTTAATTACCTAGCTATAATAGTTATAAGCCTAGTTAATAAGATAATATAAAGATATTAAATTAGTAAGAGATCTATTAAGATTAATAAATAGAAGATAATTAGAAAAATTAATAAAAAAACAATATAAGTTATAGAGAAGTAGCTAATAAAAAAATAAAAAATATATTCTAGAATATGCTAACTATAAGAGTTAGGACTATATTTATTAGCTAGAAAAAATAAAGAACCTAGAGAGATACTATATATGTAATAATCTATTAAAAAAAGATCTAAGTATATATTAATCTAGATAGATTTAATAAGCTAAAGAAGCTAAAAATATCTAAATATAAGAATTTTAGCTTAAAAAAAGATATAAGCTAATAAGAATCTTCTTAGATCTCTTATTAAAGAGATAGAAAGACTTTAAATCTAAATAATAAAGATTTAATTAAAATATAAGACTTTAGGAATTATTAAAGATATAAATAAATAATATAGTTATACTAATTAAGAGATCTCTAGCTTAGTATCTAGCCTATTAAATTAAGAGGATTCTAGAGGCTAGAAAGATATTAAAAAAACTTTAAAAGTACTATAATATAAAGAAGGAAGATAAGAAAAAAATATTTAGAAAGAATATAATTATTTATAAAAAGATTTAAGATTTAATATATTTAAGACTTTCTAAAACTAGATAAAGAAATTTAAACTTATTTAAAAAATAATAGATTAATTAGATAGTAAGATATTCTAAAATAATAAAGATATTCTTAATATACTAAGGATCTTTAATAAATTTAATTAATACTTTTCCTAAAAGATTAAATAAGAATAAAAAAAGATATTAATAAGTAGCTATTTAAGATAATAATATAAATTATTTATAATAAGATATATGAGTAGATCTAGACTAAAACTTATTATATAAAGTATTAAACCCTAAGTATATCTATATAGTAAGATATAGGGTTAATATTTATTATACTATAGGGGAACCTAATATTAGTAATAAAGATATAAAAATCTTAGAGGAATTACCCTTATAATATAAGATATCCTCTATATATATATATAGCTATGTAGATAAGGACTAAAGAGTAGAAGAAAGCTAGAGACTAATAAACTATATTATAAAGAGGATTTAAACTATACTAAAGAACTAAGAATAGAGAGAATTTATAAAAAAGTATTTAAATCTATAGATAAAAGATTTAATTAGTCTAAAATATAAGATATAGGATTAGATAAGAAGAAGGAAATAAAGTATTATATAATAATAATAATAAAAGTCTATATAATATCCTAGAGTATCTACTTCTTAGGGAATACTATAGTTATAAATAGTAGGTCTATTATCTATATAGTAAATAATAAGAGAGATATAATAGACCTGTGATATTAGTGAATACATACCAGTGGTGATAGGTAATAGATATCTGGGTTGACCTTAGTGACCTAAGGTTGATAGTGAAATCTCTGTAATACCTATAACTATCTATTATATAAAGTAACTAAGTAATATAGATATAAATAAGAGTATCTTCTTTAATAATAAAGAGGGTAAGGCCTAGTCTACCTCTCTCTTTATTTTTAGTAAAATTATATAATTATAGTAATTTTATCTAGTAGTATATCTAAATTTATAAATTTATAATAAATTTATAAAAACTTTATAAGACCTAAAGTTTATCTTTAATAAACTTATACTACTCTTCCCTAAATAGTAATTATTAAATTGTTAGGCTATCTAGATATATATATAGGAACTGGGCCATGATTTGACATAGGGTCAAATCATTGTAGGTCTTTTGCCTCAGTGGTAAGTAGGCAGCCCAGTGCCTACTCATTACATAAATTATAGTTAAGATAATAATTTAATAAGTCTAGTAAAGAATTTTTATTATAGATAAATTCTTTCCTAAGTATATACCTAAAAGAGATAAAAAGATAAAAAATATAGTAACTCTAGGCTAGAGTATATTACTTAGTTACCTAATAAGCCCTAACTAAAATTAATTATTAAAAAGATTAATTACTATAAGATAATACCCTCTAATCTTCTTACTAGAATAACTAGTAATAATAATTTATCTAAGATAAATAATCTAGTAAGGGGTTAGTTTGAAGATATAAAATAAGTCTTTAATAGACTATTTAATATAATAGCTTAAGGAGCCCCTCTT